GGGGCCCAAATGGAAAAAATGTGGACTAAGTTAAGATTTACCAATTTTTCCAAGTTTTCCGGATGTTTCTTTGAAAATTTCGTACTTTGCGCTTGTTTCCACAAAAATTCGTCACTTTGAAAAATTTCAGTTTTGGCCGGTTTTTTGCATGAACAACACTATTTTGGTAATTGAAACTGTGTAATTTGAAATTATTCAGCTAGTTTTAGATTTTTTAAGGCTTAGTAACAAAAAAATAGACAAAAAATGTGAAAAAATGACATAAACTGAAATTTTCAAAAAAATATGAAAAATGTTCAAAGTTCGAAATTGACATGGAAACAGTCACAAAACTTGAAAAAATTGGTAAATTTCAACTCAGACATAATTTTTCTACTTGGGCTATTCTCATGCCCCCCCCCCCTTTTCCCATGGGCCCCCCTTTTCTCATGGGCTCCTTGTCATAAAGAGCCAAAAAGTTTAGGTACCCCTGCAAAAAGTGTCGGCTCAAAAAGTGCTATGATGTTGGAATGGATGCTAAAAGTTAGGTTTTTAAAGGTTTCCCCCCTATTTCCTATTTTCCAGAGATCCAAGTCAATCGTGACAAAATATCTTCAAAAATTGCTCCAAGTCTTTCAAATTTTTTGGGACGACCTGAATTCATTTTGTGCTTGGAACCCGACAAGGCGGCACACATCAAAACCATCATAGATGTGTCATATCTGATAAAAAAGGCTGAAAATACTTTTCAACAACCGGATTCAATCACACCGAGGAATTATGAAAATAGCTTGGAGAAACTGTCGATGGTTATGGAAGACATGAAAATGAGAAATTCTAAAAAAACAATTCCTGTTGTTAAATACATAGGGAAATATGAGTATTTGATGTTCTGGGAAACAACGTTTACTTCTGCTGCAAAATGGTTGGCTGGAATTGCTGAATTTCAAAAGCTAGAGCTTTCTGTGAGAGTAAGTCTTTTTTGATAATGCCCCATATCTATGCCTCCGTCTGGAAGCACGTACCTCCTCAAGGAGCCTCCTATCTTTGTTTTTTCCAGATAGAAATTCTAAAAACTGTCTGGATGTTGTGGGCAAGGTTAGACAAGCTTGCTGAAACTGCAGAATTTCAAAGAAAACAAAAACTCAAAAACAATGTGTACATGTGGACAGAGGAGACTTGTATGGATTTGAAAAATGTGGAGATAGATCTGAAATGGTGTACGAACTATACAACAGAACAAATGATGTTGTGAGTTTTTGAAACTTTATATAGCCCAAGAAAAGAAATTTCAGCTACCTCCAGCCGGATTCTGGCTCAAGTTGGAAGAAAACTATTGAGAGCCTTATTGAGTTAGAACCCACAAACGTTGAGCTGAATTTCATGTTAATTCAGTTATGCCTACAACACGCTGGCGTCAGGAACCAAGGGAAAGTTCTAGAAGCTACTGATCGTATTATTCAAACGCAAGCTGATTACCTTCATCATCATTACACGAATATACTGAACATTCCAAGATATTCGAATCGGTTGGAAAAACTTATGAAAGTGAATAAGTTGATTGAATCGAGTGTCAGATTACGGAGGGATAGGAACCAGATTTCGAAGCTTTTTGATGTGTTTTCTGTAGATTTTTCTCATCCAGAAATGTTTGAGTTGACTTAAGATTTTTTTTTCTTTTTTGTTTTGGTAACTTATGTTAGTCCCCATCTAAACTATAGTTCCCATTGCATGTTAGCGGTCGTTCGGGACCACCACGAGCCCGTAGCTCAGTCTGTATAAAGTTCAACTACTTAAGAGACTTTAATTTTTTATTCAAAATAGTTTTTCACAAATAGTCCGTCAATTTGTACATGTCTCCTTATCAGCTTCGCCACAACTTTTCTTGGTACGACGGTCACATTTTTCGACTTATCCAGTGACGGCAATCCGTGCACATATGGTTTAATCTAAAACTTTGAAATTGTGTACCCGCTTAAAAATAGAAACTACCTTGTATCGATTCACAAAGTTGGCAACCAACAAAAATAGTTCCATGCTGGCGAGTCCTTCTCCCAGACATTGTCGCTTGCCAACCGAAAATGGGCAAAGCACCTCGACCTTCTTCAGTTTCCCATTTTCATCGATAAATCTGTCTGGATTGAATTTATATGGATCCGGGAACACTTCCTCATCTAACATCACAGTACTAATCTGAGCAATGACTCCAGTGTCTTTCGGAACCTGGTATCCATTGAGTACAGTATCCCGTGAAGTGCAATGGAATAAGTTAACAGGTACCAAGTTGACACATTGATGAGATTCGTTGATAACTGCATTCATATACTGAAGTTCGGGTTTATCGCTTGTACTGATAAGTCTATTATTTCCAACCACTCGATCTAATTCTTCATGAAGCTTCTTTTGAACATCTGGGTTATGGAGAATATAGGTAATCGTCCATGTCAGTGTGATACTTGTTGTTGACAATCCAGCGAACCACAAGTCAAGGCACATATTTGATAGTTGTTTATCACTGAACGTTTCCTTATCACCATCCTTAATTCTTCTTTTCTGTTCCTTGAGATAGGCTTCTGCGTAGTCTTGACTTTCATCTGAATCCAAATCTATTTTCTCACGATGCGCTTTAATTTGTTTATGGAAAAAATCGAAGAAGTCAGTTTTCCAGTCCACCAATCCTTCTTCCAAAGTCTTTCCAGGAATGAGCCATGCTAATTGAGGCACGAAAATTTGAAAATTTGTTCGAAAAGTGGTGAAAAACTTTTCTTGATATTCCATCAATTCGGTTCATTTCTCCAGCTCCTTCAGCTTCTCTTTCTCGAATCGATATCCAAAAATCAATTGATTGTTAATATTTGCAACTGCATTATTGAACACTGGATTGATTTCTTGCTCTTTTTCAATATCCTCATCTAGTTTTTTGAACATATCCTCCACTTCAATCAAGATTTTCTCCTGAATCAAATCTCTGCCCATTCCGAAATTTCTTAACGTCGAAAGAGCGAATCTTCGATGAGTGCTCCAGAATTCTCCATTTGTTTCAGCTATGTACACCGTAGTATCCATCGCGAATAAATTCTTGAAAATGTAGCTGGACCTTGTTCATGTATGTTTCGCCATCCCGGATGAATGTTTCTTTCAGGCGAGAATAGGAGGAAATGATGATGTAGGGTTTGGTACCTGAAATTTTGAAACTGTCATTTTAGAATATCATAGTTTCAAGTACTTTCAGGTTTTCGGAATTGCAGAATCTCAGAAACTTAGAATCTCTGAATCTTTGAACCACAGGATTTCAGAATCTCTGAATCTCAAAATCCCAAGACTGGAGAATTTTAGAATCTCGAAATCTGAGAACCTGTAAATCTGAAAATCTCAGAATCTCAGCCCCCAGAACCTCAGAATCTCAAAATCTCAGAATTTCAGAATCTGAGAATCTCAGAATTTCAGAATCTCAGAATCTTGGAATTTTGGAATATCGGAATCTCAGAATCTTAAAAGCTCGGAATTTCAGAATCTCAAAATCTCAGAATCCCAGAACTTCGGAAGTTTAATTTTTCAGAATTTGAAATTTTAAAATCCGAGGATTTGTAAATCTTGCAAAATTGGAAATTGAAAAAAAAGGCTACAATTCAAAATTAGGAGTTTTTTTTCCAAATAACAATCTCAGTGTTTCAGAGTATCACAGCTTCAGAATTTCAAACTTGCAGAATTTCAGAATTTTAGAATCTCAGTATTCCCGAATTCTTGAATTTCAGAATGACAGAATCTTAGAATCTCAGAATCTCAAAATTTCAGAATCTCAGATTCACAGAATTTCGAAATTTTTCTGAAAATTCAAAAAAAAAAGACTAACCCATCCAAAACGTAAATACATCTCCATACACTTTGGTCCATTTTCTGAACGCCTCATATCCTGGTTTCTCTGCTGACAGTGCCAAAATATTTCCAAAAAGTGGTAGAGGTGTTGGCCCGGGCGGTAAGGTTCTTCGTTTCCAGTAAAGCTCATGAAATAGCCATGAACCAAAGGTAGTGAATAATAGTAAGAAAATCATAACAAGAAGAGTCAAGGATAGGTATTTCTTTTTCTAGTTTTTCTATTTATACGTCTTGGGTAGGCAAACGAGATAGTGTGGGAAATGAGGAGCGTTTTGTGAGATGTGACCAGCTGTGATGGCGGCGGGCAGAAAGATCAAAAAGGCAGAAATTGCATCAAGATCAAAAAAGTTTGAATCAGGATTTCATAAATGTTATGTCAAATGAGCTAGAATCTTTCTCATGGACTAGAAAGCCAAATTTGAATTTTTTCAAATTTTGAACTCAACGATTTTGAAAAAAAACTAAGCTGCCAGTTCTGATGTTTCATCATGTATTTTCTTGCTGGAAAAATTTCTGGAATATAATGATTCCCCACGACATAGTTCAATTCCCAAATCTTAGCATAAACTTTGCCAGGTGAGCATAAACTACGAAAGACGTCAAAGTATATATACACGGCCGCCGACCTCTTGTTTCCTCTATCTTTTCCCCCTCTCTTGCTTTTTCAAAAATGATTCTTCTCTTGTTGTTCACTACACTCTCGTTGTGGTTGTTCCATGAATTGTACTGGAAACGAAGGAACTATCCGAATGGACCGTTGCCATTACCGGTTATTGGGAATATGGTCCCAATCATGAAGGCGAAACCTGGATACGAGGCTTTCAGACAGTGGACTAAAGAGTTTGGAGATGTTTTTACGTTTTGGTTAGGTAAGAGTTTTTGAGATTCTAAAATTTCAAGATTCGGTGTTTTTGAGATTCTGAACTTCTAAACTTCTGAAATTTTGAGATTCTGAGATTCTGAGGTTCTGAGATTCTGAAACTCTGAAATCCTGAAAATTTGAGATTCTGAAACTTTGAGATTCTGAAAATCGGAAATTCTGAAAATTTGAAATTCTGAAGTTTTAATAATGTGAAATTGCGAGACTGAAAACGTGAGATTCTGAGATCCTGATTCTGGAACTTTGAAATTTGGAAATATTGAAAATCCAGAATTCTGAGATTCTTAGATTATGAGGTTCTGAGATTCTGAAATTCTGAAAGTCTGAAATCCTGAAAATTTGAGATTCTGAAATTTTGAGATTCTGAGATTCTGAGATTTTGAGATTCTGAGATTCTTGATTTTTTTTTTCAATTGGCTACTTCATTTAACAAGAATCTAAGGCTTTGGAAATCATGTAGTTTTGTTCCAATGAGTTTTCGAAATCACAGGTTTCTTTAAAAATGATATTCTAGCTTAATAGCTTCACATGGTTCAAATATCCCTATATTTCATTCATTCCAGGTACCAAACCCTACATCGTCGTTTCCTCCTACAAACGTCTCAAAGAAACTTTCATCCTTGATGGTGACACCTACGCTGACAAAGCCTATCAACCATTTCAAGAACAATTCCGTGGAGGCCAATACGGAGTCATCGATACCAATGGACACGTTTGGAGCACCCATCGCCGATTTGCTCTCACCACATTCAGAGACTTTGGACTTGGAAAGGACTTGATGCAACAAAAAATTCTAATTGAGGTTGATGAAATCTTTCGGAAATTTGACGAAAATATTGGAAAGGAGCAAGAGATTCCAGGAGTTTTCTATAACGCCGGAGCCAATGTGATCAATCAATTGATTTTTGGATATCGTTTCGATGAGGAAAAGCAGGAAGAACTGAAGAAGCTGAAAGCGCTGATGGAATTCCAAGAGACTGCTTTTACCACTTTCAAGGTGCAAGTTCAGTTTTTCGCGCCTATCGTGGGAAGGATGCTGCCAGGAAAATCAGTGGAAGAGTTGTAAGTTTGACTTATTTTTTCGGTTCAATGCTGATCTCTTTCTTTGTTTCAGACTCGCTGAGTTCACAGTAGATTTCTATAAATTCTTCGATCACCAAATTGAGGAGCACCGCTCGAAAATCGATTTCGACTCTGAAGAAAATCTCGACTACGCTGAAGCTTATCTCAAGGAGCAAAAGAAGAAGGAATCTGAAGGAGACATGGAGCTCTTCGGTAATCGACAACTATCTAATATGTGTTTTGATCTCTGGGTAGCTGGATTATCCACAACTCATACCACTTTGTCATGGATCATCGCATACGTTCTCAACCATTCAGAAGTTCAAAAGACGATGCAAATAGAGTTGGATGAAGTGATTGGAAGTGACAGGCTTATCAGCACTGGTGATAAGAATAATCTTCCATTTATGAACGCTGTGATCAATGAGTCTCAAAGATGTGCAAATATTGTACCACTTAATCAAATTCATTGTGTTTCCAAAGACACTATGATCAATGGGGTGCTGGTGAAGAAGGGTACAGGAATCATTCCTCAGATTAGTACAGTACTACTTGACGAGACAACCTTTCCGGATCCATATAAATTCAATCCAGAGAGATTTATCGATGAGCATGGGAAGCTGAAAAAAGTTGAGGAGCTTTGCGCATTTTCAGTTGGCAAGCGACAATGTCTCGGGGAAGGACTAGCGAGGATGGAAATGTTTCTTTTCATTTCCAATTTCTTTAATCGGTATCAGGTACGTCTTATGGTAGTTTTGAAAATGTTCAAATCTATTTTCTGCAGGTAACACCCGGCTCGTCTGGTCCTCCAAGTCTGGAGAAGGAGACGATGTTCAATGCAACACCACGGAAGATTCGTGCGGTTTTGACGAAAAGATATTTGTAAATTTTGTTCTGTCCATTTCATTGTGTTTAATTTTGTGCCATAAATAAAGGATTTTTGAAAAAAATTCAGAATTTTCTTGCAATTCAGATTTTCAGAAATTCATACCTTCAATTTCATTATCTCAAAATCTCAAAATCTCCGAATCTGTGAGTTACATAATCTCAGAATGTTAGAATGTCAAAAGCTAAGACGGTCTGAACTTCAGAATCTTAGAATCTCAGAATTTCAAAGTCTATGAATCTCAAGTTCTTAGAATCATAGAATTTCAGAATCTCAGAATCTCAGAATCTCAGAATCTCAGAATCTCAGAATCTCAGAATCTAAAACTCGCATGGAACTGCATTAAAAATTTCACTAATAAAAAACGAGGTTTTGACATTTTAAACCTGATCATTATTTCTCAAGCCATGTCATTTGAAACTTTCTATTCTAGTTTGAACAGACTATACGTTAACTAAAACTCCACCAGAATTTCACAATCATCAAGCGATATGGCTTGTAAAAATCATAAATCTGATTGCTACACTCTAGCAAACACCAAATCACACGGCGAATCCAACATTGTGCCGCTAAACAAAACAATAATTGTCATTGATATAAAAGAGCAACTCCATGTGGTGCACAAAACTGATAACAAAACATGATTGCAGCGATTTTAGTAGCTTTACTAACCTATTTTCTGTTTTCCATATTCCAAAAACGCCATGAAATCCAAAAATTTCTCTATGCCCGTCGGATTTGTATTCAAGAATTCGAAAAGGTCAAGGGTCCACCAGCCGTGCCAATTTTCGGGACCACATGGTATTTTAAAAGTGACCCTATAGAAATGATAAAACAAGCACAAAAATGGTTTGTCGAATATACGCTCGCTCCAGATAGTAATGGTCTTCTAAAGGTGGGTTTCAAAATTTGGTCTACATTTTCAGAGAAAAGCGTTTCAGTTCTGGATGGGACCTGTGCCTGTAGTTTCCATATGCCGCGGAGAAGTAGCAAAAGTAGGTCAAAAATTTGACTCAATTGAACATCTCGGTTCCTTTGACAGGTATCAAAAGGTGATCAACTGACTAAATGATCATCATATTATCAACAATGTTTGTCAGTTGAACGTTTTTTGATACATCATTAAAAAGTGTTCAACTGAAATAATATGTATTACAGTATCAGCTGAATTTTGTTAGTTGAATGCTTATAAGTTTAGTGAAACCTAAGTGGGCCAATTTCCATGCCATACTTTTTCAGACTATCTTCGATAGCTCCACGAACATCCCCAAATCTAGTCAGTACCGAAAATTGAAAGAATGGATTGGCGATGGATTGCTTATCAGGTGAGAATCTTTTCTGGACCATCAAAAAGTTCGACGATTTATAGCACCGGTCCAAAATGGAGGTCCCGTCGGAAGATGCTCACACAAACGTTTCATTTTGCAGTTTTGAAAGAGTACCACAAAGTTTTCGCATCGCAGGGAAAAATTTTAGTGGATGTCCTTCGGTTGAGAGCCAATAACACGTATCCATTCGATATCATGCCGTATATCAAGAGGTGTACGCTGGATATAATTTGTGGTGAGTTTTAAAGTTATGAGTTCTATAAATATAGCTCTGAAAATAGTTAGAGGTTTCAAGGAAGCTAGAAGTCTAAAAAAAGAGTGTTCTCGATTTTTGAGGTTCCGTTTTCATTTGAGTCATGGGGTGAATTCGGGCATTTGTGCGCCATGCCAAGAGTCTTTGCGTACGTGCATCGATCGGCCTGTTCGGTTGGCTGTCGGTCGGCTGGATCGGCGGTCGGTCGGTCGGGTAACTGTCCCGACCGAATTAGAGCCCTACAGCTTATAGTGGTGTCGCTACCAACTGAGATACACAATCGGGACCTCGCCCCACCAGGAGAATTGAGCGGGGACCGATATTTAAATCCCAAGGAAACTCCTTCAAAAAATAATTTAAAATTCAGAAACTGCTATGGGATGTTCGATTTCAAGCCAAATGGGGTCCAACGACAAATATGTCGAATCGGTGAAACGATTGAGTGAGCTGGTTTGGAACTATGAGAAGTAAGTTTATACAGTCGAAATTACCTACCTTTGAACTTTCTAGAGCCCCTCTGTACTGGCTGAAACCTATATGGTACCTATTTGGAAATGGATTTGAGTTTGATAGACTTGTCAAACTGACCACTGATTTCACTAGAGACGTCATTGACAAACGAAAAGAAGAGCTGAAACTTCACGAATCCGAACCCTCTGACAAAAAACTAGCATTTCTGGACTACCTTCTAAAGTCTCAAACAGACCATCCCGAAATTCTGACAGATGAAGGAATTCGAGAAGAAGTGGACACGTTTATGTTTGAGGGACATGACACCACGTCATCAGGAATCAAATTTGCCATTTGGTTCCTCGGACAATATCCAGAATACCAACAGCAAGTTCAGGATGAGATGGATGAGATTTTTGGAGACGATTATGAAAGGTATCCGAATTCAGAGGACATTCAAAGAATGATCTATTTGGAGCAGTGCATTAAGGAGACACTTCGATTGACACCACCAGTGCCCTTCATTTCCAGACAGCTGGAAGAGGATGTGTTGATTCGTAAGGATTACAATAGAGTGTATTTTTAACGAATTTTTAGCGCATGCCACAAAACCGCCTGTCTTGCTACCTGCTGGAATGAACATTATGATTAATATCATAACCATTATGAAGGACGCAAGATATTTTGAAAAACCATATGAGTTTTTCCCGGAGCACTTCGAACCGGAACGTGTGAATTCTAGAGAGGCATTTGCCTATGTTCCATTTTCAGCGGGACCCAGAAATTGTATCGGTAAGTAATACGATAAATGCGAGCCCATCCTATACGTGCATTTCAAATTCAATTATCTCGATGTGTCTTTGAAACATATCAAAAAGTTGTTAACTAAAAAAATGCTTATCATATTATCACCAACATTTCATCGGTTGACAAAATCTCTCATAGGAACCGAGATAATTGAGCTCAAAGAGCACAAACAGGATGACCGTCAATTAGAAAAAATAAGGTGGATGAACTTCAGAGAAAATAAGGTGGATGAACATCAGTTTTTGTAGGTCAAAAATTCGCTCTACTCGAAGAAAAAGTTGTGCTCTCTTGGATTTTCCGAAATTTCACCGTCACCAGTATGAGCAAATATCCTGAAGAACATCCGATTCCAGAGCTCATTCTCAAGCCACAGTTCGGCACACAAGTCTTGTTGAAAAATCGAAGGAAATTTTAATTTATTGATTTTCAAAAAAAAAATAAACATTAGAACCCGTCGCAAAGTTACCAGAAGCTCGTCACATCTATCATCAAGCTATCCACTTTGAGGATTCCAAAAAACGAGATCATGACGAATGAGCAGTTGGTATTGCGGATTTGTTCCTGTAAAAAAAATTGAATGTTTAGAGTCGCGATTTTTAAAATATTCGTTTAAGCGATCAATCTATACCAAAAACTAGTGATCGCAATCATCGATTGATCAACATTGAGTATGCCAAAAAATGAGATCATCACGAAAGAAGACACGACGTGACGGATTTGCTCCTGAAAAATGAGGTGGCCTAACTTTTGTATTTCTAGACCAACGGTAGGTTAGAAGCAGAAGCAAATCAGTCACATCGGGTTAAAGCAAAGCCGTACCACGATATAATTCAATGACATTATCATATTTCCAAATCTCTCCCCAATATCATCATTATCCAAACTGCAAGCATAATTCAGAGCTCTGATAAGCCGATCTCTCTGGATAAGAGCCACTTGACGACCCTGTTCGCTGAGACGGTAGTAAGCTGAAACTCCGTTGAAATTTCAAATATCCTGCCAAACCCATACTTACAAACATGCCAAATACAAATAGCCTTGATTATGCAAAACTCCTCATAAGATGGTGCCAACTGAGCAAATGGAGCACAAATTTTCCATTGATGCAAAATCAGGGGCATTAATGCTCGAAATTTCATAAGATCGTCTTGGCTTTGGAATAGGAGATTTGCATTTTCTTCGTATCCGGTTAGAGGTGTTGGGGTCATAGGGATAAATGTCCCGTCGTTTAGAATAAGCTCGTCGTGTTGGATACCGCGTCTGAAACATTTGGAATATCAATTCGAAACGGGCGGTTCTGAAACGTCCGGCTGGCTGCGAAAATTTGGTGCAAACCATATGGACTGTATTAGTTTTTCAATTAGTTTTAGTGTTTCAACCAATTTTTTATTTTGGAATATCCATGGAAGCTTTCTTTTCATTGGTCTACAGCAGAGTTGTACGGACAGGGAAACTTTTTTATACGGACAACGGACACGGACAACGGACAGCCAAAAATGTCAGGACACCGGACAAAATTTTACAAAATCGACAATTTTTTGCTGAAAAAATAGAATTTACCGATGGAAAATAGCCATGGAAAAGAAAATCGGTGCTCATCCATCATTTTGACTGTTTTTAACGGAAAATTTGAATTTCAATTTTTCTGGTAAACGGACGGGCAAAGACAATTTCTACGAACAACGGACACCGGACACCGGACACAACATTTTTCCACGGACAGCGGACACGGGCAACGGTCAGCCAAAATGGCCGAACAACGGACAGCGGACAACGGACTGTCCGTGCAACACTGGTCTACAGTATCCAGACAAAAATATATCTTATTCTGACTTTGTCAATATGAAATATTCAGCTTTGAAGTCCTGAAAAACTATTCCAGAATTTTTCGATTCGTCTTAAAATCTCAGGTTATGCATACTAAACAAAATTAATGCTTCAGTTTACTAATTGATACATTTTTGGCACAAAGCCAAAAAGGCGAGAGCAAATTTCAGCAAATTTCCTGAATATCGTTGAAATATTCGGTTTTTGGACTCCAACTTTTTTTTCCAATTTTTTGAATTTTTGAAATATTGTATTTTTCGCTTGTTTTTTTAATTTTCGGGGGGGGGGGGGGTTCGGAATTACCGATTTCTTTGGTTTTTTGACTTTTCCGAACTTTTTGTATTTTTTAAGATTTCGATATTTTGGAATTTCAGTTTCCCATGTTTGATAATTGTGGACATTTTGGGCATTTTTCAATTGCAAAGGCAAATCTCATCAGAATGAAATTTGACAGAAAAGATGTCAATTACCAAAATGAAGCTCTAATTTTGTTTAGTACACAATTTTCAGACAAATCGAAAAGTTCAGAACTATTTTTTAGGACTCCAAAGTTGACTTCAGAAAATTTCAAAATTTGATATTTCTTTTTCCGGTCTCCAAACTTGGAAACGTGAAAAAAAACTCACTTAAACGTATAATACGCTGAATTCATCACAAAATCCACTGCACACACCAACCGATAGCAGAACACCTGAAAAAAAAACAATTTTCTAAAAACTCGGTGCTTCGAAAATTCTAACACTATCCGCATATGTGAGCTCATCGAATCCTGGCATTCCACGTGCATAGTCGAGAATCATAACGAAATCATTTTTAGTCATCCCCTGGCTCACTTTGTAGTCGAACATCCGTAACGTCGCATTGTCGTAAGGCTTCAAAAAACATCTTGGCTTTGAAAATAAATTTTTTGACCTACCCACTCTCGTCCACCCTCCAAAACAATACTAACTGGGGTTTCAGCATACAAAAGTCGTCTTCTATCACACATGGAAGTTTCCAAGTTCAAAAACTTTGTTAACGTCTCCTGAACTTCCGCGGATTCAGAAGACACCGACGATGGACCCGGGGTGGCTTCGTTTTCAATTTCTTCTGATTCCGGAGTGGTTCTTATGTCCGTTTGCTGACGTTTTTCAATAGTTGGCGACCTCTTTCGAACCAATCCTTTGGAGATTCGAATGTATTGCTTTCGTTCGTTTTTCGATTTTACTACTGTTATTTTTTCAGTGATTTTCATAAATTTTTGAAAAAATAAACTCACAAAGTGTTTTCATTCCAATTTCGTAGCATTTTTGGAGCCGACAAAATCGGCAAATCAGTCTGGAATCGTGATGGACTCGGCAAGCATCCGGTTGCTCTATGCAGGTGTACTCGAGTTTCATGGATACGGTACGACGGAAAAATGCCGCGCAGGCCTGGAAATATTTGTTCAGAATAATTGTTTTTATCCCAAATAAAATTCCATGAAAACTCACTTTACATGTTCTGGCTCCAAAATGGTTGCATGAAATGTTACTGGGCGATTCGCAAACCTCACATTGATTGGTTGACATGTCAAATCGTCTGAAAAAAAATTAAGAAACTTTTAATTAACCGAAAAACTAAAAAACCAAAGTGTCAAATAAAAGAAAACTATGACAAAGACTCCTGGAGAAAACCAGGCAGGTGAGAGAGCAAAGTGCGAAGAGAGACGCAGACAGTGAGAGACAACATTGTAGTCTCTCACGGGAGAGGATGAGTGTAATAAACTAAGACGATCATTTAGCGATAACAAAAAAAGATGATGGAGGTGAAGAAGTGATTAGTGAGATTGCTAGGAATGAATTTCTGGAAATTACCAAAAAATCTATATCCTGAAAGAGATGCCTTGAAATTTATAGCACTCGGGGTCTTCACACTATAACTCAATTTATCTCGAACCGTGTCAAAGATACCAAAAAATGGTGAACTGATAAAATTTTTGAGAAATTATGATACACGTTTTGTCAGTTAATCCCTTTTATTATCTTTCACGGAACCAAGAAAACTTGGATCAAAATTGAGTCAGTGTGAGGTCCGGTTACGTATACCGTAGTCAATGTTGACCCTTTATATCTCATTTCCTGTGAATGATATTAGAAAGTGGTCAATTGACAAAAAAAAATTATCACCATAACGTCAACAAAACTTTGTTAGTTGAACACTTCTTGTCATCTATTACAGGAATCAATAAAACTTGGGTCAAATTTGAAACAGTGTGTGGTCGATACCATCTGGCTAGTAAAAAGGAGAAGGAATCAGATAGACAGTGTAGCCGTGACCCTTGTAGTCTGTCCGATTGCACATCAAACAAACATCACTCTTTTCTACGGGTCACTTTTTGATCCAAGAAAATGTGCCCCTGGGAAAAATGAGGTTTCTTGATCTGTAGAAAGAAAAAAGATTGGGTTCCCTTTCACGTCATCCGTGATACCCATCAAGATCTAAGTTCTATCGCAGAACCCATACCAGTTCTATCGTAGAACCCTGAAGACCTGATAGTAGCTCACGGGCTACACCTTTCAAAAGCTCGTCACCCTAAGGCGTGTTAAATACGAGGAATATCAGGCATCATGATCTCCCTTCTGAACCCACCTCCGGGCACGGAAGAGCTTAGGATATGAGAAGGTGTATTAGATCGAACTCTTTCTCTCTAAAACCAAGCACACAATTGGACAATAAGGAGAAGGAGAAGAGATCGATAGACGTCGAGCGGACCTCTCATCAGAAATCCTAACCTATAATGACTGATAGAATTTTCTAATTCTTGCCTTTTGCAGTTATCTGGGTTTTTGTGTCGACACCCGACAATACGCTCTCAATCAAGATGTCTACTGAGAAAGGTAGTGATACCAATCTCGCTCCAGGAAGAGATCGGACCCATAAAGATCAGAGTCTCTCCGTGGTGTCCCATTCGTCCAGCAGGGGGTCGGTGTGTTAGTGAAGAGGACATGAGATCCACTCATTCCTCCAGCACCTCATCTAGAACTCAGCGCCAGACGCTGAAAACGCAGAAAAGATCTGTTAGAGCTGAAGAGCCTGATTTGGATTCTATCCAGCCTAGTGACGACGAGGATTCTCGTACCGTTTCCAGTGGCAGTGAAAACGTTCACGACGATGATTGTCGCCATTCGCGCCACTCTCATAAGTCCGCTGGGCATCCAATGAAATCTTCGGAGCTGACAAAGCTTACCACTGTGCTCTCTTTGCTATCAAAGTACGATGGGACTGGAGACTGGGAGGCATTTTATGATTCCTTCTCTGCCGATATCATGAGCAGACGTCACCTCTCACTCGCCCAGCAACATAAAATCTTGCAAGACCACGTTATCGGTGATGCTAGATGCTGCGTAGCGACGTCGAAGGACCATTCTGCGGCGATCAAAGCAACTTTCGCGAATCTGAAGACAGCCTTTGGCCACAATCTGACCAAAGACAAACTGTTGCAAGATTTTAACAAGCTTTCATTCCATCAGTCGGACCCAGATAAGATGCGGCAAGATATGGCAACTTTCGCCAATGCTCGCATGCTGCTCCTTGAGCAAGGAGTAGCCGCCGACGATGATAGAGTCACCAAGGTCTTTGCTAGCAAACTGCCGCACACCCTCCGTAAAGGTGTGTTGAAGCTAATGCAGCTCCGTCCACAGACCACTATTGATGACGCTATTATCAAGGCTTCTGGCGATATCCGTTACATGGAACTGGAACAAGAAGTTAACGATCTTGCGACATCTTCGTCTTCCAATGAGATTCCGAAAACCGCTTTGGTCAAATATGCCAATGATAGCTATGGTGAGCCCAAGCACGGTAAACCGGTATACGATGCTAGCAGTGTCACAACCCGATTCACCGACCACGTGACTAAGACCTGTCTCCCAGGACATTACGCTCCAGGACGAGGTCTTGACATTGAGTCGCTGCCAATTACCTTCCCGTTTGACAACAACGAACCTCTGACCTGCCCTGTTTGCTCGGAAGCCGGCCACAGCGCCCTTCGATTCAATCTCAACAGTGCAGACTTCAGGGATCAAGTCGAACAGAAGAAATTGTGCCCTCTTTGTTTGTCACAAAGTCATGCAATCGAAAACTGCACGTCCACTAGATCCTGCATCTACTGCGGCGGCATGCATCATACTGGGGGATGCCCGCTTAAGGAATTCTACAGAGATTTGGCCAACTATCCACAAGAAGCCAAGCCAAGACAGACTCTTTTTCGGGAAGCGAAGCAAGATCACTCAGTCAAAGTAACTCGCGCAGCATCAAGGCAGGTACAGATGTCAAATCTGTACTAACCGTAGACTTGCCAACTACACCTGCTTTTACTTCTGACTGTATTGCCGCCCTTACCCAAAAAGTTTCTAATTATCCTAATATCTCTGATAACGAATCCTTTTCGGATCCTGTCTTTGCCACAGCTAACCACTCTATCATTTCTCATGAGACCGGTACCGCTGGACCACTGTCTAGAAAGAATCGTATTCCAACTTCGTGTCCCGACCAGTACCTCATCAGATTAGTATCACCCGTCACGGCGCTGATCCTAATTCACGACTGTCATTCATCTGCCCGACCACAGTAGACAGTAAAACTCTACTGGCGCTCGTCGATACAGGTGTTTCTCTGTCGCTGATTTCTGAGTCCAGAGCCCGTAAACTCGGCCTGGAAGTACTGCAACAGACACAATTGGCGATTCAAGAATTTTGCTCACCGACAGTGTCCCCAGCCTACACCCATGCTCCTAAGCTAAAATCTGGAGAAGGTTCACCACCTCTTGCTTCCATGACGCAAAATTTGATGGTAACCCTTCAGAGAGGCAACAATCAAGTTCCTCGCTACGCTAAGAGCACAGTAGTCCAACTACTGAGAACATTCCGCTTCTTGAAAAACAAATCGTGGCAGTCCGAATACATTCAGAAGTTCACCCAGTCCGAATGTCCTATCTACCAACAGAGCGTGGCCGGGTGGATAATCATTCGCGAACACTATGCAGAGTTCGACTCACGCGGTTTGTCTTTTCCGGGCAAGCTCAAGCTCAGACTTGATACCGATGACCTCTGGAGAGTAGTGCGGAACCTCCGCTCGCCAGTCCTTCCCTGCGAAACTAGCGAACCACTCTACATCCACTCCAATCACCCTCTTGCGGAACTTCTAATCCGAGACCGCAATGCAGACGGCAGCATTGGGAAGGTCTACGCCTTGATTTACATCTGTCTCGTTATCCGAGGAACCTTCAACTTCGGTGGCAAGATTGTAAACCAAGAAATTGCGTCCATCGAACCAAGTTGTTCCCTGACCGCTTTTTCTAGCCAGGATCTACGACTTCTTATCGTTAACGTACATTGTATCAAGCTGTCAGAGCATGGTTAACAATAGACCTCTGACCCCACACATCAGAAGCCCTGGAGACACAACCGCTTTGAGACTTCCAATACCCAGGCGTTCTTTCCGAGACACCTCTCGAGTTCGACAGAAACTTGGTCTCTACCTACACAAAGACGACTGTCCGAGAGCACTTGGAACAGCTCTATGCAGCTGAAGAACAAATGTGGAAGATCTGGAGTCTCGCATACGTTACTCAACTCCGGGAGAGTACACATGCAGACGAGCGTTGCTGTCAGCTAGAGCCCAAAGTGGGAGACGTTGTCCTCATTGTGACCACTATGGTTAAAAGGCACAAATGGCCTCTGGGCATCGTAGACGTTAAGGAGTCTGAACGCAACGGTGAAATCCGCTCCGCAGATGTCAAGTTTAAAGGAGTGATCTACAACAGAGCGATCTGTCAGCTTGTACCTCTTGAAGTCAATCCACTGAACCACCCTTCCAAGAGGAGTGACAAGAGTACTGACCCCAAGACCAATCTGCCACTCCCTACACCTGCAGTTCTTGATTCTGCGGTGAAATACCCCCCAGAGCCATTCCCCTCTAAGGCCATGCCCAACATCCCGGAAGCACCTACGAATGCTCACAAAGCATCTCACACTCAGGATGCGGGCTCCGCTGACTCGACAGCAAGGCTAGATAGCATTGGTGAACGAGGAGAGGGTGCCGCGAAGCACCTAGAGTTTCCAGACGAACAGATCAGCATAGATCCAGTCTACCTAAACCCTAACATTTCCATTCCGGACTATGAACGGGCTGGACTACCTCCGGGACGTGCCAGAGACTACTTACCACGTACGACAAAAGCCGGACCTATCGACTATGCCCTGACCGCTGAAGCTCTGGCGCCAGCCCACTGTGCTTATTCCTCAGAAATCTTCCTATTTCCCACTTTATTCTCCTTATTTATCTTTGTTTATCAGTCCTTCTATTGTTTTCTCATATTCAAATCCCCCCGCCTTTTTCTCCTTTCTTCGTGCAAGCGCGCCCTATCGTACGGGTCTCGCCACGAAGGGATTAAAGGCGCACACACACTCACAAAACAGTTTCTGGCCTACATTACTCAGTCTAATTCAGTCTAGTTTTCTGTTCTGTTCTGTTCCGTGACGTTTCCCTTCAGTTTGCAAGTCCGTCAACCTCGTTACTCATCATTATTCCTACTATTTCAATACTATAAGACCTCCGGCGATCCCCGGTCGCCTTACCGGCCTTATTGGACTATCGGAAACCGCTAATGGTGTGAGTTGATATAGATTTCCTTTTGAATAGACTAACGGCCAGTTCTGTGACCTGTTTCATGAGTGTTTTCCTTTCAGTGCTCTCATCGTGACCACTAGGAAGCGTGTGCTATTGGGAACTTCGACTCCAAGGAAACCTCTTATTAACGATATATTCTCTTTATTAAATATATACTGCTCAATAAATGGGTCACTGATACTACTGTTGTTATTATTGTTTCCACACCGCTTATCAGCCCGCTCGTCGTCCGACTCCTCGCTACAGACATAACTAGTTCCCCTGTTACCGATGCACTTTCCCCTATTTTACCAGACAGCACGCACAAGGAGGTAGCTTGATTCTCTGGAGCCGTCTCGGGGAGTCCAACACTCCCCAAGGTGACCCCTCTACAATTACAAATAAATTATTGATTTTCACCGACAAAATTTTATTTTTGTTAAATGAATTGTTTTAACAATGGACATTCTCTTTCATATGATTCATAAACTACCGTAACATATTCAGACTTTTGCACTGTGAGAACCGATTTCTCAAATCCTTCACGAACAATCCTTGTGTGATTCAAAATTCCTTTCCAAATTTATCATTTCTCTGATATGTTTCTACCTCATTTCTCTGCATACTTTTACACATTTTTTTGTCTGGACGGCCACCCTTGAAACGACGGGGAACCTACCGAAATCCTGAATAATTAACGTACTGACAAATAGGAATTTTGACAAATCTAATTTTCCGATCAGCAAAGTACATAGAAAGCGTTTCCGATCATTAAAAACAGCGAAGAAATTAGCCTTGAGAGATAGAGATCGGAGACAAATTCTCTGCCTTCTGACCGACCTCCGGTCCTCACTTTCGTTAATTGTTTTGAGGAGTGCCCTTTGTCTCCCTCACGTCCGTAGACCAGTCTGATTCTGTGTACATATGTTATTCGCATCGAAAAAGGTACTTTAGTTTATATTTCTTATTCATCTTTCCTGTTTTTTTCAGTCTAACCCTTTTACCTGTCTTATATGTGCACGGCCTGCGCACGGCCATCATTATAACGTTTTAACTTGCAAAGGATGTAAAACATTTTTTAGAAGACAATGTCTTCTCAATATTTCTGAAAAGTGTAACCTCCATGGTGACTGCTTTGATTTAAAGAAACGAAGTAAGTTTTGAATGTATTCCAGGATCCCAATATCAATTTCAGACTCTCCATTGCTAAGATGCCGACCTTGCCGATTCCAGAAGTGCAAGTTTGTTGGAATGAAACCAGAATGTGTTCAGTATAAAGAACCATCAAAGCAGATATTAGTAACTTATTAATTAAACTCACTGGAGAACAAAACACAACGTTTAATCGGTTCCCTGAATTATGTGGAGTGGAAACTTGAGGTTTTTCGTAGATCTTCTTATAATCCACATTGGCATACTTTGTACTCATTGGATTATCTGATAAGGAGAGATGGAGTGCTAGGATCTGCTGAAAAATATGGGGTAAGTTTAAAACTTAATTTATCTGACTTCCTGTTGATGTTCACGAATTTCAGCCTATGCCAGGTTGGCCAATTCAGCACAACATCCCATTGCCCGAATCCCAGATTAGAAATGTTCAAGGCAACAAAAAATATGAATTGGCATGGTGCCAGAATAAGTGAGTGTTACAATTTTCAATATTTGTGATACTCAATACTGTTTCAGAAAAGTATGGTCTCTTTTCAATATGCTGGCAATCATCGAGTACATGAAAACGTTTGATTTCTTCGATAAATTATCAGCAGAAGATAAATTCCTACTAGCTAGACATACTGTATTGCCTTGTCTAAATTTACATGTTTCCTATTTTTCATTGATGAACAAATGCGATGGATGTTTGCACCCAGATGGTACCCAACAGCCACTACGAGAGTGAGTGAACAGATTTTTTTAAGTTTGTATGATTTAATTGTTTAGCGAAGTACACTATTCCATGACTGTGATGCCGGTCAAAGCATTAATAAGAATTCAAATGAAACCTGTTGAGTATGTTCTTCTTAAAGCAATTTGTCTATGTAATCCAGGTAATCTATTAGAACCTTATACAAATCTTAAAGTAGTATGGTGATTCGAGTACAACTGCTCTCGAATGTCACAAACAAAACCAAGAAAATCTAGATTCGAAATGTTCATTGCAATGCTCATTTTAGCTTTTGGCCACGTCAATCTTCTAAAATGAGCATACTCTTACTTTAACATTCCTATTATTACAATGTTCCAGCTGTAAGCGGTCTATCATTATATGCTCAATCTCTTCTGCTCACTGAACGTCAAAAATATACAAAACTTCTATCTGACTACTGCCTTCAAAATCATGGACCTGGTCGGCTTGCTGAGCTTCTCGGAATATTTTTTATTTTAGAAAGACAGCAGGAGCTGCAAAAGAATTTTTATCTTCTGATAATTGGCCTTCATAGAAGATGGAAAATTTTTATTCATGATGTAATGGTTTCCTAAAGCCATCTACTTCTTACTATGGAACCTTTTCTGTGTGTGTGTGTGTGTGTGTGTGTGTGTGTGTGTGTGTGTGTGTGTGTGTGTGTGTGTGTGTGTGTGTGTGTGTGTGTGTGTGTGTGTGTGTGTGTGTGTGTGTGTGTGTGTGTGTGTGTGTGTGTGTGTCCGTCTCGGACATTAACTTGAATAACTCAAAGGGACGTGGGACTCCTATAGTGGTGTGTGCTACGTAGTCATGGACTGCCGAGCGCTTCATGTCTATGGTGTACTGGGCCTTCTAGCTAACAGGGAAGCTACAGTGTTGAGAATCGAAAACTTCAAAATTATGCTCTAACTCAATAAAACTTCACGAAATTTTGCAAAACGGTTTTTTGGCCTATCTATGTGTTGCCTGCATAAAATTGAGCACAAATCTTCAGAACTGGAAAATTTTGAAAATTTCGTTTTTTTTTTGTATATCACTTGAATTTCGATCCTGTGGACTACTGGAAATGGGTCATAGTAGTTTCCTTTTGAATACAATGTTCTTAAGTTATGCAGAAAATTCCAGAACATTCTAGAAAATACCAGAAAATTCTACAACATTCTAGAAAATTCAGAAAACTCCAAAAAATTTCAGAAATTTCTATTAATTTCCAGAAAATCAAAAACATTCAAGAAAGATAACGAACATTTCTTGAATTTTAGGAAGTTTCAGGAAATTCTCAAAAATCCCGGAACATTCCATAGAGTTCTAGAAAATTCCAGAAACTTCCAGAATGTTCCAGAACATTCTAGAAAGTTCCAGAAAATTCCAGAACATTTTAGAAAATTCCAGTAAATTCCAGAAAATTCCAGAAAATTCCAGAACGTTTTAGAAAATTCCAGTAAATTCCAGAAAATTCCAGAACATTCTAGAAAATTCCAGAAACTTCCAGAAAGATCCAAAAAATACAAGAAAATTCCAGAAAATTCTAGAGCTTTTTAGAAATTTCCAGGATATTCCGTTTTTTGAATGCTCAACGTAAACCCCTGTTGAGGTTGAAAAAGGGCAAACACTTTCGGAGGGTACAAAAATTCGGGGGTACAAGGGGGTACAAAGCAATTTAAGGGGTAAAAAATCCGCAATTCGGGGATACAAAATACTGAAAAAAGCTCAGTTTTGTACCCGCAAACTGTGAGTTCTGTACCCCTAAATCATTTTGTACCCCTTTGTACCCCCGAATTGTTGTACCCTCCAAAGGTTTTGCCTGAAAAAAAGGAGAAGCGTTCTCTATAAGTATACAGGTATTTTAATCACTTCGCTATTTTTTCAAGGTGATCTGAAATCAAAGTCTTAGAAGTAGTGCTGTGTGTGGGTTTTTTGAATATCTGAATTTCAGAAACCCTAACAATCAGTAATCAGAAAATCCAGGAACATTCTAGAAAAAACAAGAGATTCTACATGTGGGCATTTATTCAAGAAAGTACGGTATTCAAAAATTCCGATATCAGGAAAATATAACTTTTGAAAATAAAGAAACTCGGAAATTTCGGACACACGGAAAGTGGGAATTTCTGAAATTAGGAATTCAAATGTAAGATAAAGTAAACAAAACCCAGGAGGTTGAGCCCCCGGCAGGGGGCTCAAACCGACCGGTAAAACACTAATAAAATTATTTTTATCAATTGCATTTCTTTAACAATGGACATTCTCTTCCATATAACTCATTAACCATCGTAACATATTTACACTCTTGAATTGTGATCAACGATTTTTCAACCACATGAAGAACCAGTATAATTTCTCCAACTCTTAACGAATAATCGTTGTGCGATTTCAAATTTCTTTCGTATTCTATCAATTCTTTGATAATTTTCGTCCTCATTTCTCTGCATATTTCAACACACTCGTTTGACTGACCGCACATTCCTAAAATGTCAGTTTAAGCCTTTTTGGTGAGCGAAACCTACCAAAATCCCAGAAAATCAACGCACTTGCAAATAGAAACTCTGATAAGTCTAACTGAATTTCCTTCATATGTTTCTTCAATCCATGGTTAAACTTTTTCCAATACGGCTCCAAAATTCTGAAATGAAAAATTCGTGCAAAATTTTTGAGGTGAACCAACCTTTTCACAGTGTCCGCTGCAGAATTGTCTTCATCCTCACTAGAATCGCTGTAAAAATCACCCATGTTCTCCGGGTCCACATAATCACCATTTAGAAGGATACAAAAATCGCTATCTTTGGATCGAAACCCTCCATCGAGCATTTTAAATGCAGGCAAGAATTGATTGCTTAGGAGATCAAGTTGATCATTGTCAGTTGATGTCGATAATCGAAATAAAGAAGTGAAGTACTTATGAATTAGGTTTATATCCATGGCGCATATCGAATTGGCGTCTTTGTAGTTGGAAGTACTTGGAGTGCGGTTCTGAAATAAATGTATTTCGTTTTTTCACAATCTGAAACAGAATTTTTTTTCGATATCTAAAACCACAGATTCCGGGGAAGACAACTAAGAAATGTTGAATTTGTTCATTTCAGGGATAGAGGATAGAGATTAGAGTGGTCTAACTTTCTCAAAATGATTTTTCTGTCCCATTGTGGATGTTGGTTCGAAAATGGCCTCACTTGCACCTAGTGGGTTATCCCTCACTAACAACTTAACATCAACCTAGAATGTTTTCAAGGCCGTTATAACATCATGACCCAATTTTTGCAAGTTTAGATTTTTAGGTCACCAATTTTTATGTCCTCAAAATAATTTATTATTCACCTAGTAGTTTTCTAGGTCGTTCGAACATTATGGCTCAACTTTTGTTGAGTTTTCTAGTCTATTATGGTGACTGACCTAGATAACACACTAGATAAACTCAGAGAACCCAAAAAGTGTTCGAAAAAAAACTACGACGTTTCGAAATAACACACTCTTAAAATTAGTGATTCGGACTAAATTTTGAGACGGACTTCGAACTTCGGAATACGGAGACTGGACAATACAAAGCTTCACATTTAAAAAACATTAACCTCCTCTTTCCTGAACGATTTCTTTCTCGCTTCCTCTAACGTCCAATAAGCTCTTTTCATTTGTTCCAAAAAACTCGTTTCATTGCTCAAACCTAGGACACCCAATCCTGCTCCCCGATTCGAAAGTATTCTCGCCATCACTTCAGAAGACTTCATCCCCACTTTAAGACACCTTTCGTATCGACAAGATGCGCATAGTTTTCTTAGTACTCGAGTGTCTAATCTGCAATTCCCATCGCATCGGATCACTGATGTCATCTTTTTTCCGACGACGATCCGTCGGAAAAATGCGGCGCAGGCTCTGCAAGAAGACGTGTTTATATCTAGAATGAACTTGGACACAAACCACATCAACTCTGGTTTTTGTGACAAAAAATCGTAGTTTGTGTTGGGATTTATGAATAGGAATAAAAACCTACCTACAAGAAATAGCTCCAAAATGACAGGAACCAGCGGATTGTCCACAAACTGTGCAAGTAGGTGAAGTTTTCATGTCTGAAAATGGAGGTTTGTCTGTAAATGAAAAATGGGAGTTGTGGAAAAAAACAAGTGCTATAATTTTAGACATATTCAAAACAAAATTTGTCCGAATTTTTGATAAACAAAACAAAATAGAAATTCTTTAAAAAACTTTGAGTGAATCTCAAAAAAATAGTACACCGCTGAAGAAAAGATGAAAAGATTAACCATCTTGAGAAAGGTCGTCTCCGTGCGGCCAAGAATGTGTGAGAACGGGAAATCTAGATAAAACACCTAGACTTTCTGGACACGAATAGGAATAGAAATAGTGTGATTGGCAGTTGCGCTCTAATGAGAAAAGGCGTGCCAAAGCTGACACGCCCCTTCTGTTCAGAGTTCAACTTCATTAATTTCACCCCAGTGGTCATGTATCATTATATCAGGTCTTTGGTCTCCTCAACGAGATCATACATTTTATTTTGAATTTACTAGTGCAAGTGTGTGTGCAAAACTGGCATTTAAACTTGAGTCAATTTTGAAGAGGTTTTGGAGAGTGTCCATTATAATTTTCAACAATTTATTATTATAAAAACTGATAAACTTTCGCAATCCAATTTGTTAATCCTAAACTTTTCCGATTAGCAAATATGTAAGAAAAATTGATGTTCAATGGAAGGAACACAAGCTCTAGGAGGGAATGAAGAGGAGCTCCAAATTTTGTGTCCACTAATCCAAATCTATCGAAAATAATTGTGCCGAGAATTATCTAGAAATGAAAATTGAAAAAATAAATAAAATTTAGAACTCACAGATTTCGAAAAAAATAACACTAGTGTTTGTAGTAAGATAAATGTAAAAACCGTATTCTGTTCTGGGATATTCTTGAGGAATAATAAGATGTAGAGGTATAGAAGTAAGCTAACACAGGTTAAAAAGTATGCAAATATGAATGATAAATTTAAATCGCTGAGAACACAAATTCCTCTATTTTTATATCGATTTATTCGGCAGATGACTGAAGAAATATAATGTTCGAATGGTTTGAAATCATTCAACTCACATGGAAATGCAAATTTTGTAAGCATGGCGCTGATAGTCAGAAGCAATATTATCAATTTGAAAAACCGACTTCTGAACTTCACCAGGTTTTTCAAATCAGGAAAAATTAGAAGAACAAATCTTTGAATAGCAAGCATCCACGCCAAGAATACATATAAATCCGGAAATATTATACTTTGCAAAAAAATGAATGCCAGACAAGCGTATGCAAACTTAAGACCCACTTTGAAAATCACTGTTCTTTGGACATGACTGAAAATTTGAATTTCACTAGATGATCACCAGAAACGTTTCTTTTGGACACCCACTATTTCCATTCTAATCCAAACAACAAAGTTACATACAAAACCAAAAATATATGTGAAACGGTCACAAGTATTGAAATTTTGTGAAGAATCTTCAAAATCGGGTAACAGATTGTCTGAAATTACCAAAATAAATTTTGAAGTTATAAGATTCCAAACTTTCGCAACTCTTTCAACGTTATAGTTCCATGCAATTATATAAATAAACGTACTAATGATACTTAACAACATTTGAAAAATACCTAGTGTTGATTTGATATCCAAACCATATTCTGTAAAATTTTCAGAGGTATCGAATGTGAAATTCGCAAACATGACTGGGGAGAAGGCACCGAAATTTGTGACGTTTCAGAGAAAATACTTCACCTGTTCCTGAAATATTTTACTTGACATAAATTGAATTATGTTGTATATACATAGAAACATCTGTTAGACTTCGAAACTTTATTAAAGGTGGGGGGACAGGAGATTTTTCGTTTTTTTTTTGTAGCTAGAGTATGCATTCTACCGTCACGGTGTACAACGCTTAATGTCACTCTGCGTACAGCTGTCGTCCTCGCCTTTATGTATGCAATCGGGCGTGCGCTTTCTCCTTGCCCGCGTGGCTCATTCGGTAGCGGCGCCGCACCCTCAATCATCGCCCTCACAAGTTCAACTCCTCGAGGAGCATCTTTGAACGGAATTTCGAGAAAATTATTTTTTTCATGTCCCCCCACCTTTAAAAAAATGTAGTTTCACAAAAACAAATAACAATAGAGTACAGCTAAAATTGGTTTATTTGCCACGTTCAGGAACCGGAAATTTGGCAATCAGGATTTTAAAAACTGCCCGTTTCGAAACTAGTGTTTTGGAGCCGGATGTTTAAACCTCGTACTTTTCAGAACTAAACATTTCGGACCGAAAAACTCGGAACTAGATGTTTAAACCTCGCACGTTTAAAGCTTTTTTTTCAGAATCATAAATATAAATGGATCATTTCAAAACCAAACAATTTGGATGCGCTCATTTTCCAACCTTTGTGCTTCCCAATTGGTGGACTTATTGCTCAGACCAGATGTGGATCTGAAATTACTGGTGATGAACCAAATCAATGCAAAGAAGCTGGATCACGTCAAATACTTTTATGCATGAAATTTGCAGATCATGAACTGAAAATGAAACTTCTGTACCTAAAAAAGAATGGTTTATTCTTAAATGTCTCCAAGAATCGAGATATGGACTCTAAACGACAGAATATGCATTTGAAAATTAGAGCAGACATCAAGCTGAAAAACAATAAAAATCGAACTAAACGTCATTTTTACCTGCTCTTATCGCCGGTGACTCATTGGAAGAACTGTAAAAATGAGACCTCAAACCATTCACATGAATACACTCACTTTGTCATTCTCTACTAGAAATCGGCGACCCGGTACTTCTAGATGATTTCATAACTAGTCTTATCAGTAATTTTCCAACCGAGTAGTCGGGTAGGCTCTTACGAATTGTATCAAATGATCAGTGGAATGCAGGAACTTTTTGATGTCTTTTTTCCACGGCATAGTTTCTGATCTTGTGAGATGTTATGTGGATGACGTGAAGCTTCTGGAGTATAAAAAGATGGGGGATGGTGGATGGGGATTCTAAAGTAGTTTTGTTGTGTGCTATAGATTTCTGATATTTTGGTTTAGAAAAGAAGGTAAGTAAACTTTGTAACCTAAAAAAATAATTGGTAAAGAAAAGATCAAAAAGTGTGGGAAAGCCAACATTTAAGATTAAAGGTGGGTGTCAGAGTAGTTGCGTTGGATTTGCTATACTGGAAACGGAGCGACGTTCATTATGCTTTCCACCAGTTCAGACTTTCGAGACTGTAGCAATTTTTATGAAAGTTCAAACATCTTACAGCTGACCTGATACTGATATTTGCTCTCAAAATGAGCCAAAATATTCAGAAAAAAAGTTTATGTGCGATGTCACAAAGTACGAAAATGTTCATTTCTGCATATAAGTTCTGAGCGATTCGATGCTGGTCTTTCATTTCTAGATTCTATGACATTTGTCACAAATATTTGAAAATGTAAAATTTTTAATAGCACTAATTTCAGCAATTACTTTTTTCTATGACTAGGACACATGGCCAAAATGTTGGCTGGATTTTGTACAAGTTTTGGCAGCTGTCCGTTTGTCGACTTATTGTCCAAGTCTTGCGCAAGCAAATCGATTTTTCGGCAAGATTCTGACCAGTGAACCAAATTAGTAAATTCAAATAGGCAACTTAAAATATTTTTTCCACTTTTGATAATGTTGAAATGGCCAAATTGTCCGAATCTTGCCTAACTCTTGCCCAAGTCCCTGCAAGCCTCAAACATAGAAGTTTGTACGAAAGTTGTCGATATCCACCGAATCAAAACCTTGGGCAGTTTCTCGACCAATGAACCAAAATTACAAAATCAAACGCAATACACAATGTGCCCGGTTTGTGATTTCGTCTCGTTCCTGATAATTTGACTCATCTTGTTACCCTGGGTCACAGTTTGATAACAGTCTCAACCAGTTATGAAATCAAAAAGAGAATTCCCCTTTTTCCACAAAAATTCAATTATTTGCCGAGCAGGCGGCAAACTTGACTCTTTTTTTCTTCCAATTCAATTCTCTTTATCAAGTAAACACAGGGCACATTTTGATAAGAGAACACTGGGGGAGAGCTGCAGCGGTTTGGGGCACAAAGGGCGGGAAAAAAATGACGATGATAACATTCCGGAGGTGTCATTTTGAGTATATATTTGGTTGGGTATACTAGACCTCATTTTTTATTCAGTTTGCGTTTTTGGATAGCTTGTTATTTGATACTTTTGTAAAGAGGGGAGGTAGAGAGGTTCGGTTCCATAGAGCCAATTGCTTTATTTGTTTATCGATTTTATTTTAAAAGTTTGAGAGTAGATATTATAGATATTAGAAGCTTTTTTTGGACTGTGGGTTTAGTTGAGGTTGAAATCCGAAAGATTTTTCTCTGAGAATTGAAATTTTCTAAACATTTTCTTTAAAAGCATTATAATGATTAAGAACTATAGAATGTTCGGAATTTTAGAGAAACATTATTTTTCTACTTTCAAAATTTCTGAAACTAGTCATAAGTTTTTTCCTGATAACCTTTCATTTTGGATTCTCTAGGACATAACCTATTTTTTTCGGTTTTTTAGATCACGACCTAAATTTTAAATTTTCTAGGTCATGACCTAATTTTCGAATTTTCTAAGTCATGTTCTCATTTTTGGAATTCCTAGGCCATGACCTAACTTTTCAGTTTTTTAGGACATGACCTAAATTTTCGGTGTTGTAGTTAAAGACCTTGTTTTTGGATCTAGGGTCACCACCTTATTTTTTGGACTTTCTAGGTCATTTCCTAATTTTCGTATTTTATAGATCATAACCAAGTATTTTTGATTTTCTAGGTCATGTCCTCATTTTTGGAATTCCTAGCTTATGACCTAATTTTTCAGCTTTTCTCGGACATGATTTAATTTTCGGATTTTCTAGGTCGTTCCCTTTTTTGGATTATCTATGTCGTGACCTTGTTTTTTCTGAACTTTCAAAAAGGCTGCCATTTGTTCAGAAGAAAAAATTCTGACTCATTTTCCAACATTCTGAACACATTCCCCAAAAGTTTCGACACTTCTCTTTTTCTACATATTCTTTGTTTTCCTTGACTCATGAAAAAAGTTGAAACATTCCAAATTTGGCAACAAACGACTCTCTCTCTTTTTTGTCACTTATCTCTAACAACAGAAATCACGGTTTGATAAGTTTTTTTTTAATTTCTTCTTTTTTTATAGTGTGCACTTGTCACTTGAAATAGACGCAGACAGCTCGAAAAAAAGGAATGACGAGTTGTATGAATTTTGTTTGCTCTTGAAATTTCACACTTGCATACTCTTACTTGGATGTACTTCTAATACTTCCTCTTAAAGAAGTTGAAGAGGTGTTCAAATACTTTTTAGAATTATATATGCACAGAAAATGTGACAAAATGGAAACGACTCAACTTTTTTTCTAATTTTTCTAGCCCCTCTCAGAAGCCGTTATTAATGAAATATGCTCTTCTAATGCAGGTCTAACATTACAGAATGGGTGCATTGAGCCAACTTCGGCTCCTGCTGTGGAAAAACTGGTTACAGCAGCTCAGGTCTCCGTGGTTCGCATTATTTGAACTCGTTGTACCACTCATTCTCATTGGAGCAAGTTTCGGATTGTTGATTGGGGTGAGTCTAGAATTTTTGTTTTGGTCCGCACGTTGAACTCCTCGCGAGACCTACAGTACCGGTACTTAAGTATTCTTCAGTTAATTTTCGGTCAATTTGACCATTTTCAAGAGTCGGGAGTTCTCATGCATCCGATAACTTTGAAATTTTGGAGGGTGTAAAACAGACCTGATTAAAAAGTTTCCCATTCACAGAATTTTTCGAAACTTCCTAGTTTTTCAGATATTTGCCATTTTCTGAAATACATTCATTTTGGCTGGTTTTTGTACTGGAAATGGAAAAAACATCTTCCAGAAATCAGCAATTAGCTGAAAAAAAGGAACTTTCAAAAAAATTCTGTGAATGCGAAGTTCTCCAACTAGATCTGTTTTACACCCTCCAAAAATTTCAAAGAAAATTTGACAGTCGAGCTCCAGACATTCGAAATAGCCAATATGATGAAAAAATCAACTGAAGATACGTCCTTTCATCTTTTTGACCGGTACTGTATGTTAACAGAGCTTTACAAAGAATTTTTTGGTTTTGTTAAACAACAGCTTCCGGGGATTTGAACGAGAAAAATAAGATGCCGCACCGCTAGTTATTAAGCTTCGCAGACGCAAATTCCGACTGAGCAGCAACATCCCCAGATCTCATGAAAAATACTATCATTTTCAGTTCTCCGACCAATTCGAGACCACCTACGATGAACGGCGTTACGCGGCATGGCCAGTATCAGGAAGTGCCTATGATCTCATCATGCCTACCAACCCCAACGATTCCATCAAATCCGCAATCGTAGAGCCGTATTTCCTTTTCAATTCCCAACTGACTTGCCAGTTTTTGAACACCTACTCGACAGGTGCCAATAGTTATCGAATGGGTAAACCGATCATTCCTTAACCACAACTTATCTCATTTTTCAGACATAATTCTCGCGTATGCTCCAATGAGTGCGGCTACCACCGATAAGATCATGTCAATCATTCAATCTCGTTACTCATTAACAGACTTGCTCAGCCCCGTAGCTCCATTCATTCACAATTTGTACAATATCACAACAATACCGACTTTGAACACTAATATGTCTCTCAAAGGATTCAACACTGAAGGAGATATGGTGTCATGGATGCAAGGACAGTTTCAGAGCGAATGTGACAATCCTTTATTGGCTGGAATTGTATTTGATGACTCGATCACTAAAGATCTGTTTAATGACAACAAGCGAGATTTCACATATAAAATTCGTCTTTCAAATACCCACAGGAGATCTAGAAATGTGAGGTTTTATCGGAGTATTAAAAAATAAGCAAAACTTTACAGGCCTTCGGCGACGACAGTTATCCATGGGACACCTCCGTTTCTTTTGCCATCCAATACGTCAGTGGACCCATCAACCCAGACGACAACGATGGGGGATCTCCTGGCTACTGGCAAGAAGGATTCATGACCGTCCAGCGAGCTGTCGACGTGGCAATCACTGAGCTTATCACTGGATCCGGACCTCCAATCTCTCCACTTCTCGATTCTTATCAAGTCTCGAGATTCCCTTTCCCAGGATACTCCACGAAAATCATTGAAGTCGGGGCTTATTTCATGCCAGTCATTGTGATTTTCTCTTTCATGACTAGCGTGATTTACATCGTTCGTGCCGTGGTGGTGGAGAAGGAGGATCGGCTGAAAGAGTATATGAGAGTCATGGGATTATCTCAATTTATCAATTGGATTGCTCATTTCCTGATCAACTATGCTAAACTGACATTTGCAGTGATAATTCTGACGATTCTTCTGCATTTTGTAGCTTTGAAGTGAGTTTAGAAAGTATATCAAAAGGGACTGTTATTTTAAAGAAGTATTTCAGATCCGACATGACCTTAATGTTCGTATTTCTGATGGTCTATGCGTTTGACGTGGTCTATTTCGCATTTTTGATCTCCTCATTCATGAACTCTGCCACTTCCGCCACCTTGATCTCCGTGGTTTTCTGGATGCTCCTCTACTTCTGGTACGCATTCTTCTCTTCTATCGACCAAACCAACCCATACGCTCTGGGAGTTCGTCTCATCAATTGCTTGAATCCGGACATTGCTTTGAATTATGGTCTTCAACTTTTGGCGGCATATGAGACCCAAGCTGCCGGTCTGAAGTGGAACGAGATGTTCAATCCACCAAGTCCAGATAATAATTTAACATTTGGTCATGCTCTGGCAGCATTAGTTATTGATGGAATCATCCTGGTTATCCTCACTTGGTACATTGAAGCAGTGGTCCCAGGAGGAGATGGTGTCCCGCAGAAACCTTGGTTCTTCATCCTGCCTTCCTATTGGTTCCCATATAGTGGCTCAAAAACAGTAAACTCTTCTGATCAGTACGAACACGTTGAGTATGCCTCGCATGTCAAGCTGGAACAAGAACCAACAGATTTGACTCCGACTATCAATGTGGTCAATCTCACCAAAACCTATGGTACTTCTTTTTTCAAAAAACTATTCGACTGTAAATTTGGAAAAGCTGGAGAAAAAAGAGCAGTGAGCAAATTGAATCTTAAAATGTATCCCGGTCAGTGTACGGTTCTTCTTGGACACAACGGAGCTGGAAAGTCTACGACGTTCAGTATGCTTACTGGAGTAGCTTCACCAAGTTCTGGATCAGCTTATATCAACAACTATGACATTCGGTCATCACTTCCAAAAATCCGAAGGGAAACTGGATTGTGTCCTCAGTACAACACTCTATTCGGTTTTATGACTGTGATGGAGCATTTGGAATTTTTCGCAAAGTTGAAGGAAAGGAAATGGGATCCCGAGGAGGCTCGAGAGATTTTGGCCCGACTCAGAATTGACTTCAAGGCTGACTTCATGGCCGGAGCACTTTCTGGAGGACAAAAACGTAAGCTTTCGTTGGCTATTGCATTGATCGGTGGATCAGAAGTGGTGATGTTGGATGAGCCAACTTCTGGAATGGATCCAGGAGCAAGACATGAGACATGGACATTGATTCAGAGGGAGAAGGAAAGAAGAACAATTCTGCTAACTACACATTTCATGGAAGAGGCTGATTTGTTAGGTGATCGCATTGCCATCATGGCTCACGGACAACTCGAATGCTGTGGATCGCCCATGTACCTCAAGCAACAATACGGTGATGGATACCATCTCACAGTGGTCTACTCCTCCACAGAAACACCAGACGTACCAAAAACTACTGAAATCATTCGGGAGTACATCCTAGAAGCCAACGTCTTCTCCTACATCGGTCAAGAAGCCACGTACCTTCTGAATGCCAAGCATCGTCCGATCTTCCCGAAGCTATTTAGAGAACTTGAGAACCATCAGAGACAATGTGGAATCACCAGTTTTGGAGTCTCCATCACTACCATGGAGGAGGTATTCCTTAAAGTGGGACACCTGGCAGAAGAGAGATATAACTATGAGCATGGAATTGAAGATGAGAGTAGTGAGCTGATTGAGAAGGATGATCCAATGTTACAAAGTGAGTTTTTCTCTCTTGACAATTTTTCGTAATCGGGTAATTTAGATCTGAAAGCGCCAGTTCGTCTAACCGGATTCGCTCTCCAGATGCAGCATGCTAAGGCAATGTTCTTCAAGCGTGGAATCTTCTTCTTCCGAAAATGGACCCAATTCTTGCCTCAATTAGCGTTCCCTGTTGCCTATCTCATGTTGATGGTTTTCACATCGCAAGTCATCCCATCTGTCAAGGAACAAGATCCTCAAACAATTTCCTTGGCTCCATTTTCGACGAAAGACAAACCAGGACACGTGGTTAGTGACTCTGGGAACTACGTTACTATGAATGGAGCGAGCACCAAGTTGAGCAACATGGTCCAGAATACTGTAGCAGCTCTTGGTGTCAATCAAACCGTTGTTGATATTAGTTCAAGTGTGGAGAGCTTCATTATGAATCAGACAAACGCGTTGGGATCTCGAAATTTTGGATTGAAGTATGCCCTTGGATTTGTGCCATCGAGTATTGGCATTCCAGGATTACCAATTCCAGACTTGAAGACTATCAGAAGTAAGTAAAGGTTAGCCTTCATAAAAATTTCAAATTACATTTTTAGCATATTTTAACAACTTTGGCTTATTCACTCCGGCTCTTGCAATCACATTCACCGATTCTATGCTACTGTCACAAGCTAAAAATAAGCAGTATACCTTCACGGTAAGCATCTCGGACCAGCCCGGGTACATGATTTTCGAAAAATTCCTCATTTAGATGTTTTGAATCATTGCGTATAAAAAAATCTTTGTCAATATTTTGCTTATTGCTCCCCATAGGGTTTTGAACTTGTTTGGCAAAACATGCTAATTTACATGGTTGGGCTTCTATGAGAGGATATGAATGTGGCGCGATATAGGAACCCCATAAAAACCTCTATTCCCTTCTTTTGTGCTTCCAAAAGTAGTATCTTCCAGGCCATCAATCATCCACTGCCACCATCCACTCAGGACACCTTGAAAAATACCAATAGAAGTGATGGAGCTGCTTTCCTGATTGCCTATGGACTAATTGTCGCCTTCGCTGTTTGTGTCGCCGGCTACTCTCAATTCCTCATCACCGAACGTAAAAAGAAATCCAAGCACATGCAACTGCTCTCCGGAATCCGTCCATGGATGTTCTGGTTCACCGCATTCATCTGGGACGCCGTATGGTTCGTCATCAGAATCATTTGCTTTGACGCCATCTTCTACATGTTCGACATCACCGCATATACCCATGACTTTGGAATCATTCTCATTCTAACGTTATCCTTCTTGCTCTATGGTTGGACAGCAATTCCATTCACTTATTGGTTCCAATTTTTCTTCGAATCTGCACCCAAAGGATTTATGATGGTCACCATGTATCATATTTTGACTGGAATGATAGGATCGATTGCTGTTCCAATTATCCAACAAACATCGAGTATGGATGCTGGATACCTCTGGTCGATTATCTTTGCCTGGTTCTTCCCAACCTACAATATCTCCCAAATTGCCACCGTAACCTTTCAAAATGAGAATGTGCGAATGGCATGCCAGAAGTTGGATTGCAACGTACCAATGTTCAAGTCTGTTGTAGCCTGCTGCGGTACGGCATCTCAGAAACTCTATGTTGATAACGTGCTCTTTGTCGGGAATCGAAAAGGAATTTTGGTTTATGTAATCTTCCTAGCTGTTCAAGGATTCATCTACTGGATTATGGTGTTCATGAGAGAAAACGATCAGTTTGGAAAAATCTTCAATTTGATTAAATGCTGGAAAAAGAAGGATGACCACATCTGGGACATCACAGAAGGAGACAAAGAGGAACAACGAGACGTGGAGGACTCTGATGTGATTGCCGAGAAATCAGTGGTACAACGACTGGCAAACAGTAATGAGACAGCACTGGTCAGTAACAATTTGGTCAAGTGGTACGGTAATTTCAACGCAGTCAAGGGAGTCAATTTCCACGTCAACTCGAAGGATTGCTTCGGATTGTTAGGAGTCAATGGTGCTGGAAAAACTTCCACTTTCCAAATGCTGACAGGAGAGAATTCGATCAGTTCGGGAGATGCTTTTGTGAATGGGTGGAGTGTGAAAAATAACTGGAGAGAAGCAGGAGCGAATGTTGGATACTGTCCACAATACGATGCAATCATCAAGGAGATGTCAGGAGAGGAAACGCTTTACATGTTCGCTAGAATTCGTGGAATTCCAGAGAAGGAGATTCCGGTCAAGGTAAGTCAACCTATTTACTAGAAAACTTTTCTTTCAACTTCAAATCTTGTCTCATTCCAGGTGCAAGCCGTGATCCACGCGATTGGAATCGGGATGTATGCCAAACGTCAAATCAAGACCTACTCAGGCGGAAACAAGCGTCGTCTATCTCTGGGAATCGCAATCGTTGGTCTTCCAGACGTTCTTCTACTCGACGAGCCAACTTCTGGAGTAGACCCGAAAGCTCGTAGAATCATCTGGAACATTCTCAACCGACTTCGAGATCTTGGTACTGCCCTAGTTCTCACTTCCCACAGTATGGATGAGTGTGAAGCGTTGTGTACTGAACTGGCAATTATGGTTTATGGAAAGTTCCGATGCTATGGAAGTTGTCAGCACATTAAGAGCAGATATGGAAGTGGATACACTTTGTTGATCCGGTTGAAGAATAGAGGGGACGCGGAGAAGACAAAGAGCACTATCCAGCAAACATTCCGAGGATCCAAGCTCAAGGAGGAGCACATTCTTCAGCACAATTATGATATTCCAAGAGAAGGAGATTCGTGGTCGAGACTTTTTGAAAAACTGGAAACCCTTTCTACATCTTTGAACTGGGATGACTATTCGCTGTCCCAGACTACACTGGAGCAAGTTTTCATCGAATTCAGTCGAGATGCCGGACAGCTTGATGTGGATCCATATGGTGATGTTCCAAGTTTGACAGGATCTGGTAATAAACAGAATGGATATGCCAATCGTGCCATGTCAGTGGAGAGTATTACTGAAATGGGCACATACTTCTAGCTTCCCTGTTTTGTTTAAATTTTGAATTTTTCGCTTTGACAATTCTCGGGTCTTTACTACCCTATTTCTTGTTCTTTCTTGCCTTGTTTATATTTTCTCAATAAATTTGCACAAATTAATTCAACAACATCCAGGAAAGGAAAATATCTCTTCTGCAATTAAATACTTAATCAATAATTAAAGAATCAGAGGCCCAAGAAGGTCGGATGTTCGTAAAAATCAGAGGTTCATAACTTTTCAAATTCTGTAGTACAAAATCCCGTTGTATGAGAAATTCTGGAATAGGTAATCATGTCAAAAAACATTCGAAAGACCGAAATAAGCAACGAAATTCTGATAACCCAGCCTCCGAATTGTTCATGTGTCTTGGATTCAAGAAGAGAGCCGGAATTTCTGAGGAACACTAATCCTATCTTTCATCGGAATCCACCAACGCAAACAGAGGAAAAAATCCACCACAAATTCCAAGTGTTTTCCAAAGCACAATACTAAAAGTTACCAAGAAAGAAACAATAAACAGCAGTAGTCACTAACACTAATGGTAGATTTCGAATGGAGCTAGGATGATTCAACCATTTTCTGAGGAACATTGTTGTCATTGCTCATGGTAATACATCAAAACAAACATAAGAAACGTTTCATCACAACTTCTGAGGTTTTTTCAAGAGCCCACCAGCCAACATGACTGAGGAAGAAACAACAAATAACAGTACTATAAATACAGTTGGCTAAACTCATGTCTCTCATTCTGTTGTTTACATTCGCTAGACATTCGAAACGGAAGAAAAATGCCTGGTGAGTTCGAATGCTATCATTTTTGTCTAAAAAGATGCTCAATTCAATAAAGAACGTTCCAGACGCATACAAAACAACCTCCGACGCCGTCACCGTCACAAATTCCGTACTTTCGGCGTCCGCTAAATTTGCCACTAAGACAGTGGCAGAAAACTTAGCAAAATATTGTGCATTGGGAGCAGTTGTAAAAGATTTGATTCCATTACTAGAACCAAATGAACCCAGCGCAGAAATGAAGAAATTGAAGGAGCTGGAGAGCAAATTGAATGCACTTTCCACCAGAATGGAACAAGGTTTCAATGGAATCAAAACATTCGTGGCTGCTTATAACTTCTATAACGTATGTTAAGAATTCAACACAATATCATACGATTTGTTTTTATAGAAGTTCGCCAGCAAGGCAGCCACTCTCATGAGTTACATGCGGCAGACCATCTTGAATCCATCTCATCATACAAAGGGACTTTTCCAGAAAGCTGTTGTTGATAACCCACCATTGTGGTATGCCAAGGTAAAACACCTGGTGCTATCCCAAAACATAGGCCCTGTGGACTGTAGCAAGGCTTTTTCGGTTAACTTCAATTGCCAATATTCCAGCAACTCATCGAACAACTCAATAATTTGGAAACAAATCCATTGAAATTGGCAATGAATGAGCTCTACTTTCCAAAATACGAGACATTCAACAAATGGAAAGAAGCCATCAATGGTGTTTTGGCACAGTTTGTAAGCTTCTTTTGGATTTTTTGTTGTTTTCTAAATCACATTTTTTCGTTTCAGCTAATCCTTGAAACCTATTTGAATGGAATGTTTTGGGACAGCAATATGTATGGTCCAAATGAATTGAAGGATCAGCTAAACGAATTGAGTGAGAAAATGGGCAAATGGTTTAAAGAATACCATGAAGTCAACAATACTAAATGGACTGGTATTGAGAAGTACATTCATCATGTACAGGACTCTTGCCAACATATTGGAAATGCAGGCAAGCGCGATGAGATTGTGAAGGAGTTCGATGATATGATGACGAAGTGAGCCGACACGTTTTGGAAAAATTGATTTCACACATTTCAGTTGTGCGTTCACCGTCTTGGTTTATAATGATTGTGGAGGATACGATAATCACGCCTTCTTCGGGCACAATGCTCTTTTTTCATTCCGGCGGGGCGGTTGTAATATAGCCGTCTTTCGTGTCACCTGGAAACATGGATCGTGTGATATATTGGACACCCTCCTCTACAATGAAACCATCCCACAGTGAGTCTTTTATGAACATTGAAATGTTATTTCGAAAAGACACTGATTTCAGTAAACGAAGCAACAGACCGTACATTGAAGGAATTTACCACCAGTTCAACAGCAGAACATGGCCTGGACATGTTGGAATGATCAGAGAAAATCAAAATGTGTATTCTGGGGTTTCGCGCACAAAAAACGGTTTTGAACCATTGCATAATAGAGGGAAGATGGTGCACGAAAGACATGCATTCGGTTTTGACATATGCAGAGATCGCATCTTCTTTTTTGCCATTCCCCACTAAGAGGCCATCCGTGAATCACTATTTCATTTCAACTCTTTCCTCGTTTATTTTTTTTATCTATTTGAAAATTCTTTTTTTTTGTTTTTTGAGTTTCGCGATATTTTTTCTTAATTGACATTCTCTTGATACCTTCGAAACCCTTCGAGATACCCCCACTTCAAAATCAACCTTGCAATGTATTCATTTTTCGCCTATTTTCTAATATCATTTTCGACTTCCTTCTTTCTATATTCTTTCTTTTATACTTTTGAAATCTTTTCTGTGCACTTTCTCAATATTAAACTTTGTATTTTTGTTGTTTTTCAAAGAAAACTTTGGAATAATCGAAAAAAAAACTGTTCACAGAAAGTAACAATCATTTTCTGAGGAACACTGTCATTGCTCATCGTAACCCATCAATACGAATCAAAAAAGAGATATATCATGAATTACAAGTTTATTCAAGGGCGCAGCGTTAAAAATCACTGAGGAACAAACAAGTCTTAGTTTATAACGAATGTGTAGAATACCATACTCACGCCTTTTATGGGCACAACGGTCTCTTCTCCTTTCGGCGTGGATGTTGTAATATAGCCGTCTTTCGTGTCACCTGGATCGTGTGATATTTTGGACAGACTTCTCTATGATGAGAAAATTCCATTGTCAGTGAACATGATCCACAGAAGGATAGGAAACTGCAAGATCAAACTCGATTTACAAAAAAATTGTACGTTTGGCATGTCGGAAATTTTTTTACCGTATTTCCTCTAATTGAAACCCATGGGCTTCTATTTTTCAACCTCCTTTTCAGGAAATTACCAAAAACTGAAATTACCAAATTACCTAGAAAAATTACCTAGAGCGCTTCTTCTTTTTTGCCATTCCCTACTGAAAAATAATCTACGAATTGATGTTTTTTACTCTTTAATAACGATAAAGTCTAATCAATTCTTTATACAGTTTTTTGTATCTATTTGAAAAACATAATTCTATCTTATTTCTTTGTACTTATTTCTTTGTACTTATACACTTCAAAGTTCAAGTCAATCCTTCCATCCAACTTTTTTTTTCTAATTGTTGGAAATCCCCCAGTGCTTTAATTTCTGTATTATGGATGCTCTATAACTTAAATAACTCATAACCTAAGTATCAGATAAACAACTTAAGGATCAAAATCAATTAATTCCTTTCGGTTCTCTATTTTTTCATTTCTTCTGTTAAAATTTTGTCGTATGTACTTTTTGAAATGCTATCAGTAAACAACTTTATTTGTTGTTGTTGCTTTTCGCTCGGTGTAACCTTAAGGATATCAACCCCGAAAAAACAGTAAGCCTAAGAGACATGAGCCATGAAAAATAATTTTGTTGTAGTTTCGAAAATTTAAGCTCTATAAGTAATTGAACTTATCGGAAGATTGTTAATGTTGCCGCTTAGCTTCACGGTCGCAAAGTCAAAAATAAACAGTTTTCAGACCCACACCATCACACAACTTTTGTGGTGTGAATATGTGTCCGGAACCAAAAAGATACCATATCTAAATATGTAGTTTCAAGAAGATTAAGGTCACAAAACGTGCTCACCACATGGCGTAAATCGTGTCTTGGTCTAGTATAAAAGACCAGTTATCGAAATGTATGTTGACGATCGTTTCGATGCATTTTATCTTCCTGGCACTCGCAACTCTAGCCACTGCATCTTCAGATGTTAAAGGACCACTAACCGATGATTTTCCAGCTTGGCTAGCTCAGTAAGAGTTACAGTAGTTTTAAATCAACCAGTATGCATTTTGCAGACACGGTTATGATTCCTATGACTTTGTTCGTGCTGACTATGAAACTCAAGGAAGCTATGGAGGGAAAACAGCTAATGCCCCGAAAGCTGTCAACCCGCCAGTTGTGTTCATCCATGGAAATTCTGACGCTGCACTTCATAGAAGTTCTTCTGTAACTGGATGGTCGAATTCTATACAGTACTTCCTGGAGCAAGGATATACAACTGCAGAGCTCCATGCCACTTCTTGGCAGGACACAAACGCCATTAACGCTCAGACGAGAACTCGTGACTGCAAATATTTGGTTCGGCTTCGCAAGTTCCTAGAAGCGGTTTTGGCTTACACCGGAGCTCCCAAAATCTCAGTTGTCGGTCACAGCATGGGTGTTACGTTTACAAGAGGTATCATCAAAGGAGGTTCTCATAGTGCGAAAGATGGAAAATGTGATTTGGGTGCTCCCCTGAACAAAAAAGTGGAAGTACTCATAGGAATCTCTGGTGCCAACTATGGATTATGTAGCTGTGAAGGAGGAAGTCCCACTTTTGAGAAGACTTGCAGTAAAGAAAATGGATTTTAGCATGGAAACTCGTGTGGTCTGAACACACTGGATTGCGGATTGAACCCTCTTCCTTGGCCATGCAGTGGAGTCGCATACTCGTCCTATTTTATAAAACTCAATGCGGATAAAACTGCGGAGGGAGACAATGTCTTCAGCATGTGGAGTCTTGGTAAGTCACCAAAAAGTTTTAAATGTTTCGAGTTGAACTCTTTTTTAGCTGACAACCTAATCCTATACGAAACCATGGTATGGGGACGTTCCACATGCCACATCCCGACTTCTACAGGAAAAATCGTATATCCTGCGTACACTCACATGCAGACCAAGGAATTCACTTTCAAGGATCAGTACCAGATGATCAAGTTCCATACTATACCATAATTTGTACTTAAAAAATTTATTTTAAACGTATTCATTCAAATTCAAAGATCATCAGTATAATACAATCTAGTACGGAAATGTTTGACTTCCTCAAATCATCAGAACAATTCCCCGTAATCGAATTAACCATGATGTACAGGAACAAATCGGAGACTATAGACTGGTGGTCTCTTCATGATGCCAAATGGTGACGTCGTCTTGATTTGAGGAATCTCCCCGATTGGTTCAAGATCATAGTCCAAGATCATGTTACCGAGTACTAGGTAGAGTTCTGCTCTAGCCAAAGACTCCCCGAGGCATGATCGTTTTCCGATTCCAAAGGGAATCAGTTTTTTCTCAAGGCAGGAATTCTCCAAAAAGCGTTCTGGATTAAATTTGGTGTGATCTTTGAATAAAGTCTCGTCGGTATGAATAAGAGCTAAATGAGTGGTTAGGGCGGTTCCAGCAGCAATGGGTTGTCCATCGACAATAGTGTCTTCAGATGTTTGACGGAAAATGTTGACGTTCAGAATAGAAGCGATTCGTTGGACTTCCTAAAAAAGTTATAAAGTATCATTTCAATTTTTCTTATGCTTTACATTAATAACAGCATTCAAATACGGGGTCTGCGTCTTATCTGTCAATGAAACAGATCTATGTCCACCTGTCAGATGTACAAGCTCATCTCGAGCTTTTTGTACAACTTCTGGATGATTCAGAAGACATGCACAAGCCCATGATAGAGTGGTCGATGTTGTCTCCTGTCCGGCAATCCATAAATCGTACATGTCAATTGCCAGGTTCTCTAGACTACAAAAGAAACGTTTCATCAACCGGAATTGTCCCTCACTTACGTGAAAGTAGAATTGACACCTTCCCGTTTGTCTTTCTCAGACTTGTTGATATAAGCATCCATGAAATCGGTACCATCTCCATCTATCACGTGCTCACCACTTTCAATCATTTCCATTCTCCGATTCACATTTCTCGCCGATAATCTGTGAATCCAACTGAATGGTCCTAGAATATCATCCATTCTCCACTTCATCCACCACGCATTCATTATCCAATCAGGGAGAAAAATATCCAGCACTCCGAACTTTTCCAGCCCAACCGACAAACTTTTCTTGAGCTTCTCGAATTCCGGGTCACCCTGTAACGATGACATTTATAGGTGTTAAACTACGAAAATTCGAAAAACCTGCTCGAATCGTTCACTGATAAGAAGTTGGTTGATGATGCTGCCGATAAGAAGGTCAAAAAACATTGATGAGTTTGTTTCGATGGAACTTTTGTTATTAATTCCGTTTGAGGTTTGGGAAAATCTGAAATTGTATGATTTCTTTTAACTTGTATCAGAAGGGCCCCTTCAAGATGTTAGGAGGTCACTTCTATGATAAGTAGGCCAAAGTAATCCAGCTCGACCTACCTGTATCTATACTCTTCCATGATCTTCTCCTCCATTAAATTCCTTCCCAATCCAAAATCTCTCAACGTCTTCAACGCAAATCTCCTGTGCTCCTGCCAGAATTCTCCATTCGACGCAACGATTCCTCGCCCCTCTCGGATGTAATTCAATGCTCCAACTGCGAATCTTGCTCCAAAAACGTTGCCTCTCTTGATATGTGTCTCATGAGCAATGTCGTAATCCGAAATGTATACTGTAGGAAGTGGTCCTATCCAGACAGTAAACACTTTTCCGTATTCTTGCTCCAAGTGACGATAAGCTGCAACTGCTCCCCCATACTTCCAGTAGAAATAGAACAACTGGTGGAGGTTTCCAAAAAATGGGATTGGTAGAGGTCCTTAAAAAATAGGAAAATGAAAACCTTTCAAAATTACTGTAATCCTTTACCTTTAGGAAGTCTTCTCCTTTTCATCCATTGATGAACCACAAGAACAGTTATAATAGTAGAGAAGAATAAAATAAGAAACATTGGAAGTAAGTTTTCAAAAGATCCGATTTGGGAATGAATTTCAGACTCTGAAATATAAATATAATTTTTTTTGTTTGAAAAAATGGGCGGGTATCTATTTCCTATTAGGCAGTACTTGTGTAATAGAACCTTTCGACAATAACAAAACTTTGATAAGGAATTAGATGGGTGATTCCTTGCTGTCTCCTGATCTTCTTGTGATTTTTTTAATTCTAGGTGCAAAGTACTAGACAAAAATTGAAAATAAGAAATGTTTTATTGTTTTGCTTGAGTTTCATACAAGGATCACGAAAAATGAAAATTTTTAAGATCTTGGAACAAATCGAACATCATAAATCGGCGGTCTTTTCATCAGTGCAAATGGAGTTGGAGACTTGATTTCAGGAACCAGACCAACTGATTCCAGATTGTACTCCATGACAAGATTTCCAAGAATCTGAAATTAAATACTTGAAATCTTTCAGACGCTCATTTTCAGGACCCACCAAATAGAGCTCAGCTCTAGCCAACGACTCTCCTGGGCAGGATCGTTTACCGATTCCAAATGGGATCAATTTTTTCTCCAAATTATTATTCTCCAAAAATCTTTCTGGCTTAAACTTTGTGTGCTCTTTAAAAAGTTCCTCATCACTATGGAACTGCGCCAAATTAGCGGTGACACATGTTCCAGCGGCTATAGGTTGTCCGTCGATTACAGTATCCTCTTGAAGATGTCGGAAGGGGTTGATGTTGAGTATAGACGCGATTCTTTGGACTTCCTGAAACGAATCACATGAATCTTAAACTTTCCACACGAACGCACATTTATGGTCGCATTAAGGAATGGTGTCTTCGATCTATCTGTCAGCGACACCCCTCGAGTTCCTCCAGTGACCCCATCTAGTTCTTTTCGTAGTTCCTCAACGACTTCTGGATGATTCAGAAGACACACAACGGCCCAGGTTAATGTGGTCGATGTTGTTTCCTGTCCAGCCAGCCAAAGATCGTAGAGGTCGATGGCTAGGGTGTCCAGGCTGAAAATGTGTAGGAGATGATGACAAGGTTCTTGAGAAGACTCACGTAAAACTGGAATCCAGAATTTTGTCTTTTTGATCTTTGTTGATTTTTACAAGGAACGCATCCACAAAGTCGTCGCCTTCTTCGTTAACCACATGAGTGCCATTTTCAATAGCAGCCATTCTGAAAACTCTTGGTATTACCCAGATTCCGAAACACTCCCAACCTTCTCTTGATTCCCTTTGACACCATTTCCAATACAAAATCAAACGGAGCCAATGTAACTTTCGTTCGCCATCTCCACAAAGGAGATTTCAAAATGCTCAATGGTGTGAACATATCTATCGGCGAAAGTTCTTCCAGTGATTTCGCCAAGCTAACTTTCAGCTTTTGAAAATCCTCATCCCCTTGTTCGAATCGTTCGGAAACCAGCATTTGGTTGATGACAGATCCAACAAGAATATCAAAAAATGTCGCGGCGCTCACTTCAAAACTTTCTTTTCCGATTGCATGCGTTTTCGAGAAGTCTTGAATTCTGAAATAAAAAACTTTAATTCGGTTGTTTACATGAAATTATTAGATTCTGTCAGGTTCAATTATTTTGATTAGATGATAGATTTTAAGGATTAGGCATTCCATTTCTTTAATTGTTGAAATTCTCAAAAGTTAACTTTTTTAAAACAAAAATCATGTGAAAAAATGTTTCAACCAGAAGGTTTAAAATTTTTTTTAAGGTTTTCGCTTTCACTGGCAACTCAGAAAACAGAGAACAGAAGATTTTTCAGACTTTTTTTTGGAGTTACATTATGCATTTTGACAGGACAGTAATTAGTGTTCAACCAGCCAAAGGCTATCATGCCGTTTTCATGCCGAAAACCGTGTAATAGAAGGGCCCCCCCCACACTGCCAAGTTTGAGCTCCATTATCTCAATTCCTAGGTAAGATATAACAAATGTGTCTACTGATTTATTGTTTATGATATCTTTTCGGTATATGGAATTGGTCGGCGTAACCACTAACTAGGGAATAGTCAGAACTTATCTCGCGATCGGGACATACAAATGGGTCCACTGGAAGGAAGGTTGCTCCTTGATTCCAGAACTGTTTTCAAATTTTGCTGAATGGCCCGGAGAGCCGAGATATTTGTGCTCCAAAATCAAGCGTTAAGCCATGTAAATCTCGCTTTTGACTATTTGATTTGCTGCTTTCCCTCCCTATTTTCCTCCCTCGAACACTTCGTTCCTATCCGTCACCAATGGCAATTACATAATGTTGTGGCCGAGTGGTGTGTGCGCTTGTCTAGGAATCTCCTTTTGCGGGTTCGAACCCGCCTTCTTTCAAACCTTTTGTTTTTTTGTTTTTTGATCATATAATTCTTTTTTATACTTTTAATCGTGATTTTCGGTAATTTAATTTTTCCTTTGACATGGTTTTGATAAGAAAACAAAAACCCCAAAATTGGAAAACAAAAACTGTGAAAACGTCTTTCATGGGTGGCTTCCTACGGGTACAGGATGCTAAAAAATCATGATAAAAGTATAAAAAATTATTGAATAATCAAAAAACACAAAAAGAAAAAGTTTGAAAGAAGACGAGTTCAAACCCGCAAAAGCAGATTCCTAGACAAGCCCACACACCACTCGGACGTACAACATTTTGTAATTGCCATTGGTGACGGATAGGAATGAAGTTTTCGATGGAGGAAAATAGGGAGGGGAAGCAGCAAATCGAAAAGTCAAAAGCGAGATTTACATGGTTTATCGCTTGATTTTGGAGCACAAATATCTCGGCTCTCTGGGCCATTCAGCAAAATTTGAAAACTGTTCTGGAATCAAGAAGCAACCTTCTTTCCAGTTGACCCATCGCGAGATAAGTTCTGACCATTCCCTAGTAAGACACCATAGCTCTAAACAAATTCCACACTTTTATCAATAAAAACGATTGCTTCTTTGAAAATCAGGAACTCACCTGTATCGATATTCGTCCATAATCTTCTCCTCCATGATATTCCTTCCCAGCCCGAAATTTCTCAACGTTGTCAATGCGAATCTTCTGTGCTCCAACCAAAAATCCCCATTCGACCCAACGATTCCCCTTCCTTCGCGAATATAATCCATTCCACCAATTGTATACCGATGTCCGAATACATTGACCCTTTTCACATGCGTCTCATAAGCAATGTCAAAGTCAGCAATATATACTGACGGTACAGGACCCATCCACAATGTAAAAACGTTTCCATATTGTTTTTTGAACTCGTTAAACGCTGGAACGATTCCTCCGGTTTTCTTGGCGTAGTACGCGATTTGGTGTAAGTTTCCGATGAGTGGAAGAGGGATGGGACCTGAAAAAATTTGACTGAATATTAACAAAAAAATTTAACGAACCATTCGGATTCTTTTGTCTTCTCCTATACAGGTTCAAGCAGAAATAGGTCAAGGTAGAAAAGAATATCAAAAACAGAAACATTTTTTCATTCCAACTGATCCCACTGTGTTTTCTTTTATACCGGAAACCAACTAGACTCTCCAAAGAATAGGTGTTTTTGTTCAAACAACGGAAAATAGAAAGAAAGGAGAAGAGACTTAGACAATCAAAAACGTTGTTTGGGTTGGCGAAACTACAGAGGCACAGAAAAAAGCGTTGTTGTTTTCTAGGTTGGGCAGCTGAGCTATATAATTTTTGGCATGATCTTTGGCGTAGTTATCGCATTCAGTGTGCGTTTTTCGTTACGTTCCAACGACTTTTCGAATAATTGTACGAAGGTTTTTTGAATTTTGGCACCCAAATATTCCGAACGATGGTTCTCTTTTTTTTCGATCGCTGTCGAAAACCACAAACCCCACACAGAGTGGCCTAACATTCTGAATATAATTTTTTCAGACCACTGTAGTTCATTGTCCATAAATGATCTAACAGGTACCTAACGTGGGGCAGGCTAACTTTCACAAGTTGAGTTTTCTAGACCAGCAGTTATTATGACCTAGAAATTGCCTGATATTACCCCTGATATTCTTTTAGCACAGATGGTGGCCTAAATTGGTGGCCTATTAGCTGCGTTTTCTACGCTATCAGTTTTTATGACCTAGAAATCGGCTTATATTCACTTGTTACATTTTCTAGGTCATTTCAACATGATGGCCTAACTCTTGCAAGTTGACCTTTCTAGGCTACCATGATATGCCGAGAAAATTTCGAAATTAGCAGTTTTCGAAAAATATCTTTCGAAATACACACTGATCATATGATTGAATTAAAATTTTTTTTCTAAATGAAATTTTATTAACGGTTAAAAAATACAATCAATTATTTCTTGGCACAAATCGAATGTTATAAAGTGGTGGTCTTCTCATGATTGCAAATGGAGTAGGCGTTTTGATCACTTTAAAGAAAATAATTAAAAAATGTATTCAACTCAAATATTGAAAGAAATTTTGAAAATCAAAGGATTTAGTTTTTGAATATACAATAAGCTTTCCAACTTTTCGAAAGTCCTCCGAAGTCATGCACAACTCTCACAACTCTCAATTGCTTCTTGGCACAAATCGAATGTCATAAAGTGGTGGTCTGTTCATCAACGCAAATGGAGTAGGCGTCTTGATCTCAGGTTTCTCACCAACTAGTTCCAGATCGTATTCCATTACAAGATTTCCAAGAATCTGAATTTTGAAACTTTAGAAAAACAAAATTGTATACCATTTTTTACCAAATACAATTCTGCTCTAGCCAACGACTTCCCTAGACAGGACCGTTTTCCAATACCAAATGGAATTATCTTTTTCTCTAAATTATTGTTTTCCAAGAATCTGGATGGATTGAATTTGGTATGGTCTTTGAAAAGAGTTTCATCGGTAAGAGTGTTGGAAAAGGAGAGAGTTCAGAGAAACTCAAAGTTTGCGGTCCCGATTTCTTCAACATCATTTTTCTGCTTTATGAGAAACATTCTAGTTAAAAATTCGGTGACTTGAATTTTTGATTAAACCTAACATTATCTGAAACTCCTACGACTTCAATTTTACTCATCTTGAAGATCAAACATTAATTAAAAATTACATTTATCATCAATTTTTTACAGAAAAAACAACAAAAAAACTCCGCACTCAATTATTAACTGGAACAAATCTGATATTATAGTTCGGTGGTCTTTTCATCAATCCAAATGGAGACAGCGTCTTGATTTCTGGCTTCGTTCCAACTGGTTCAAAATTGTAGTCCAACACAAGATTTCCAGTGATCTGAAAATTCAAAAATATTCCAAAATCGCGAGCATTGAACCTACCAAATACAACTCTGCTCTGGCCAATGATTCTCCAAGACACGCTCGCTTTCCGATTCCAAACGGAATCAAAGTTTTCTCCAAATTGTTGTTTTCTATGAATCGGCTAGGATCGAATACTGTGTGATTTTTGAAGACGGCTTCATTGGTATGAAGAAGAGACATTTGTGTGGTGACCACGGCGCCAGCGGACACAGGTTGGCCATCGATTACGGTATCCTCTTCCAGTTCACGGAATAGGTTGGTGTTGAGGATAGAAGCAATGCGTTGAATTTCCTGAATACAAATCATTTTAAACAAGATGCCGTTCCGCGATATCAATTCTGCTGACACTTTTTTACTCACATTAACCGTAGCATTCAAATACGGCGTGTTTGGTTTATCAGTCAATGACAATCCTCTGGTCCCTCCAGTAATTCCAACTAATTCACTTCTCAATTCAGCAACGACTTCAGGGTGGTTGAGAAGACAGGCGCACGCCCATGTCAAAGTTGTTGATGTCGTCTCCTGACCGGCTAGCCATAAATCATACAAGTCAATTGCAAGGGTCTCGAGACTAGAATGTCGTTATTAGGGAACAGGAAAGTTCAAAGGGGCACTCTTACGTGAACGTCGAATCCTTCACTCCATCCTTTTTATCTTTCTCCATCTTGATTAAAAACGCATCCACAAAATCTTCACCTTCCTCGCTAATGATATGTTTTCCGCTAGCGATAGCATCCACCCTGTTATCAAAATATCAGGTTTTGAAGATACCAATCAGATATTGTGTTTACCTCTTCTGAATCCCCTTTTGGACCATGCCAAAAATAAAATCAAAAGGTCCAAAAATCTTCTTGGTTCTCCATTTCCACAAATCTGATTTGAACACCGCCAATGGAGTAAAAGCATCAAATATCGACACCTTTTCTAAAGTCTTGGCCAAGTTCAACTTCATCTTTTCAAAATCTTCATCATCCTGTTCGAATCTCTCGGATACCAACAATGTGTTAATGATGGATCCGACTAGAAGATCGAAACATGAAGAAGCGTGCACTTCAATTCCACCATTCTTGAAATTGTTCTTTTTGTAGTCTTGGAATCTGAAAAGGGTTTCAGTTTTTTTTTCAAACCCAAGTTTCTTGAAAATTCAAACGGTCAAGTAACACTGTATTTCCTACATGGTCACTGATAAGAGTGAATGATAAGAGGGTTCTACGTTTTGTTCAAGAAACAGAAGTCAAGTGACCCTCTTTGGCCAAGGTACATAGGAAAGATTTACAAACTAACCGATAATTATACTCCTCCATAATCTTCTCCTCCATGATATTTCTGCCCAATCCGAAATCTCTCAACGTCTTCAACGCGAATCTTCTGTGTTCCTGCCAAAATTCTCCATTCGACGCAATAATTCCTCGTCCTTCTCTGATATAATTCATTCCTCCATTCGCCCACCGTACTCCAAAAGTATTGGCTCTTTTGACATGAGTCTCATGTGCCACGTCAAAGTCAGTAATATGTACTGTAGGTATAGGACCCATCCAGATTGTGAAAACGTTTCCAAATTCTCTTCGAAACTCATTGAAGCCGCCGACAGTTCCTCCAGCTTTCCAGCATGTGTAAACGAGTTGGTGAAGGTTGCCGATCAGAGGGAGAGGTGAGGGACCTGCCAATTGATTGTTTTCATTTCCTCGAAATTTGAATTCTTACCTTTAGGAAGTCGCTGTCTTGCTCTCCATAAATTCACTGCTAATACTGCGAAAACTGCGGACAGAATCAATACAAAAAACATCGCGATGGACAAGAAAAGGCATGTATCATCTTCTTATATAGCGAAAAATGACCCACATTAACTACAAACTTCAAGAGTCTAGTTGTAGAGAAAACAAGTGATTAGATGAAGAGTGTTAAATGATAGGAGGTTATTGACAGCAAAAATTGTGATTTTAGTCAACATTCACAAACAACAGTCGTTTGTAACAGATTTGCACACAGACCACGAAATGGAAACGTAAATAATAGAGATTCTGCAATTTTTAATTATTTTCAATTATCGAAGAAAATCTTTTGTTCATGAACAAATTCACGTTCACCTAAAACAGGCCATAGCCTGGATGGCGCATTAGGACCTTTTTGCAACATTGCTCTAACCATCGACTACCCAAGACACATCTTCCTTTCTACGCATCCTCAAAATCAAATATCAATTGAAAATTTTATTGAAACTATTTACAAAACAAAAACAAATTGAAAAAAAACATAATCAATTATTAACTGGGACAAATCTAATGTGATAGTTCGGTGGCCTCTTCATCGATCCGAATGGAGATGCAGTTTTGATTTCTGGCTTCATCCCAACTGGTTCAAAATTAAATTCTAAGACCAGGTTACCAATGATCTGAAAATTTAACCAATTTTAATTTCAAGAGCTTAGTACCAACCAAATATAACTCTGCTCTAGCCAAGGACTCCCCAGGACATGCTCGCTTTCCGATACCAAACGGTATTAAAGTTTTCTCCAAATAGCTGTTCTCCAAATATTGGTTTGGATTGAAAACTGTGTGATTTTTGAAGACGGCTTCATTGGTATGAAGAAGAGACAATTGGGTGGTGACCACGGTTCCTGCGGACACCGGTTGACCATCGATTACGGTATCCTCTTGAAGTTGACGGAATAGGTTGATGTTGAGGATAGACGTTGACTTTCCTAAAAAACTAGTTTAGCTTCGGGCACAATTTCGGCTTAATAATGACACATTTCTGCTGAACACATTTACTCATGTTAACGGTAGCATTCAAATACGGCGTGTTCGGTTTATCAGTCAACGACACTCCTCTGGTTCCTCCAGTAACACCAACTAATTCTTTTCTCAGCTCCTCAACAACTTCTGGATGATTTAGAAGACACGCGTACGCCCATGTCAAAGTTGTTGATGTTGTCTCCTGACCGACTACATATAGATCAAACAAGTCGATTGCAAGAGTCTTGAGACTAGAAAACTGTAGTTGGGGAACGGGAAATTTCAGAAGAACATTCTTACCTAAAAGTTGAATCCTTGACTCCGTAACTATTCCCAACCCGAAGTCTCTCAACGTTTTCAATGCAAATCTCCTGTGTTCCTGCCAAAACTCTCCATTCGATGCAGCGATTCCTCGTCTTTCTCTAATGAAATTCATTGGTCCATACTTCAAAAGTATGGGCTCTTTTAACATGAGTCTCATGTGCGATCTCGAAGTCAGCAATGGGTACCGTAGGAATTGGGCCCATCCATAATGTAAAAATTTTTCCGTAAATTCGTTCAATCTCTCGGAATCCAGCGACAATTCCTCCAGCCTTCCAAGCGTAATATCCAATGGTGTGAACTGGCACGGGCTACATGAAGGAATCGAAATAATACATATTGTGCAATTTTTATACCTTTTCTTGTATCAAAGAAAATTTTTTATTGATGAAAAAAATCACAGAAATGTTCTTCATAAATGAATTCACTTTTCAATTGGTACAAATCTTATATTATAGCTCGGAGGTCTCTTCATCAATCCGAACGGAGTAGTTGTCTTGATTTCTGGCACAGGTCCAATTGGCTCTAAATCGAAATCCAGGATCAGGTTTCCGGTAATCTGAAAAAATGTGTTCAAACTTCTTTTTTTAATGCGAATTTATTTTTTCGTTTTTCCCATTTTTTATGATCTGGTTCAACTTACCAAATACAATTCTGCCTTAGCCAATGACTCCCCGAGACATGATCTCTTTCCAAGTCCAAAGGCTATCAAGTTCTTCTCCAAATTATTGTTTTCCATGAATCGACCTGGATCGAACTTTGTATTATCTTTAAAAACCGCTTCATCGGTGTGAAGAAGAGAGATTTGAGCAGTGAACACGGCACCAGCGGACACAATCTGCCCATCAATTAAAGCATCTTCTTCAAGGATTCGGAATATGTTCGTGTTGAAAATCGAAGCGATTCTTTGAATCTCCTGAATTTTGTACCATATTCCGGTATTCCATATAACACTTACATTGATAGTGGCGTTCAGGTATGGTGTATTAGGCTTATCTCTTAATGTAAGACATCTAGTGCCTCCAGTAACCTCTAGTAGCTCTCTTCTCAACTCCGCAACGACTTCAGGGTGGTTGAGAAGACAAACACATGCCCATACCATAGTTGTAGATGTTGTCTCCTGACCTGCTAGCCATAGATCAAAAAAGTCGATCGCAAGCGAATCAAGACTAAAGAACCGGGGATAAGGAAGACGATTGAGGTATGTAGGCTCACTTGAATGAAGAATCCACTATTCCATCCCGTTTATCTTTATCCATCTTGATTAAAAATGCATCTAAAAAGTCTTCAGCATCCTCCCCAATGGCATGCTCCCCATTTGATATTGCTTCGACTCTAAAATTAGACATTTCCATGTTAAATGACTGATTGTGCCTCATTTTAGGTACCTTCTCTCAATTTGCCTTTTTGCCATCCCCAGTAAGAACTCCAAACCTCCAAAGACGTATTTCGTCCTCCATTGCCACCAATCCGACTTCAAAATCCACGGTGGTGTGAATGAATCGAAAATCGAGAGTCGTCCCAGAGATCTCTCTACACTTTCTAGCATATAATCGAACTCCTCGTCACCCTGTTCAAACCTCTCGGATACCAGCATTGTGTTAATAATGGATCCAACCAGAAGATCGAAGCAAGAAGAAGCATGTACTTCAATTCCACCATTCTTGAAGTTGGTTCTTTTGTAGTCTTGGAACCTGTATCGATACTCCTCCATAATCTTCTCCTCCATAATATTCCTCCCCAACCCAAAGTTCCTCAGCGTTGTCAACGCGAATCTTCTGTGTTCCTGCCAATACTCGCCATTTGAGGAAATGACTCCTTTGTCTTCCCGAATATAATTTATCCCTCCATTCGAATACCGTACTCCAAAGATATTAGCTCTTTTGACATGTGTCTCATGTGCGACTTCAATGTCAGCAATGTGTACTGTAGGTAGAGGACCTAGCCATATCGTGAAGACTTTTCCAAACTCTTTTCGGAACTCATTGTATCCAGCGACAGTTCCTCCAGCCTTCCAGCATGTATAGGCTAGTTGGTGAAAGTTTCCTATCAGTGGAAGAGGTGTGGGACCTGAAGATCAAGTTCATAATTTTTAATTAGGGATGTTTTACCTTTCGGAAGCTTCCTTCTAGCCCTCCACAGGTTGATAGTCAGAACTCCAATAACGAAGGTGAGAACAAAAAATAATAACATTATGACCATTAAATTTTCTCAGACATGGTGTTATATAAAAAACCCTGTTATATATGAAACCGTCTGCACTTCCTTATTCCTCGAAAGGGCAAAAAACAGATGCCGAACAGATGCAGAAGGAAACGAAATAGTGTAGGTGATGAAGAATGGCCAAACACCTGAACGCATTCTAAACCCCTTTGATGTTAGATCAACCACAAAAAAATGGATTTTGATTGATAACACTCCATTCCTGAAGACACGAGGTTTCCAAACATGTGAACAGTCAGACACCCTTTTCCTTTTCACACTCTCACTTGACAGAGTCAAAAATCACGGTTCAAGAAACACTGTGTTTTGGTGAACCAGCATACCTGATGGCTGTTTGTCTGATTCCAGATAAAACCGCTGCTAAAGCCGACAAACCTTCAACAAACTAACGACAACGGATGACACATAGTAGTATGAACAAAAATATGTCATTTCAAACTTTTCGATTTCAAAAGTTTATTTTTGACCTAGATATTCACAAAAAACTTAAAAATGAAGACGTGAAAATAATTTTTATATTAATGGATTCAAAAAAAATAGTGCATTCCAAACGTGTTTTCAAAAATCCAGAATTTTAATTTTTGACCTAGATATTCACAAAAAACTTAAAAATGAAGACGTGAAAATAATTTTTATATTAATGGATTCAAAAAAAAGTGCATTCCGAACGTGTTTTCAAAAATCCAGAATTTTAACTTTTGACCTAGATATTCACAAAAAACTTAAAAATGAAGACGTGAAAATAATTTTTATATTAATGGATTAAAAAAAAAGTGCATTCCGAACGTGTTTTCAAAAATCCAGAATTTTAATTTTTGACCTAGATATTCACAAAAAACTTAAAAATGAAGACGTGAAAATAATTTTTATATTAATGGATTAAAAAAAAAGTGCATTCCGAACGTGTTTTCAAAAATCCAGAATTTCAATTTTTGACATAGATATTCACAAAAAACTTAAAAATGAAGACGTGAAAATAATTTTTATATTAATGGATTCAGAAAAAATAGTGCATTCCAAACGTGTTTTCAAAAAGCCAGAATTTCAATTTTTGACCTAGATATTCACAAAAAACTTAAAAATGAAGACGTGAAAATAATTTTTATATTAATGATTCAAAAAAAATAGTGCATTCCAAACGTGTTTTCAAAAATCCAGAATTTTAACTTTTGACCTAGATATTCACAAAAAACTTAAAAATGAAGACGTGAAAATAATTTTTATATTAATGGATTCAAAAAAAAAAGTGCATTCCGAACGTGTTTTCAAAAATCCAGAATTTCAATTTTTGACCTAGATATTCACAAAAAACTTAAAAATGAAGACGTGAAAATAATTTTTATATTAATGGATTCAAAAAAAATAGTGCATTCCAAACGTGTTTTCAAAAATCCAGAATTTTAACTTTTGACCTAGATATTCACAAAAAACTTAAAAATGAAGACGTGAAAATAATTTTTATATTAATGGATTCAAAAAAAAAAGTGCATTCCGAACGTGTTTTCAAAAATCCAGAATTTCAATTTTTGACCTAGATATTCACAAAAAACTTAAAAATGAAGACGTGAAAATAATTTTTATATTAATGGATTCAAAAAAAATAGTGCATTCCAAACGTGTTTTCAAAAATCCAGAATTTTAACTTTTGACCTAGATATTCACAAAAAACTTAAAAATGAAGACGTGAAAATAATTTTTATATTAATGGATTCAAAAAAAATAGTGCATTCCGAACGTGTTTTCAAAAATCCAGAATTTTAACTTTTGACCTAGATATTCACAAAAAACTTAAAAATGAAGACGTGAAAATAATTTTTATATTAATGGATTCAGAAAAAATAGTGCATTCCAAACGTGTTTTCAAAAGCCAGAATTTCAATTTTTGACCTAGATATTCACAAAAAACTTAAAAATGAAGACGTGAAAATAATTTTTATATTAATGGATTCAGAAAAAATAGTGCATTCCAAACGTGTTTTCAAAAAGCCAGAATTTCAATTTTTGACCTAGATATTCACAAAAAACTTAAAAATGAAGACGTGAAAATAATTTTTATATTAATGGATTCAGAAAAAATAGTGCATTCCAAACGTGTTTTCAAAAAGCCAGAATTTCAATTTTTGACCTAGATATTCACAAAAAACTTAAAAATGAAGACGTGAAAATAATTTTTATATTAATGGATTCAGAAAAAATTGTGCATTCCGAACGTGTTTTTAAAAATCCAGAATTTCAATTTTTGACCTAGATATTCACAAAAAACTTAAAAATGAAGACGTGAAAATAATTTTTATATTAATGGATTCAGAAAAAATAGTGCATTCCGAACGTGTTTTTAAAAATCCAGAATTTCAATTTTTGACCTAGATATTCACAAAAAACTTAAAAATGAAGACGTGAAAATAATTTGACGACCGAGGGATTTTTTAAATTGACCACTTTTGGTACATAAAATGACTTCCGTTTGATAAATCTTTATGTACAACATTATTATAAATATGATACAATTCAATGCTTTACAGGCTTGAACCGAATGTTATAAGTTGGGGGTCTTCTCAAAAGCCCGAATGGATTCAGCGTCTTGATCGGAGGTACGGTCCCCACTGGTTCGATATCAAAATCAAGGATAAGGTTGGACAGGATCTGAAAAAATTAAAATAATCATAGTTTGAGTACCTTAGTCTAACTCACCAAATACAACTCTGCTCTGGCCAATGACTCTCCTAGACACGATCGTTTACCGATTCCAAATGGAATCAAAGTCTTCTCCAAATTGCTATTCTCTAAAAATCTCTCTGGCTTAAACTCGGTAGCATTTTTGAACACGGCTTCGTCGGTGTGAAGCATGGACATTTGCGTAGTGAGTGCGGTGCCAGCTGCCAACGGCTGGCCAGCAATCACCGTATCCTCTTCGATGTGCCGGAATAAATTGATGTTAAGGATAGAAGCAATTCGTTGGACTTCATTGCATGTTGCATTAAGGTATGGGGTGTCTGGTCGGTCAGTGAGAGAGATGGTGCGGTTTCCACCAGTGAGTTTCATGAGCTCCGCTCGCAACTTTTTGGCCACTTCTGGGTGGTTCAAAAGACAAGCGAATGCCCAAGTGAGAGTTGTTGAAGTGGTTTCCTGACCGGCTTGCCAGAGATCGAAAACATCAATGGCCATTGTTTCATAGCTAGAAACAATACTTTATAGCAGCCGCGCCCAAGTGAACTCACTCAAATGTGGACTTTACTCCATCCCGTTGATCCTTCTGAATCTTCAACAAGTATGCATCCGCGAAATCGTTACCTCCGTCCTCAATCACATGTTCTCCACTCTCCACCGCCGCAACTCTCTTGGCAATATTTCTCACACTAACTTCGTATACAAAATCGAAAGGTTTGAAAATCTTTTTCTGCCTCCAGGCCATGAGTGGTGTCTCCAAAAACCAGCAAGGAAAGAAGATGTCAACGATGCCAAAGTTTTCCAAAGACTCCGCAAGTGCTGATTTGATCTTCTCGAATTCTTGATCGTCCTGCTCGAATCGTTCAGAAATTAGGAGCTGGTTAATGATGGATCCAACAAGGAGATCGAAAAATGTGCCAGCGTGAATTTCAATTGCACCGTTCTTGGTATGTGTTTTGGTGTAGTCAGCGACTCTGGAAGGAACTAGATATTGCATTAAAAGTTGAGGAAAAAACTACCTGTAGTGATACTCTTCCATAATCTTCTCCTCCATGATATTTCTTCCCAATCCGAAATTCCTCAACGTCGTCAACGCGAATCTTCTGTGTTCCTGCCAAAACTCTCCATTCGACGCTATGATCCCTCGTCCATGTCTAATATGTTGAGTAGTCCCTGTTGCGAATCGGTTACTAAAAATGTTGGCTCTTTTGATATGTGTCTCATGAGCAATATCGTAATCGGAAATGTACACTGTTGGTAGAAGCCCCATCCAAAGTGTGAAAACTTTTCCATGGACCTTTTCAAAGTGATGGTAGACTGCAACAGCGCTTCCAAGTTTCAACCCATAGTACACAAATTGATGGAAGTTTCCGATAATTGGTAGAGGGGTTGGTCCTAAAAATTAAAAAAATTCTAGCCATAAAAATTGAATTCCAAAACCTTTAGGAAGCTTTTGACACTTCTTCCATTGGTATGCGGTTGCAACCGCTAGCAAAGTGACAAGAAGTAGAATGATCAGCATTTGAAAAAATATAGATTTAGTCTACAAAACATTTAAAAGACCTCTCCTTTTATACAAGGTGGTTTTCCAATTTGATAAGGCGACCGTTCATCACAGAGACTACTTACCCTACAAAGTTCGGGTCTATTGGAGAGGGAAAAAAATAAAAGAGGACGGGAAAAACAACTAGACTCAGGTTTTAGAATTGGTAAGATGTTTTGCTCCGTGTTTTGTGTTATTTGAAAAAAATAGGTTTGAATTTATAATTTTATGAAAATACAACAGAATTTTCTAATTTCATTAGTCAGATATTGTAGTCAAGCTGGTGTTTCAAATATTGTAGTCATATTGATGTTATCACCTTTGTCACTAGAAGTGTAGTTAGAAAAGAAGAAAATATTGTGAACATTTTTCTCAACTTTGTGCTAAATTCCGGTTCCTGTGAAAGATAACAAAAAGTAGTCAACCGACAAAATAAGTGCGATAATATGATAAACATTTTTCCAGTTAACAATTTTTCAAATCTTCCACAGGAAACGAGTTATATAAGCTCAAAGTTGATAGTTTGGAGGGCATTCTATTGGAATGCTTACAGTAGTTTAAAAAAAATGAGGGAAAAACAATTATCAAATACATTTGGTTTTTAGAACCCCCTTGAAGATTTGAACTTGTGCGGAGAAAATTAGAGGTGCCGCGCAGCTACCAGCTGAACTACGCGGCCGCAGGTATCACGTGCCGCCTAATAGCTTACATAAAAATGGTGCTATTTTTATTTCAAGATTAGCAGAGGTTGTTCGAAGCCTAATTTTCAAAAAATTGCACTTTCGAAACTTCCCGATTTTTTTTCATTTTCAGAAATCACCTGCCACAAATTCTCCATCATTCCACCAATTTTTCAATCGCTAATCTCCTGGATTTTCAAACACAGGAAAATTTCAAAAGATCAAAACGAATCCTACATTTTCAATATTTTCCATTTATTTGTCATTGCCCTTTCAAGTTCATTCATTGGAAAGTTCTAATCTATCTCATTTGAATACAATCTTCGTTATTTTCCTCTTTTCGATATATTTTTCTCGTTGTAAATATCATTTTTTCTCTGGATAAATTATTTCTTATTCATGTAAATTACTGAAAAACGTTCACCTTGTATATATTTTGGTGTATTGTTCAGAAATCTCTAGAAAATCTGAATTCAGAGAGAAAAATGATAATTTTCGATTTATTACGTTTTTTCTGATTTATGGAAAACTAGCACTAACGATCAGACATTCATTTTAAGACATGATTATTTACGGTCTGCAAGATTTATGAATTTCAAAAAATCAAAAAAGTCTGAAAATATCATAGAATATGTCATTTCTCCTTTAGTTTTCTCAGAAAAACCTTCACGAAAAATGCTAGATAATGAGCAGTTTTAAAAAATGTGGCCGGAAGTTTTTTGAATTGTGTATTTTCAATTTTTAAATATTCCTTCTGGGGCCATATTCATGAACATTTTCCTTGGAAAACCATTTTCCCTTCAAAAATCAACTGAATTATTTTCCCAAAGGAAAATGGAAGCGTGAAAATGTACTGAACATTATTCAAATGATTTTCCGACTCTCAGGGTCAGAAAATGACTTTTGCTCTTAATTTTCTGAAAAACTATGGACTGAAAATTTCTCATATTTGGGGACAGTACTTAAAATTTCTAGCTCTATCCAATCAAGTGATTTATGTCAAAAAACATAGTTTTTAAGTTAAAGAGCAGCAATTTTCGGGGCTCTTTTCTAGTTTAGAGGTCCCAAAAAAGAATAGAGGTCCCAAAAAAGAATAGAGGTCCGAAAAAAAATTAGAGGTCCCAAAATAAAATAGAGGTCCCAAAAAAATTAGAGGTCCCAAAAAAGTTTAGTGGTCCCAAGAAAAAATAGTGGTCCAAAACTTAAAAATGCACAGATACCGGAATAATGTACTAAAATTTGAATTGTGTAAGAATTTAAAGTTTTGAGGTCTTATAGCAAAATAATTGTTGATGATATATTTATACTTCTAATAGGCTTAGGAATGCATATTTTCTGACAATTATCTAAGCCTGAGAGACAGCATAATCACGGAGTGATTACTGTATTGCCCAAATTTTCCTCATATGTAAATTGGGTTCATCGGCAAGATGCGAGAGAATTGGAGCTAAAATTGTTAGGAGTAGTCATGTCATCCTATAAGATCCTAAAACTCAAACTACTCGCACAGTTCAAATACTAATACATTATTCCAACATCTGCGCGTTTTTCGTATTTTGGACCTCTATTTTTTCTTGGGACCTCTAAACTTTTTTGGGACCTCTAATTACTTTTGGGACCTCTATTTTATTTTGGGACCTCTAATTTTTTTCCGGACCTCTAAATTTTTTGGGACCTCTAAACTAGAAAAGAGCCATTTTCGGGTTTAAAACTAGATAATAATGTATTTTCTATCAAAATAGAACTTTTTTAAAATCCAAAAATTCATAAAATTGACTGTAAACATAAATCGAGATTATTATACCTATTTCATGAAAATATAAGGATTTTCCAAAAAGAAAACGATTTTCACGTCTATTCAGTTGATTTTTGGAAAGAAAACGATTTTCCAAGGAAAATGTTCATGAATACGGCCTCTGATCTGTGTCATGGCTGTGAAAATATTTAGAAAAAAAATTCAAAAATCAAAAACCGAATTTTTTGGCATTTCCGGTTTCTGAAAATCTTGTCAAAGCCTATCATTTCCTAGCCTTTTTTTCGATTTTTTTATAATTTTCAAAAAATATTCTTCAGAAAAATGCAATCAAGACTCGAACTTCCTCAATACATCGGTCTCACCGGCTCGATGTTATCCTTCTCTTGCAATATTTTCCTGATGTACATCATTGGAAAATTTTCAAGACCCGAATATGGGTCTTATCGAATTCTTATGGGAGTCATGGCTGGGTTATATGTGGTCTACTCATCCATTGATATTTTAGTTCTGCCGGTGAGTATGAAATCTTGAAGAAAAAAGAAGTAAGCTGAACATTTTTCAGAGCTATTTTGTGTTCGGTTATAACTATTTTCTTTTCACAACGCATTTGGTGCAGTACCAGGAGTTATCGCAAATTTTGATAGGTAAGAAACAAGACTCACTAAGCTAGCACATAGACATGATCGGGATACAAAACGATTTAAGGGTTCAAAATCCACAACTCGGGGGTAAAAATTCAAAATTTCTCAGATATTTTGTAACACTAAATCGCTTTGTACCCCAATGACTCCAAAATCTTTGTACCTTCTAAATTCTTTGCCCTTAAATCCTGAGATTGAACTCATTTAGCGTAAGACTATACTTATTAAGCTTAAACCTACGGTAATCATAAAACAAGCCTTGTAAGTTTATTGAAAAGGGGAGAGAGGAGATTTTTCGGAATTTTTTGGGGCTACGGTATGCGTATGGACGTTACGGTGTACAGTAAACAGTTAAGACACAGATCGTGGCTATCGTGCCGATTTAATTTATGACATCAGTCGCTGGTGGCAACCCAACACTTCCAACGGTGAAAACACAAGTTGAACTCCTCGGGGAGCTTACGAAAGTCAAACTTCAAGAACGATGTTTGTTCTCTATAATTTATTTCCTTTGAACCTCTCGAGGCGTTGAACCTAGACATATATTTTTGATGAAATTCAAAGGGTGATTTGACATTAACAACAAACTTTTGATGTGATTTCTCTAGAAAAGCCATTTGGGTGGTTTAACCCGGATCCTAAATATTCAGGGTACAGTAACGCCAAAAGCTAAGCTACGCGATGGAAAACTTGACTTGTCGGCCCACGCAACGTCTTATCTTCCTTGAATATAAAATGCTTGACGCGTCTGTTGGTCCCGATGCCAGACTGTCCACTTTTGAAAACGCTTGGAAAAATAAGTATAGATTTACGCTACCCTTTAAAAAAACGTGAGGAGCTGAGCGACGAAACAGTGAAAAACTAGATAAAATCACGCCGAAGGCGCAGCAGCCAGCTGTTTGAATTGATGAGGCGCGGCGACCTGTTAGCCTACGCCGTTTTGGCGCGGCACCTCCTACTTTTGCTAACAGTTTCATCTCCCCTTCATGCTCAAGCTTATTTAGGCTATGCCTATTCTTATTAAGTCATGTCCAAACTTTCAGTTACCTTCTGTTCCGTCTTCGGCTGCATTCAAGTGGTCCTATCTGTCCAATTCATCTACCGTTATTTATCCGTCGCTAGCTTCAATTATCTACGCGAAAAATATTTCAAGGGGCGATGTCATATTGTTTGGGTATCCGCCACTACCCTATTCTTCCTAAATTGGTTCTTAGTGGCCATCTTGGTTTTCGCAAACCATGGAGATCATCCAAAAGAGTTAGAAGAAGCAGTAATGGATAGATTTGGCAGGAATGTCACTGATATGGCATTTACACTCGTCACTTATGCTGTGAGTCAGAAATTTCGGAACCTGTAATTAGGGAACCTCTAGTTTCAGCAATTAGACACAAATGGAAAAGTTCAAATCAACTATAAAGACATCGTTATGATATTGTACTTGATTTTTTGTGCGGTATGTGTTTGGTTTTTGAGAATCCCAAAGACTTTGGAGAATCCTAATATCATTTCAGAGCATCCCAATGACAATTTCCATGATTTGTGGCATCAAAACATGGCTGAAAATTCAATCTACTATTAGTCTCGCCCAGAAATCTAGACAACTTCAAAGACAAGAACGTCAGCTGTTTTTCGCACTGCTCACTCAGTTTAGTATCCCATTTTTGGGGAATACAGTACCCATGCTTTTTCTATTTTTATGTCCTGCACTTTATATTTCTCCGGAACCCTATACAAACTACATTTGTATTCTAATTCCATTTTATCCAGTTTTTGACGCAATTGCAACGACGATAATTATTAAGGACTACTATCGAGGAGTTCTCAGTAAGTGTTTTTTGATAAGCATTTTTTCGAACCTTACATTTTTCAGAACTCTTCGGATTGTCCCAATACGCTCAAAGCAGTTCAATGTTTTCAACAGGTGGCCATGTGCCTCCGAACACTATAAATGCAAATGTTTCTAGTGAAAAAAGTGTTGAATCGATTCCGTTGGCTCGGATGGACAGTCAAATGTAAAAGAAAATAAAAATGGCTCAATTCAGTTTCATTGAATAAATATATGATACATTATTTTTGTAAATCAAGGATCTATTTTCCCCATCCGTATCCATATGGACGGTATCCCCATGGGCGGTAGTATGGACGGCGCCAGCCTCCTCCGTATCCTCCGTATCCGTATGGACGGTCTAGAATTTTTAATATTTTTTCTAAAAACTCAGTTTTTCTATTAGCTTACATCCATATCCATACCCCCATTGGGCCTCAGCCACAGCCAGAAGGCAGGCAATGAGAAGGACGACAAGGAAGAAAAGTTTGGCGGAAATCATTTTCTGAAATTGGTATTTTAATTAAATTGATTTAGAAGACGTGGTTGGTCATTCATGAACAAATGACCTTGAAGGAAAGCGAGGTGATACAATCTTTGAATTCTCAGCAGAGAAAAACTTTGAGAAAAAAGAAAATTTGTTTGTCTGAAAAAATTGCCATGGTTCTAACTTGACCTTCAAAACCTGATGACGTGATGGCTATCTAGTGGGTCAAAAATGAATTATCGTGTTCAAAAAAAATTAAAAATGAGAAAAATGGAACTGGATTTCCAGATAGTCAGTTTGGTCAATGGAATGAATGTTTCTTTGAAAATTTGAAAAAAAAAAGAATTCTACAAAAAAACTGGAGATTGAAATGTGAGATATTGTTGTTTGAAGGTCGGAAATTGGATTTTCGAAAGATTTATTTCAAAGATGTTCCGAATTTTGAGGGAAAAAATTGGTCTGAAGATTTTATTGAAGGGAGCAGATTTTTTTTTCCGAATGTCGAAAATTCAAATTTTGGAAACTTCGGAATTCCCCGATTAAAAAAAACTTTGATACATTTCGATTTCAAAAATTCCAATTTTCAAAACTTCGAAGTTTCGGATTTTCGGAATATTTCGATTTTGAAAAATTTGGAATTTCGGCGTTTCAGAATATTTCGTTTTTCTAAACTTCGGAATTTCGGAATACTCGGATTTTGAAAATTTCGAAATTTCAAAATTTGGAATTTCAGAATATTCCGGTTTTTGGAACTTCGGCATTTCTGAATTTCGGCATTTTCCAATTTTGAAATTTTCGGAAATTCGTAATATCCAAATTTTCCAAACATTGGAATTTCTGAATATTTCGATTTTGTAAAATTCAGATTTTCGGAATCTCCCCATATCCCTAAATTTTTTAGCTCTAAAATTCTGAGTATTCCATTTTTACGAGCTAAATCTTTCAGAAACTTCAGAATTGCGGAATTTTTAAACATATACATATAAGGGCTCTCAATTAAATCAAGCATGCAAAATATACCTTCTATTTTGATTTTTAGGCTGTTTAGTTCCAAAAATCTGAATAATTCTACTTTACTTTAAGACAAATCGTTCTAGAAAATTCTAGAAAAGAGAAAATCAAAAAGTGATGTGATTTTCCTCAGATTTGCATCTTTCTTTTATACCTCTTCAAGCCCTGACCCTGTTCACCAAATACTACGTCCCACCAAATTATACGACTTTTCCCTCACTTTGATCTTTGACGTCTTCTAGTTTTCTTCCCCGATTGATCTTCAAGTCCATATCACCACCGTTACCAAGAAAAAACTTCTTCTATGTTATTCCCCGAAGATGACGTCTAGATCATAGAAGACAAAATTTCGAAGATGTATCATTCTGTTTGGGGAACACAACACACATACAGTCATTGCCATCCCCCTCTAGATGACCAATTCCAATGTGTTTGACGTATAAGAAAATAGTGTGGCGATTGAAGAGAGTGGATAAAGAGGAAAACGGTATAACCTTTATGATATCATCTCTCGGGTCGAGAAACCGAGATGGTAAGAGATACTCTCAAATTTGGTATATAAGGAACCTAGGTAAACGAAATAAGACAGAAAACTTACAAGTTCTCAATACAAAATAATGATTTCTACTTCTTCTCTCTTGATTCTTCTCGTCCTTTTGGCCTGCTTCATGGCCGCCTCAGCTCAATGGGGATACGGTGGAAGTGAGTTTATCCAAAATTGTCTCAAATTTTTTATATATTATGTCTGTTTCAGTGCCATACGGAGGATACGGTGGATATGGAATGGGAGGATACGGTATGGGAGGATACGGAATGCGTCGCCGCATGTGGGGATCACCATACGGAATGGGAGGATATGGAGGATACGGATGGGGAAAATAAACAACTAATGACCCCTAGTCAAATAATCTAAATTGTGCTACCGATCAATCAATACCATGAGCCTTACTGCTATACCATGCCTTAAACATTCCAATTTTTGCAAATTTTTTTGCTTTGCTTTTTGAATGCTTTGTAAAAATGATAATTAATAATCGAAAATGAACGATTTTTGAACTTCAAAATTGTGTTTTTTTTTGTTCTTGGTGTTTTTCAAGAAAAAAAATTGAAATATCTAAATTTTCTGGACTTTATCTTGGAATTACTGTATGTATTTTGACGGGACGGTGTACAGTAATTAGTGTGGGCATGGTTATCGTGTTTAATAGATGCCGAGTAGGTTGCACCATCGTAGATCTGTTGGTAGCAACGCGGCACCTCCAGTGTTGGGTCCACAAGTTCAACTCCTCGAGGGGTTTATATAAAAAATTTCGAGAAAACATTTTTTCATATCCTCACATCTTTAAACTAAACCGAAATTGCTCAATTCAGGTGTTTAGACCAATTTAGCCCTTAAATCTCGGAAATTTCTGCATAACCATAATTGTAAAATTCCGGCCCTGGCAGGGAGAAAATTTTTGAGGCTCGGGCCCGGACGGGAAGGCTCGGTATCAAAATTGTTGAACCAAATTTTAAACTCTCAATATAATTTTCTTCATTTTTTTTTTGTTTTTTGGATTGTTTGTCTGTGATGTAAAAAGATCGGAAAAACTCGAAAAAAATTTTTGATGGAAAAAAATCACATAAGGGTCCCCCCTTATTTGTTTTTTGAAATTTTCAAAACTTGTGAAATGACGGGCCCGTTACAAGTATGTACACAACAGGCTGTTTGCCTAACCTTTCGCGCTTCAAACATCTGGCTGATGCGTCTTCGGCTCGATTCGCACTATTCCTCATATTGTTCGTCGCTCCGCATCTCACTTTTTTTTTCATAGGGTCACATCAATTCGGAATAAATTTTCAAGCTTCTCAAAAAATGTGCGGACAGACTAGGTTTAAAAAAAATTTCCACACAAACTCCGGGAATTGTCTCTGGAATTTGTGAAACCGTGTAGCTCAACAAACGATTAACTGTGAATGCAAACATCCCGATGTCCGCGGCCTACTGATTATCAATCACATTTTTTTCTTTTTTTTTTCTAGACCTGTATATCTTGTCTGATCACTGTTAATTTAATCCAACAACACACATTTTTCTCAAAGTCACATGAGATAACTTCCCCTATTTATGATCAGAAATCAAATCTTCTCTTATCAGAAAAAAAAATAGTAATTAATGTTTACCAAAAACGGTCAGAACCAGTTTTGTTTATATCTCCGAATCAAATTCTCAACTTTTTTCTTTTTTTTTTCCTTTTTTCATCACTCCAAAATTCAGTTTTCTAGAACCTTCTGTCTTGGACACGGAAGGTTTTTTAGAGAGTCAATAGAACAAAGAGCAAAAAATACAACAAAAAAGAGTAAAGATTCATTAAAAATACGACAAGTACCTAAAGTACCGATTCCTACAGTATTGCTCGTCCATATTTTCAAAAAATAGGTTCAAATGCATATCAGTACGATCCTTGCTGGCTCCTATCAGCAGGAATTTTTTCTCGGATCGAAGTCGTTGAATAGACTCCATGAAACCATTCTCCTCGCGAGCACGGGGAAGCGAGTGAGCGAAATTCACCTGGAAATATGGAAGATTAAAATTTCAGACGCATCTAGGCAGATCTAACCTGACAAACTGTTGGTAGATAATCATAATATTGTCCTAGAAATTGTTGGAAAAGAAGGTAGGAAGATGCTTTGGATGGTCCCACTATGAGAAGATCGATGACTTCGGTGTTGAAAGATTTGAGCACATTTGCTAATCCTTGAACTCTCGACGAGGAAAGATCAATATGATGTATGGTGCAGGTTTTCAGGACTCGCTGGAAATGGGTTTTTTATTTTAAGGTCTACAGCGTAGCTCAGTAAGTAGCGGCAGCAAATCGTCAATTTATGCTCCATATATCTCATTTTCTTTGGGAGATAGCAACAAATGGTTCACTGACAAAATGCTTTTGATATCATAGTAAATATAAGTTAACTATTTTTTGATATCTATCAAAGGGATCGAGATACTCATTGACTCAAAGTTGTTCTTTTATTGAAGTTAGATTCACAATTTATTATTGATTTTTAATCTTATATAATAAGAATGATAACTTCAAAGGAAATGGTAAGTTCAAGAACTAATTTTTTTTCTTATTTTCAGTCTGAACCATCAGAAGCGATCCAAATGATCATGTTTTTCGTAGATCATTCCACTGCACGAATTGTCTGATTTCAGTTCCAGGAGTTTGAACATATTATCTTGAATTTCACAGTAGATTTCTTCAGAGTATCGCGCTTGTTACTAGATCCTCTACACCTGAATTTGATCTGTCTCCCGATCCAGTTCTTCTTCCAATGGTCATGGCTCCAGCTCCATGTTCCAACATCGGTGGTTCAGTAGAATGCTCACGCAACTGACGTGAGCAAGGATATCCAGAAAGCGAGAACCAGCTCCATGCGGACTCCAGAACCTGGGATCCTGACCCGGGCTCCAGAACCCGATCTCCAGAATCCGGGCTTCAAGACCCGGCCTCCAGAATTCCGGCTCCTTGTCCCGAATCCCTCCCCGATTCCCCTCTCTGGGGCTCAGAAAAAGGGAGAACTAATTCTTCTCTCCACTACTCTCCTCCTTTATAGTATTCTTCCTGAGGTCAATGGGCCATCGAGGGTCGTGGGTTTTTACGTCGCTTTTTTTGGTGGAGAATTTAAATTTTTTGAAAATTTTTTGCCACGTGGATTTCTATTATAACAAATAAATATTTTCTTCACGTTTAAAAACACCTCAATTGAAATATGTGAAACACATTTAAAAAAAATTGTCCCTTTGAACCTAATCAGCTCGTTTTATGTTTAAGATGTCAAAAAATTGACAAATAATAAAATGTTTCTGATATCACGTCAAACATTTTTGCCGTTAGAAGTTTTGTGATATCTTTTACAGGAACTGAGAAAAAATTGGTCAATGCTGACGGTTAGAAAATACGTAAACATTGTAATAGACTTTGTGCCAATTTATCTCGGTTCCTGTACAAGATATCAAAAAGTGATAAACTGACAAATTGTTTTCGATATGATAATGAATATTTTGTTAGTTGGCTACTATTTAATACCTATCACAGGAACCGAGACACATTGACTCAAAGTTTAAAGTTGTGTAATTGACAATTTTTTAGTACAAATCCAACAGAAGCGGTTTTTAATGACACAACTCTTACTTAAAGGAGGCTAGACAGCAAAAATTTCGGGGGACAGTTCGGGGGACGAAATCGCGCCGCGCTTATGTAGACCATCGGTCGTCAGGCGCCTTCGCGCCCCCGTAGCTCAGCCGGTAGCGGCGCTGTGCTCCTGAGCTGCCTGTCAGGAATTCAACCCCTCATGGGGGTTCTCTATGCAAAATATCAGGAAAACTTTTTTTGGTGTCTGGCCTCCTTTAAGTGCTTATTCGGGCCGTTTTGATAAACTGGGTACTGTATGAAACATATCTTTTGTATAATCTGAACTGTTCAGTACATCAAAACCTTCGAAACCGACGGCCAGGAAATATACAATGTCGCCGTAAACTGACATATGCCCCCATCAAAAATCCAATTAACTCTCTACTCACTTCCAGATCAATATCCTTCAAAGATCGATCATCTTCAAAGGATATCACAACAGCGGTACAGGTGTTACCGGCTTCATTTTTCTTTTTCCTCTCCATCATATTCTTGACCTTAAACAATACAACTTCCTTCTTGGATGTGAATTTTGTCACGCTCATCTGCGCATTCGTTGAACACCAATTCAGCGAATCCGGCAATTTTCGCCACATCAGTTCAAATTTGTCGTGTTCGGTATCTTTGAAGAATTCGTAAACGCACCGATCAACTGCACACAGATAACCAAACACATTGGGATCTTTGCCCTCAAAGGGGATGGTCTGAAAACAATTAACAAAAATATGAGCACCAAAAGAATAAAAACTCACACAAGAATACATTGAAATATTGGAAAGTGTGCTCAAAATGAAGTTTACGATGTAAAATATTACGAACAAAATCGAGAATAACAGGAGAACGGAGCGCCGTCTCGGGAAGGTTCGACAACGCATTTTGAGAGTTTTCGACATGTTCTGTTTTCACTAGCTAGATGGAATATGCGTTCATGTGGCGAGAAAAATAATTTCAAAACCAAATGATCTCGATTTTAATCTTTCGAGAGGCTATAGACAATCCTTCATAGATTCTAATAGATGATAGTCAACCACTCCCAATAGGGGGTAGACGTGGTAAATCCTGGAAGCTACATATATTCAGAAGATTGAGAGAATGTTTGTATGGGTTTCTTGAAAATCAAATTTTCTCAGGTTCAGATTTTTCAGACAAATCGAATACTGTATTTGTTCTGATAGAAGCCCGCCCTACACGGCACTTTGCCCTCAATTATCTCGGTTCCCTCAAAAGATATAAAAATGTTAACTTATATATTATTGATCATGTTATAACCAATAATTTATCAGTTGACAATTTTTCGATATCTCTCATAGGAACCGAGATAATTGAGCTCAGAGTTCTTGTATACGGTGGGCTTCTGGAAAGTTCTCTTCCAAGAATACACTCAAGTTCAGACACATCGAAATCGGCGAACACCTGATTCAGAAACACGAGGAAGAAATTGTGGTTTCTATTTGGCAAGAACAAGAAGATCAGATCACGTCAAAGATCAACAGAAAAATCGTATTCATTCCTTGTCGACACGAAATGGGACGCAACAATTTGGTAAACAAGGTCATGTCTCAGGTGGTATAAAAGGAGAAGAAGATTCTTTTAAAAGTCACATCACTTTTTTGTTTCCTCTTTTTTCTCAAGGACATCATGTTGTTTCAGAATCTATACTTTTATAAATTTGGGGTTTTCCTCGACTTACCAAATTCCGAACTTTCAGAAAATGATTTCCGCCAAGCTCTTCTTCCTCGTCATTCTCCTTATTGCCTGTCTTGTCGCCGTTACTGAAGCTCAATGGGGATACGGATGTAAGTTTTCGCTCTGAAAGTATCCAAAGCTGATTCAATTGTTCTCAGACCGCCCATACGGAGGATACGGTGGATACGGAGGATTCCGTCGTCCATACCGCCCATGGGGATACCGTCCATATGGATACGGATGGGGAAAATAGACGGGATGTACTCATATATATATATATATATATATATATATATATATATATATATGATCTGATGTTTTGATTTTTTATTTCTGTGTATTGATGAATGAAATGCTTTGTATTATAATCTTTCTTTATTCGTATGTATTAAATAATTTCGGGTCCTCGCAAAAATATTCACTTTTTTAGACAAATTCGTCAGATTTGATATTGTGAATATTACTACTGTCTTTCTCTCCTAGCAGAAAACATAAGGTCAAGAAAAGCCCTATAAATTAAAACGCACATGAAAAAAGAGAAAAACAGGTACAGATTGAAAAATCGTAATTTTCTTGGAATCCAAATATTATATTGTAGTACTTAACTGGAATCAAACCGAACAGTATTCTTGAAAAATTGAAAGAAATTGATAATTGATAATGAAAATTGGAAGTCAAAAATGAAGCGTTTCATGAAAAGTTAAAAATATTACAAAGTCTGTCAGGAAACCGAATAACCGGAAATTGAGAAAAATAAATATTATCAGTTGATATTCGTTCAAAAGGGTCACGTAAAGCTATTTTTATTATTTTAAGTTTTTCAAAAGCCCACAGGCTGACAGAGGGACAAACAGATGCGTGTAGCGTTTTATATACAAGCCGGTGCGCCTTCGGCACGAATTAATCTAGTTTTTAATGGTTCGTCTCTTCGCTTCTCGAGTTTTTTAAAGGGTCACGTAATCTACACTTATTTTTCTAGCGTTTCAAAACCGGACAGCGTGACATGAGGACCAACATACACTTCTAGCGTTTTGTATATAAGGAAGATAAGGGAGATATATTTTGTTATTGATAGTTTACAGTTATTTGTAGGAGTCTTTCCAACGAAAACAAATGATTTAAAGAAGCGAGGGGACATTGAAGAATAAGTTTCTCAAATATGTATTCGTTCATACAAACTAACTTGGACGAAACTATGAGCGTTCTTGTTTTCGAACTTGTGGGTCCTCTGTTGAAGGGTTACCATCTGATCTACAGAGGCTGAAGTTGCACCGTCGACGAATGTCACACATGAAAGCGTCACGGTTGCCACGAACACCGATCACTGTACACTGTCACGTCAGAATTCACACTCTCGAAAAAAAAACCTTGAAAATTTTCCAATCTCCCCTTCTTCAAGGTTAATGCTACTAGATCCGAAATTTGAAGCAAGGTTTTCAGCTTTTTGACCTCCAAGAGGACTATCCTGAAGATGATATATTCAGAGATTCTGAGCCATCCTGATCAAAAAACAAAATAAGAATAGACACCCAACACGTCATCAGAAAACGATAGAAAGTTCAGTCTCATCAAAGTCGCCGAACGCACTTCAAAGAGACAAGAAATTTGTGATTTGGTGTCGAAGATCACATTAAAACGAATAAGATCAAGTCACGTCAAAGATTGTCAAGAAAGTCGTATATTCTAGTCATCACAAAGTGGGATGTACTGTTTGGGGAACGCGGTTAATTGGCATTGGGGTAGTATAAAAGAAGTAGGAGATTCTTTGAAAATCACATCACTTTTTTTTGGTTTCCTCTTTTTTCAAGGACAGAAATATCTAACTTTTTTTGTTTCGACGTTTGTTGCCTTTTGGATTTTCTATGCTTTTTCCATCCAGGATTACATTTCATATTTCAACTTTTCAGAAAAAATGATTTCCGCCAAGCTCTTCTTCATTGTTCTTCTCCTCATCGCCTGTCTTTTTGCAGTTAGTGAAGCTCAATGGGGATACGGATGTGCGTTTCAACTCTAAAAGTCCCTAAACCTAAAGAATTGTTTTCAGACCGCCCATACGGAGGATACGGTGGATACGGAGGATTCCGTCGTCCATACCGCCCATGGGGATACCGTCCATATGGATACGGATGGGGAAAATAGACGGGCTCTACTGAGATATGATCTGATGCTTTTGATGATGTATTTTGTGTCTTGATGAAGAAAATAATTTGTATTATGTATAATCTTTCTTTATGTGATTTTTTTAAATTTTGTGGTTTGTATTGATGAATAAAATTATTAACTATTTTGAAATTTTGTTTTCATGTCTGTCAACAAAAATATTTAAAAAGTTTTATATTTTTGAAAAATTCAATTGTTTAGGAAAAAGGTGAAAATCATGAAAATGGTTTGATTAGGCTTGCAGTCCAGAATGGTTGGTATGAGCAGTTGATGATACTCGATGTTTTTTCTCTCGACAAGTGAGAAATCCTCTCACTTCGGGATTGAAGATGACGACGACCATTCTGGAATATATATGTTTTGAAAAATTTCATAAAAGTTTACTTACCCATCCAATGCATGCACTGCCACCCAAGCAAATGACGTGGCAAAAAACACAATCCATTTGTTTTCAAAATACTGTGGGACGAAAAAGTAGGTCAAAAGTTCCGACATGAAAACGACGCCTTGGGTCACCGTCTGCTTCAAAAACCGCATTTCACGACAGGAAAGTCGGTCTTGTGCGCTATCACTCAGATTTGCGACAACCTGAAAATCCAATTCTATCCGGGTTCGCTAGAGCGCATTTGCTACCTTTCTAGACATTTTTCGAACGTTGAGTACTGTCAAAATATCAATGGAAACCACGACGGCGACGATAACCGAGTTTTTCAAAAAGTCTCCATACCAGCCAATGTATCCGCAGAATTCGGAGTTTGTGAACGTCAAAAAGCGAATTTTCTCGTCGTAGTAGAAATAACAGAATTCTGAAAATTGTGAAAGTCTCTAATTAGCCAATTTTTACGCTAACAACTCACTCTCATAGAACAAAACTGCAACGGAGCCAACGAAAACATAGATTCCAAAAATTATAATTTTAGTGTTAAAATTGCTGAATATAGTGTTATATTTGTATGGAGCCCAGACAGCTGTGAATCTATTCAACGAAATTGCCAAATGAATCATCACGGAGAGCTCATAGAACAGAAGAAGCACAAATCCGAAATGATGGGACCACGCTTTCAGTGTTGGTTCGTTGCTAAAATTTTCAGATAAAACATTTCGGATAACTCCTGAAGACTCACAGCAAGACCATGGGACAAAAGTACAGTAGGAAAGTTGTTGAATGCATTGCATCCGCAATAGCCTGGTTTGCTGATAAGTATCCAAATGAGTGATTGAAGCATTGAAGTTTGTGCACCGCCCAAAAAATGGACCAGTTTAAAACGGAGCCGATAAGCGAGATCTTAAATTCGGAGCATTTTTTGAAACATTACCATTTCCCCTGATTCCCCTACTTACAGGTAACAAAGCGTAAACAGTTTGATTGATGTCATCCATAGCTTTCAGTTAGCAGAAAATGCACAGCGGAAATAATACGGTAGTGATAAGTATCGCGACAGATTTCCGATGCTTTACACTCGACGACACGACGACAAACTTCCTCGGCGACAATAACAAGCCTACAAATTGCAAATGGGTTACGGTAGTTTTGTGTATGATCAGTCTAGGAATCACTGAAATGTAGTTGTCGGGAGGGAGAGGATGGGATACAAAACCATGCAGTTTTTGAGAACTCACTCTAGGATGGTGAGTAATCGAGATCACAAAATGAACCGAAAAGGACGGATGACTGGAAATTGGTGATTTCTGGAATTTAAATATCGCTCAACTTCCCTAGATGTGAAAAAAAATTGAGGACCCTTTTTTTACAAAAATTCTTATAGGTTTAACTTAAAATTAAGACTCAATTTCAATACGAAAAGCAACTATTTAAAAAACGCACTGTCCCAAAATCAAGGTCTTTTCAAAATCGGGCCGGCCGCGGACCACCGACGTAAAAGTATGTTAAAATTAACTAAAAAAACTGAAAATCAAAAAAAAATTTTAATGAACTTAAAATCTGATAACTTCCTAATATGTACTGTCCTAACACTTTTTTAATTGAGTGGTCCAAAAATCAGATTCTCACAAGAGCATCGGGTCTCGAAATTAGTCGGAAAATTAGCAGTTATAAGTATTACGTCGAATATCAGTCAGTACTATTGTACTATCCTCGTAAATGATAGAATTTTTAGATTTTTGATTTTGAAAGTTTGAAAATTATTCAAATTTGTCATACATCAAATAATTTTTTTTGAAATTGTTTGTTGGTAAAAATGGCTCTGTATGACGTGAATGAAATTTTACAAATATCGTGGTACTTTGAAAATTATACAGAGCCGAAAGATCTTAAGATCATATAATTATAGGTTTTAAGATTTCTATCACACAAAAGACAAAAAACCAGGAAATGCTGCGGTTTTATACTACACACTCGTAAATTTGCGAAAAATATTGTTATTTTCAAAGGTTTTTTTGTGAATAGGATGCGAAATTTTGAAAAAAAAGATGTGTGTCACTAACTTTTTTCGGGAGCCTGATAAAAATCATAATATTTACCTCTAAAAATTGCTTGTCATGATATCATTTTGTTCGAAGCCTTCATCTTGGAGCATTTCACGAAGCGTATTTGTACAACGAAAAGAAGTTTTTCAGAAAGTTTGGAAATGTTTTTCGACAATCATGTCTGGAATCTTTTGGAGTTGGTGATGTTGAATCAGAATACATAGAACATGCAACCAAGCTCTAAAGTTAACAATGGTCCCTTCAATAGACGGGCCCCTTGGAGCCACCTCGGAACTATGAAACGCGGCACCTTGGAACAATTAACGGGACCTTCTAATAGAGGTTTTTCGGTTTTTTTTTCGATTGACGGGTCAATTTCAGAGTCACAGAGATGTTCGAATTGCCTTTTCAGTATTTTTCGGAATGTCGAAAATTCTGATTTTCAAAATTTAAGAAGTTGGAATTATGAGCTCAGGCAAAGACTCTTCGGAAAATTTGGTGACTTATGGAACTAGCCTCAATTTATTTTTGATGTCCGGCCGCTTTTAGTAAGTTCACCTTTTAGGTTACGGTAGTCGTAATCTGATCGGAAAAAGTACAAAAACTATGTATAAAAAATATTCTGTCTTTTTCGAAACTCGAAATCTGTCTGTTTATAAAGCCAGCAAACAATGGGGTAGCCTCCTTTTCAAATTTATTATCACTGCGTAGTAACAAGGATTAAAGTTTGAGCGTATCAAAAGATTTATGACACATTGTTGTTCCTCGAAAAGTCTCTGAATCATGATAATTCCTTGTTTTCGAAATTATAGGTACAAGTTTCATCAATCATTTTTAATACGAATTGAAATCCAAAAAAAAACAAATTAATCAGAAAATAATGATCTTTGTTGTGGGGGGTGTGACGACACCGCCACCACTGAAGACAGATGTATAGTAATGCCACGTGTTTGAAAACTTTTAATTTTACTTCCGAATAAAAAATTACGGATCTCGGGATTGCATATTATCACGATGAGTCTGAATGAAATTTAATTATCAGAGAAACTTGAAATATTCTAACCCATCAGCTACATGTACCGTAACCCAAGCAAATGAGGTTCCAAAGAATACTATCCAATCGTTTGTGAAATAAGTTGGGACCACGAAATAGGTCACTAGCTCGAGCATAAACACAAATCCTTGGATCAAAGTCTGTTTCAAGAATCGACGATCCCGACTCGACAACTTTTTGAGTGCAGCATCCGTCATTCCAGATTGAAGCTTCTTAGACAGTCGACGGACCCCGTAAACCGTTAGAACATCCAAACAAATAACAATGGAAACGTAAAAACAGTTCTTCAAAAAGTCCCCGTACCATCCGATGAAAGAGCAAAGATCCGAGTTGCTGAATGTCAGAAAACCAATTTTGTCGTCAAAGTAAAAGTGACAGAAATCTGTAAATCAATGTCTTACAAGTTGTTATGAGGATATTTCAAAAACACTCACTTTCATAAAGCACCGTCGCCGATGTCGCATTGTACATCCAGAGTACAATAATGAACACTTTTGTTTTCCGCACACTAAAGGCTCTTTCGTAGAATAGCGGAAACCAAACGGAAATGAATCGGTTCAAAGAAATCGCCAAATGTGTGAGAACGGACAGTTCGTAGGCAAGAAGTAGTAGGTATCCGCATATGTGAGAATAGTGCTTCATGGTTGGTTGGTCCCTGTAAAATTTGGACTACCCGGATCTGATTGTAAAGAAAAAACCGCTAAGAGAGCAAACCATATTTGCGAACACCATGTATTAGATGGGCGTCTATTGCTCCAAAATACCTCCTGAGGGCCCTATTAAAGGGACAATACAATTGGAGGAACCCTTCTATTCTCCCGGTAATTTTTTTTCGAAAGTTTTGTTCAAAACTCCATTAAGGGGATCTTCTATTAAAAGAGCCCTTCTAATACAGGTTATTGAAAATCTTCGCTAGGGAAAATGAGAGATAAAAAATTTTGTTATAAAGAAATGGTCCTGGGTCCAAGGATCCAAGGTACGCGAGGGTACATCGAGTTTTTAGGGTTCATTGGTTTAGAAGGTACATTTAACCTTGAGGTAAGTCTGGAAAGTAAGGGCAAGGGGTTCTGAAAAAAAATAAAGCTAATATACACACCTGAACCAACCACCCATATACATATGACATAAGATCCGGACTAAACCGATCTAGACATTATTTAACCGCGAATACCGTCGGACCCTCTCAAACCCATCTACAGTGTCCAGCTATTATACCATCATCAACTTACAGTAATACCATTGGGCAGAAATAAAGCAGAAAAACTGTCGAATGCATCGCATCTGCTAGCGCCTGATTTGCTGACAAAACTCCGAAGGAATGATTAAAGCTTGCCAATTTCCGGATACTGTAGAAACTGGACCAATTCAGAACTGCACCAACCAAGGAGACAGGCATCAAAACGTATACGATTTGGTTGAAGTCGGCCATGGTTTGGGAAGGAATATGATCACGAAAATAGAGTTATAATACTTATCAGACGTATCCTATTTCAATAACTAAAAAACGCCCAGTCGGATATTATGTAAATCGGGCGGGCACAAGGAATTTCCGTTGTTGTGAGCTGTGCACAGTGTTGTTTATCTTGTTTTTCATGATTTTTTAAACAAAATGGAGACAACTACGAAAAATATTATGTGATTCATTTTATGGATTTCTGGGTACTACATATACAATTTTTGGGATCCGTTTGGAAGCCTAAAAACCAGTGAAGAACTCATCTGACTCATTGAAAAAAACATTCTGATTTTAGAACGTTTTGTAGTGGAAAATATAATTTGTTTTCCGGTTGAACGTTCTCAATTTTTCAACATATTTTTATTAATCACACAGAAAACACAACTTTTGATTCTTTGAAAAACACAAAAGTTAGCCGGTTTTAATAACAGTTATTTTATCTCGACTTTCCACTGACACTTCTTTTGCGCATCTCAAAAAGCGTCTCATTTCGGGGTTGAACAGCATCACGATGATTCTGGAACAATAAAATTGTTATTTCAAACTTCAATAAAAATATTACCCATCCAGAACATGAACCGCAATGAAAGCATAACCGCTTAAAAGGAATATAACCACTTGGTGAAAAACCGTATTTTTCTTGTTTTTTTTTGGGTTTTTTTTTTGTTTTTTTTCTATTTCATTTATGACATTCTTGATTTTTGCAGATGAATTCGTCACAAAATCAATCAATGGTGTAGCGATACTTCGAAAAACAAAATAATGGCCAAAATGTGATCTGTAAACTGTGCGGCAGAAACATAAAGTACCATTCTTCGACCACGACGATGCATCAGCACTTAAACAGTCACCACGAAAAAGAATTGGAAGAAATGGAAAGATCGGTAAGCAGAAAATTAAATATTTTTCGTTGAATTATTTTAATTTTTGAAGAGCTCACAGAGAAAAATTCCCGCTTCTTCAAAAAATCGCTCTGCATTTCCTCTCGCTCACGCAATCTAGTGCAATTGTGGAAAGATTGTTTAGGTGGGAATCGGTTTATAAAAACTGCGTGACCACTTCATTATAGTGTCTGCGGCTCCATCGTTAACAATAGCCGAAGAAACAGGATGAAACCGAAAACTCTTAACCAGCAACTTCTTTGTGCGGCATTGGCCAATTTGGAATAAGATATTAAAGTTTATTTTTCCTCAAAATCTGAGTTTTCTTCAGATCTACGAAGAAGAATAGTCGACGACAGAAGAGTACGAATATGATGACGTACGAACTTTTCGTTGTCGATTTTTGTCGACTTTCAGTCGACGTAATAGTCGACGACAGAAGAGTACTAATATGATGACGAGAATGATGACTCAGAAGGCGTAGAATATTAAGATTCCAGAGAGCATAACGACGATACTTTTGGAAACGATTGGCCCAAATAATGAAACATTAATTCCTAATGCTGAACTTTGTTCTTCTGTTTCTTCCCTTTTTTTTAATTTTGTCGCTTTGAATTTTCTTCTAATTTCCTTGCCATCTTCTGAGACATACTGATTCTCTATTTTGTACCCCCGTTGAAATTAAGTTTTACACTATTTGTTTTTTTATTCATAAAAATAAAGTTGTTACTCTACACAAAAAATAATTTCTTCAAAAAATTAGAAACAAAAAATTCTCGAGGTGAAGTTTTACTTTGAAGTCCGGAAAAGTCGATTTTTCGTCGACTTTTGTCGGTTTTTTGTCGACTTTTGTCGATTTTTCTGTCGTTTTTAAGTCGACGCGAAATCGACAAAAGTCGATTCTTGTCGATTTCTGTCGATTTCCGTCGACGCAAAATCGACAAGAATCGATTTTCTTCGACTTTCGTCGACTGAAAGTCGACAAAAATCGACAACGAAAAGTTCGACAAATAGACTTTTCGAATTGTTGAACGTCGACTGTGTCGATTTTCGAGTCGACTCGGCACTCTAGTTGCGGCCGAAAATTTACTCAAAATTACTGTGCTGTGTCGATTGTTGACAATCGACAAAAATCGACGAAAATCGTTAAAATCGGTGTCGATTTCGTCGACTCGAGCAAAAATCGACATTCAAAAAGTCGACAGAATATCGACTTTCCAAAAGTCGATGAAAGCGAAAATCGACAAAAGTCGATTTTTGTCGATTTTGAATCGACTCAAAATCGACAAGAATCGACGAAAAGTCGACAAAAAAATCGACTTTTGTCGACTTTTGTCGACTTTATTGTCCGAGAGGACTACATGGCCGGTGACCTAGAAACTGCCTGTGGCCGGGGCATGTTTCATGAAAAACAGGCAATTTTCATCGAATTTTCCACTGAAAAACCGTGTTTTTCTTGTTTTTTTTTCTGTTTCATTTATGACATTCTTGCTTATTGCAGATGAATTCGTCACAAAATCAATCTAAAGCGTACTTCGAAAAACAAAATAACGGACAAACTGTGACCTGTAAACTGTGCGGAAGGAGCATAAAGTTCCATTCTTTGACTTTGTTTTTTGTGCATCTCAAGAAGCTTCTGACTTCCGGATTGAACAGCAGAACAACGATTCTGTAACAGAAAAAAGGATTATTGAAAATTCAATAAGATTTACCCATCCAAAACATGAACTGCCACAAAAAAATATTCGCTTGGAAGGTATACAACAATCTGGTCATTTGAGATTTTATCAATTGAACACCACGCAATCAGCTGTATAAGGAAAATTGTTCCTTAAGAGATCGTTTGTTTCAAAAATCGTTTTCCTCGTTCCGAAATAGATTCGTTATTTTTGTTGTTGTTATTCATAGAGAAAAGCCAGATTTCTCGAACTTTGAGGATGGTTAGAATATCGATAACCATAAAAATACAAACCAGAATGATATTCTTTACAAAATCTTTATACCATACCACGTTAACACATAGATCAGTCTCTGTGAGCGCAATTTTGCGACGTTCGTATTTTATTGGACACAAGTCTGCAATTTTAGGAACTCTGAGAATTGTTAATTAGTGAAAAAATTGCCCATATTTACCAAGTAGTGAGAAAACAACTGTGTTCTGAAAAAAAAAACTAAAAAACTAAACTTTTCAAGGACGGTGTCATAAAAGCCGAATAAAATCCAAGATCCTCCAATCATCAAATTCGTAGTCTTTATACTAAAAACTGAAGAATACTTAAATGGTCTCAATAAAGCACAAAAACGATTACACAGGGTTGCAATCTGACGGACTGGCCGGCGGGCCGGCCCAGCCCGGCCCGCCGGCCGGGCTGGCCCGAGGGAAAAAAACCAGGGCCCGGCCCGGCCCGGCCGGCCGGCAATTAATTAATATTTGAACGCGCGCCATTTTTATTTGCAACGATGCTCCGATATGACGAGGCGCGCATTGTTTAGCAATTGTTTAATTGTTTAGCATTGTTTAGCATTGTTTAGAAAAAGATTCGAATACCCCGGACTGTACTCAGCAGCACTTTTCGTTTTTTCGATTGTTCCCAGTGAAGCCATGTGTGAGACTACGTTCAGCACTGCGTCGTTTTTGTTAGATAAAACAAGAACAAGATTACTGTACAAGCGTGTGGAGATGGTCGTTCTGGGTTTGCAAATAGCCACGAAACTTCCACACTGGCTCGACTGATTCTCTCACTAATTGTAGTGATTTTTCTAGTTAATTTTATGTTACATTTCTGTCTTTTTTGTTGGATTGGTTGATATGAGCTTTATTTTCTCCCCCGGTTTCCATTTCTTTGTTTCCCCTTGTTCATTTATACGGTTTTTACATTGTTATGCTACTTGTTAAGAAATAAATTCAAATAATTCTTCAATAATTTCTGTTTTTTCTTAAATTCGAACGGGCCGAACCGGCCGAACCGGCCGGGCCGGGCCGGAGAAAAAATAATCTCGGCCCGGCCCGGCCGGTTGCAACCCTGCGATTACAGGAAATGATGAAAATGGGAAACAACGGTTAACTGGTAACAGTGACCACTCAGAAAAGCGTGAATGGGAGAAAAATCTTTCATGGTTCGAGAATATCTGAAAATCGGAATTTAATTATCCTCAATTGCTTCTAAGTTTACAGAAGAATCATTGGACAACCATAGAATAACTGATTTGCACAAAAAAAACGCATCAGCTAAAACTTGATTTGCTGATAAATAGCCAAAAGAGTGTTTCATTGACTTTAATTTTAGGAAGCTATATAAAACGGCCGAATTAACTATAAACCCAACAATAACTGTCTGAAATAATTAAATTCATGAAGAAACGTTAGACTGCCTTACCGGCAAAACTAAAAAATGGTTCGGCTGAATTCAAAATCCATAGAAACCACCTTACGGGTTTTCTCAAATATAGTTTTGAAGACGAAATGAGAAGTTGGGTCCAGACAGAAATTGGAAAAGGTATATGGAAATTAATTTCAATTCTGTTCTGTGTTTTCGAGATGTACAATATTGAAAATAGGAATTTCTTGGAAGAAGAAAATTGAACACGTGAAAAATGTTGATTAACAAAAATCGACGTTCTTGATCATCAACAGCGTTAGGATTCGTTTTGTTTTTTCGTCCGCAGGCGGTGCTTATTCCAATAAACTGAAAAAAAACATCACAATGGAAATCTTTATTTTTACATTTTTAAAATATAAAAATTGATGTTATTAACTTTTATCAGATGTACAAAGTAATTCAAAATACACAACATTTGATTGTTCGAAACACACAGATGTTAGACCGTTGTATTCACAGAAATATTAACCTGATTTCGGATGGGTTTATTTTTTGTGCATCCCAAAAAGCTTCTGATTTCCGGGTTGAACATCAACACAATGATTCTGTAACAGAATAACTTATTTTTAAAATTCAAGGTAAAAGTTACCCATCCAAAACATGAACTAGAGTAAAAGCGTAACCGCTTAAAAGGAATATAACAACTTTGTTACTCGTGATTTTATCAATCGAAAACCAAGTAATCAGCTCCACCATAAAAACAATTCCTTGAGAAACGGTTTGTTTCAAAAATCTCCTTTCTCGTTCCGAAATTGATTCGTTGTTTTTGTTTTTATTATTCACAGAGAATAGTCGGACTTTTCGAACTTTTATCACTGTCATGATATCGATTATCATAAAAATACAAACCACAATGCTATTCTTCACAAAGTCTCCATACCATACAATATTATCACATAGATCAGTATCATCGTAAGCAAGTATACGACGTTGAGGGTCGTATTTCATAGGACACACGTCTGAAACAAATTTCGAGAATTCTGAATTACTCGGAGAATCTGGGCAACTTTTGGAGAAGTAGAGAGCGCTTTGATCCGGACAAACTTTTTTTCGCCCTCACCTGGACCAAGCCTTGTTAGAAAAGTAAAGTGAACCGATCGGCCCAAAGTTAGGAAGAGGTTGAGTCAAAATAACACAGGGCGCAGAGGGGATAAAATGAACAAAACTTACACACAAAGAAGTATCTATTAACTGCGCCAAGTATAATCCAATTTACAGAAATCATCCAACAAGTATTCTTTATACTGAACACCGAAGAATACTTTAATGGCATCCATACAGCACAAAACCGATTACAGGAAATGATGAAATGAAAAACAACGGATAACTGATAACAGTGGCCACTCAGAAAAGCGTGAATGGGAGAAAAATCTTTCATGATTCGTGAATCTCTGAAAATTAAAGTTCGATTTCCTCTCAATCACTTTTGAATTTACAGAAGAATCATTGGACCACCATAGAATAACTTATTTGCACAAAGAATCGCATCAGCTAACGCTTGATTTGCTGATAAATAGCCAAAAGAGTGTTTCATTGACTTTAATTTTAGGAAGCTATATAAAACGGCCGAATTAACTATAAACCCAACAATAACTGTCTGAAATTGATAATATTCCTAGAGAAACATTGGTCCAACTCACAGGCAAAAGCAAAAAGACAGTTCGGACAAATTCGAAATCCATGGAAATTACTTTACTGGTTTTCTAGAAATAAAGTTCTGAGGAAGAAGTGAGAGATCGAGTCCAGACTCAAAATGAAAAACACAGGTCTAAGGAAACCAATTTCGATTCGCTTTTTTGGTTTTCTCGACAAGCAGATTTCGAAATTTGGAATTTCTTGGAAGTAATTGTCGAGAAAACAAAAATCACAGAACATGAGAACCGCATCGACTAATAGTTTCGATAGAAATTCTGATTCGTGAGAAAATTATTATTATCAAGGTTCGCTGTTCCTGATAATCAACTGCGGGATTACTGTAATTTGTATGAGCTGATAGCCGGAAATTCTTTTTTTAATGACTTTCTTCAGTCAGTGTGATTTCCTGAGACCAATCTTGGACAATTATAGATTTTGTCTAGTTCACAGGAGGTTCCTCTTTCAATAAGAATGAAGAGAATCTTGGTGGAAATCATTATTTTTGCATTTTCTTTTTTTAAAGACTGCTGTATTTTTATTTTGTCTGTACAGATAAATTCATAGAAATTCATAAAACATAGGGAAGTTGAGTGGGCCAATTTAGAACAAGTTTTGCCAAGTGTGTCCCCCCTCTCTCACTAGTCAGGAGTCTTGTTGGTTTGGGCAAGCTCTCGGCGAAAATTGTTTCTTTCAGTTGATAAGTTTGGATTTTGATAGATTTTTAAGAATTTTATTATCTACACTCAAAACTAGAAAAAAACAATTTTTGATTTTTCGAAAGAAATAAATGTTTTATCAGTACCACACAGCTATGTATGAAACACTACAATTGATTATTCAAACACACAAATGTTAGATCGGTTTAGTCACAGAAACATAAATCTGACTTTCAATGGGTTTATTTTTTGTGCATCCCAAGAAGCTTCTGATTTCCGGGTTGAACAACAACACAACAATCCTTCAAAAAGACAATTGTATATTTATAATTCAATACCAATTTACCCATCCAAACTCTTTACGCTGGAACTCTATAGTAAACACAACTTACACATAAGCATGTATAAATTGATTAATAAACATAGAAGCCAAGTTCCTCCAATCATCCGACAAGTATTTTTTATACTAAAAACTGAAGAATATTTTAATGGTACCCATACTCAGCAAATTTTTGGCACATGTGCCGCTACTTGGGGCACCGGTGCCGCTGCAACGCGGTAATCGTGCCCGGGGGGTCGGGGCACGCATGCATTTGGCGTGCCGTTGCCGTGCCGTATCCGTGCTCATGTGTGCGGTTTTTTGAATTTTTTTTCTCGAAATCGGGTGAATTTTATCGATTTTTCTTAAATCAAACAGTTTATTTGATTAGGAATGCAACAACAACAAAAAAACAACGATGAGAAAATTCAAAAATGTAGAGAATATTGCGCAGATTGTGTTGAAGATGGCGGCGACATTAAGATTCCTCCTCCTCTTCTCCAGCTTCGTGGGCTTTGCTCTTGGCAATGTGTCTCTGAAAGAATGTTAAAGATTATTGTCGAAACAAATTGGATGGAAACTCACTTTTCTTCTTGCGAAGTATCCTTGTGAAGATCCATCGGCAATTATGAATGTTCCTAGACGAAGCTCTTTGCTGAAAATAATTTATTTGTTAAATGAAAAGATTACAGATAACTTACAGAGCATTTTTAAATTGAGCTCGAAACGTATTAGTTTTGAACGATTTTTTAGCAGACGAAACTTGGACGAATTTCTTCTTTTTAGCCTCTTCGGTGGCATAGTTCTTCAACAATCTAACCCCAATGATACGAGCGGTGGTGCTCCATTAATAACCGACATCATTCCATCGAGTCGATCCATAGAGTTTTCTGATAGTCCCTCTGAGAGCACAAAGTTGATGTAGCAGGAAATTCGAATATCAGAGTCTTGAATTTCTCTTCTTTCGTAGTTCATCATTGGTAAGAGACAATCATAATCGACATCTTCCAAGTTTTAACCGAAATCCACCTGACCTGAAAACATAGGAACTACCAATAACCTTTCAAAAATTTTTGAACACTGTCATTTCAAAATAGTTCAGTTTTTCACATCTCGGTCACTTACTCATTTCATTTGTAGCTTTTTTTTCCTAGTTGCTGGTCGTAAACTACTTTCTTCTTCTTCAGTATCCTTCCACAGTTCGAAATCTTCATTTCTCGACTCCATAACTGAAAAGATTTTCGATGTTACTATTACTTGAGAATTTCCCAACTCACCGATTTTCTTCCGGTGTCTTTTCCAACGCGACATCTGCTACGGCTACTGTCTGAAAACTAAAAAGTGATACATTTCATGACTTTCGAACGAAAAAGACAAAAAAAAACAAATTTAAATAACATAAAACAATAAAAAATACATAAATGTATGATTATAAATCGAAAGCTAATCAATTTCGAAACTCCATGTATAGACACGAGATGCGCAGATGGTTCAAGAAGGGGCACGGCAACGGCACGGAAGGGGCACGGTAGCGGCCCGCTAGGGACACGGGTGCGGTGTTCCACGGGCACTTTGAACGCGGCACCGTGCCGTTTGGATGCGGATCCTGTGCCGCTCTGTGCCTAGCGTGCCGAAAATTTGCTGAGTATAGCACAAAAACGGTTACACGAAATGATAAAATGGAAAACAACGGATAACCGATAACAGTGATAATCCAGAAAACCATGAAAATAGGAAAAATCTTTCATGATTCGAGAATCTCTGAAATTCCAAATTCAAAATTTTCTAATAAATTTTATGTTCACAGAAGAATCATTGGACAACCATAAAATAAATTAGTTGTGCAAACAATCGCATCAGCTAAAGTTGATTTGCTGATAAATACCCAAAAGAGAATTTCATTGACTTTAATTTTAGGAAGTTATAAAAAACGGCCCAATTAATTATAAACCCAATGATGACTGTCTGAAATATGTAGTTACTTCCATTGAGAAACGTGTTTCCAACTTGCCGGCAAACCCAAGAAAACCGTTCGGCTGAATTCAAAATCCATAGAAATCGTTTTAAGTTTTTGAGGTTTTGGATTCGGGAGACAGGTGTGAAACAAGTATAGACTCAAGCTGTTGAAAAAATATAAATGGAAAACAAATTATAAGATGGGAAACAAAAATTGTTTTCGTTAATTAAACAAGTGTTCGTTGACTTTCGAGAAAACTAACTTCCTGGTGAAACAGAGATTTTGCGCACGTCCGATTCTCCAGTGACTTGAATATTGTTCTGACTTGGCTGGTGTATTTTACGTGCGCAGCCAATTCGAAGAGGAGAGTTCATGCTCACAAAAAGTCATTATGGATTCCGCAGAGTCAGGCGGTTTCGATATGATTTATTATTTTTTATCAGTAACACTCTGGAAATCATAAAACACAACATTTTATTATTCAAAATGCACAAATTTTATCCCGTTTTGGCCACAGAAGTATTAACTAGGTTTACCATGGATTTATTTTTTGTGCATCTCAAGAAGGTTCTGATTTCCGGGTTTAACAGAAGCACAATGATTCTGTAACAAAAGAATTGTTTATTTATAATTTTATACAAAACTACCCATCCAAAACATGAACTGCGATAAAAGCATAGCCGCTCAGAAGAAAAATAATAACTTGGTTACTTGTGATTTTGGCAATTGAAAACCAAGTTATCAACTCCATCATGAAAATTGTTCCTTGAGAGATGGTTTGTTTCAAGAATCTTTTCTCTCGTTCCGAAATTGATTCGTTATTTTTGTTTCTGTTACCAGCAGCGAAAAGCCGAACTTTTCGAACTTTAATTACAGTAACAATATCGATTATTATAAAAATACAAACCACGATGCTATTCTTCAAAAAAACTCTATACCATGCCACATTACCACATAGCTCAGTCGCAGTGAACGCAATTGCGCGACGTTTGTCGTCGTATTTGATTTGACACACGTCTGAAATTGCACGAATTTTGAGGATTCTGTATTAGTGAGAAAACAGTAAGTTTCTGCCTAACGCCTCATCATACTTTTCAATGGATCGTCATGAAATTTGAGAATTCTGAATAACTCGGTAAATGTGGGCGCTTTTGAAGGGGTGGTGTCATAATTGTGTGGAATATACTAAACACCACTTACACACAAACAAGAATCCATTGCTTGAGCCAAGTAGAATCCAAATGGTACAGATCATCCAGCAAGTATGCTTTACACTAAAAACGGAAGAATACTTCAAGGGCATCCATACAGCACAAAAACGATTACAGGAAATGATGAAATGGGAAACTACGGATAACTCGTAACTGTATAAACTCAAAAAACCATGAATGTGAGAAAAATCTTTCATGATTCGTGAATCTCTGAAAATTCAAAATAACATTTTCTCAATCACTTTTTTGGTTTACATAAGAATCATTGGACAAGAGTAAAATAAATGAGTTGTACAAAGAATCGCATCAGCTAAAGCTTGATTTGCTGATAAGTAGCCAAAAGAATGTATCATTGACTTCAATTTTAGGAAGCTATAAAAAACGGCCCAATTAACTATAAACCCAATGATGACTGTCTGGAATAATTATATGCATAGAGAAACGATAGTCCAACTTACCGGCAAAATCAGAAAAACCGTTCGGCTGAATTCAAAATCCATAGAAATAATTTTGTTTTCGAGCTTTGGGGGTTCCGGAGCCAAGTGTGGAATGAGTCCAGACTCAAGAGTAAAATAACAAGAATATGGAAAACAAGTTCGAGATTTTCACCTTTTCTTAATTAAAAACGGGGGTTGTTGGTTAAGTTTTTCGTTAATTACATTGTGTTAATTAATTTCTTCATTCACCGAATGGTATGCTACTTCTTGAGATTACAATTTAACAAAATATTGGATGATGATATTGTAACAGGGAACGCGGGTAGTTAGTTATTGTTGCAGTTTATCAAAAGAAAAGATTAAGATCACAGTTTGACAGCCTGTATTTAGAAGCCTCTGACGAAGACTTAACTGTTGCTTAGTAGAAAAAATAATTATTTCAATCTCGTTGTCTTTTCTCGCAACTATTTTCAGAAAATCGAAACCGCCTATTTCCTGTGGACAAAAAAGATTTCATTAGTCGGAAAACGAAATGTGTGATGCTCGGCTAGTTTCACAGCTTCATCATGTGTTCTTCAATGATGACGTCTGTATCCTATAATTCTTGCAGAATAACAACAACCTGATATCGGGATAGATAACTATCATGCATAACCTGAAAGTATTCTTCGGGTTTTTTTACAAAATACATTTTGTCCCCACCCATCCAACACATGAACTGTGCAATATGCAAACGTGGTTGAAAAGAAGAAAACAGTGGGATCGTTTGTCAATTGTAGTATGAAAAAATAAGACGACAACTCCAATACAAAAATTATGCTTTGGACAATGATCTGCTTTAAAAATCGCTTTTCCCTGTTCGAAATTTTCTCCTGTACATTACTTCCAATTCCAATGGATACTCTCGTTTTTCGAACTCCAATTAGGGTTACTACATCGAAGATAACTAATAGGAATAGACTAATCAAGTTTTTCAATAGATCACCATATAAGGCTACATATCCACAAGTTTCAGTTTGGCCAAAAGTTAAAGAATATGATGATGGATCGTAAATTATATCGCAGAGATCTGAAATTTATGTTCTATGACCCATATGGTAAGGAGCGGAAAAAAGTAACCCACATTCATAAAACCAGAAATTTAGGCTTACAAAAATCACCCAAATAATTACAATTATAACAATTGTGTTTCTGGTATTAAAAACTTTCGAATAATCCCTTGGAATCCATACAGCGCAAACTCGATTGATAGATATTGCTAAATGAGTGTACAGGGATAATTCATAACATCCTAGGATAATGAAACCCAGGTGGTTTGCGTTTCGTTGAAGAAGAGACTGATTTCTTAAATGAAGTTCAGTGGAGCGCACTTGCTAGATAGACTTACAGTAATATCATTGGACAGAAAAAGAATAAAAATGCGGTAGAGTGAATTGCATCTGCCAGCGATTGACTTGCGGATAGGTAGCCAAAAGAGTGTCGAAAACTTCTTAATCTGAGCAAACTTTGGAAAACAAACCAATTGGTGAAAAATCCCAAAAGAGACATCTGGAAAAATAAATTCTGAAATTTTTTTCCAGTTTTCACTTACCGGAAACAAAGCGAACGCAGTTTGAGAAAAATCGTCCATTTTGAAATGATGGCAAAGAAAAATGAATTTGAAAAGATTTTTGGCACTATTTATCAAAACCAACAATTAATACATTTGGGACTTGTCTGGAACGTAAACCATACAAGGAATTTTCATGAGGTAAACAAAAGTGAAACTTAAACGTCACTAGATGAGCGCAAATTGAGTAGAATCTAGGCTCGAATGAAAAATAACCACATTAGCTTTTTCAAAATTCTCATAGACGCTTATAATTTTGAGCACATGACTCGTAGTTATCACACTGTAATTATAACGTCTAGAGCATACCAAAAGAATCAATTTGGCTCTCTTCTGCTTTTAATCGTTCGAAAACTACCAAAAAAGCTTCCAAGCACAAATTGACCTTTATACTTTTCCCGCCCAACTCTTATTATCAGTTTTTGTTTATTTGAATTATGCCAATATGTATATGTACAAGTGCTTGGCATTTTTAGACGGAAACTTTGATATGATTCATAAACACGGAAATTGAATTTTCTATACATAAATTAAAATTATAAACCTGCATGGGCCAGAAAAGATAGTCGCGGTACCTCCAAAACACAGATTCGAGGTTGGACGGCTCGTTGTCTGCTCGTCGTCCGCTCATCGTCCCCTGCTTATTCGCTTGTTGCCCACTTCTTGTCCGCTAGTTGTCCGCTGATTGTCCGCTGATTGCCCGCTGATTGCCCGCTTGTGCTCCTCTATCTCCCAAGTTATAAATTTCGATAGAAAGATCAGAAAAAACACGAATATCTCGGATGCATGATTACTCTCAGGAATTTGAATTAGTCCATTAAAAAAATCAAATCAAACATCTAAATTTTTGTTGATCAAAACGTGTATAACTCTGAAATTCATACATTCTAATACAAAAAAGTCTCGCTGCACTTTTGAATCTGTGCAACCATTGTTTTTCATTCGAAACCATAGAAAGGAGTTCAAAATAAAATCATTACTCTACCACCATGAAAACTGCTCTTCTTTTCTTGACTCTCATCGCTTGCTGTGATGCTCAATTCAGCCCCGATTCTCAAAAACAAATCGCCGATACTCATAACAAGCTGAGATCTTCAATTGCCAAAGGTTTTATGAAATTTAACAATTGTCGTGCAATTATTTTTTAGAAATGGGACTCTTCACTAGCATCTTCGGCTCAAGACTGCGCTAGATTGTGTCCATTGGGTTATCATCACGTTTCTGCTGATGAAATTGGAAGGAACATCTATTTTTGCTGGGACTATGAAACAGGAAGTTATGACTCTTATGGAGTTAATGCTACCAACTATTGGCAAAACGAGTTACAAGAGTCCTTCTAACGTTTTTCGCTAAGGCACTGAAATAATAAAAAATCGCACTGAAATAAGAACACATCCAAATGGCTTGGGCCGAAACTGGATCCGTGGGTTGCGGAATTAAACTTGCGGACCTGTTCCAACAATGGACCACAAGTTCTTAACTGTTATGGTTTGCGACTACAATGCCCAGTGTGTATTATTGATTATAGTTTGCAAAAATAGTCGAAACTTTCCAGAGATCTAGGACATACCTGCTCGGCGTGCCCACCACATACACAGTGCTAGGAAGACTCGGGACTCTGTGATTGAGTTTCTTGTAATTTTAGTAAAATTTTATTTTTGCAACATCTATTTTTCACAAAAAGTCCGGTCTCCGTTTCAGTAGACTGCGTCCGGCAGCTTCCAAAACATAAAAAAGATCATTAACCATAATTTCGCATAATCACCCATGATGTGTCCCAAGCAGCCTCGGTAGCTTCTGGTCCGCTGTTAATCAGATTGTTGTCCGCTAGTTGTCCGCTTCTCGTCCGCTGCTTGTTGTCCACTTGTAGTCCACCATATCATTAGCTATAAACTTTGATTGAAAGATCAGAAAACAATTATTCATAGGATGCATGATTCATATCTCATACATTTGAAGCCTTCTATCAGACGTACTCTCAATCGGACAGACAATAAAATCAAACAACCAAACTACAATTTTCAGAGGACATTTGCCCTCAGCGTTGATCAGATTATCACCAAACTTCACTGTATTCCTCATTCCTAGAAAATCAGACTACAAAACTGTTCTCGTTTTTCTAATGGATTCTCTTAGTGACTACAAATCCTTTATTTTTTGCTTTTTCATGTCGAATACAAGTCCGTATATAAAAGAGTGTCTTGAAAAAATAAATTATCATTATAAATCAAAGGTTAATGGATCTGGCAGTTAGCCAAACTGCGTTTGCTCTTGTTCCGGTAAAATTAAAAATTTCCCTTCAGAAAAACACAGTAACCCTTCCAGATCACCCTATTGGGATCCATCCTAAACTGGGCAATTTTCTATAGCATCCATAAACTGTCATCGTTCGAAAACTCATTTGGTTACCTATCCGCTAACCAAGCATTCACCGATGCTTTACACTCAACCATTTTCTTGCTCTATTTCTGTCCAATGGTCCTATTGTAAGTTGGTTTGATGTGCAGGTTATCGAAATTCGAGGGTTTTTAGGGACCAACCAATCATGAAGGCGTTTTCTCATCACTGTGGATTCTTGGTTCTTTTTTGCTATGAATTATCAGTGATGACCCATTTGGCTATCTCGTTAAACAGATTCGCTGCTGCTTGGGAACCATACTCTTATGACTCCATGTTCAGTCGAAAGAAAACAAAGCTCCTTATTGTCTTTCTTTGGATTTTTACCGGATCAGTAGCTTATCTTTTTTATCGGCGTGAGTCAGATGATACCAGTGAGCACCTGATTTTAATGTTCAGACTGGTGCCATTTGTATTACGAAGAGAAGACCCACTTTTTCACATTCACCAATACTGAGTTCTGTGGACTCATCGGTTGGTATGGGGACTTTTTGAAGAATGCTGCAATAGTTGTCGTGATCGTTTGCATTGATATTCTTACGGTTTTGAGAGTTCGCAAAATTACTAGACAGGTAATTCACTGGTGGGTATTGTATCCCATAAGATTTCGGTTTCCAGGTTAGCACCGGAATCAGCGAAGAAGCTCAACATAAATTCTCTGCTCGAGATATCCGGTTTCTAAAACAAACTGTCTTTCAAGGCGCTGTTTTCATGTCCGAACTCTTGACCTATTTTTTCTTCCCAATGTACTTCCAGAATGCATGGATCGTCTTTTTTGGAACCTCGTTTGCTTGGGTCGCTGTTCACGCGGCAGATGGGTACGATTGCTTGATTTTTTTTTCTCGAAAATTATTTTTGCCGATTTTTCAGAATGGTTGTTATTGTGTGCAATCCAGAAGTCCGACGATATCTGCTCTGCCGAAAGACCAAACAACAACTGAGCACAAATACTCGATCGCATAACACCGAACATAATACCCGATCACATATTTGAGATTCTCTTTTTGTCAACATTCAATGAATATATAATTCGTATGAACTACACTTTCCTTGTGGTGTGATTTTCAGAAAAATGAAATGCACAAACTTTGTTTCGTGCATCCAGAAATTTTGGATTTGTCTGAAAATCTGAATTTCGAAATAAATTTCTGAGATTTCAGATCCTGAGATTCTCAGATTATCAGATTCTGGTATCCTAAAACTCTGAATCTCTGAGACACTGAGTTTCTAAAATTCCGAAACTCAAAGATTTAGAGGTTCAGGATTCCTGGTTTCCTGGTTTCCTGGTTTCCTGGTTTCCTGGTTTCCTGGTTTCCTGGATTCCTGGATTCCTGGATTCCTGGATTCCTGGATTCCTGGATCCTTGGTTCTGAGATTCTGAGATTCTGAGATTTTGAAATTCTGAGGGTCTGAGATTCTGAGATTCTGAGATTCTGAGATTCTGAGATTCTGAGATTCTGAGATTCTGAGATTCTGAGATTCTGAGATTCTGAGATTCTGAGATTCTGAGATTCTGAGATTCTGAGATTCTGAGATTCTGAGATTCTGAGATTCTGAGATTCTGAGATTCTGAGATTCTGAGATTCTGAGATCCTGAGATTCTGAGATTCTGAGATTCTGAGATTCTGAGATTCTGAGATTCTGAGATTCTGAGATTCTGAGATTCTGAGATTCTGAGATTCTGAGATTCTGAGATTCTGAGATTCTGAGATTCTGAGATTCTGAGATTCTGAGATTCTGAGATTCTGAGATTCTGAGATCCTGAGATTCTGAGATTCTGAGATTCTGAGATTCTGAGATTCTGAGATTCTGAGATTCTGAGATTCTGAGATTCTGAGATTCTGAGATTCTGAGATTCTGAGATTCTGAGATTCTGAGATTCTGAGATTCTGAGATTCTGAGATCCTGAGATCCTGAGATTCTGAGATTCTGAGATTCTGAGATTCTGAGATTCTGAGATTCTGAGATTCTGAGATTCTGAGATTCTGAGATTCTGAGATACTGATATTTGTGAACTTGTGTCGATTCGTGTCGATTCGTGTCGATTCGTGTCAGTTTCGGACTCCTTCGACGGAATTTGTGTCGACTCCAAAATTCATCGACAATCGTTCCGTAATTTGATTCCTTATCACCAATTTTGATCTCTACAAAGTACGACTATCGAAACAGATCTATACTCACTGATTGATAAGATACTATTCCCAGGGAAAAAGATCAAGAAATCAATATTTTAGAACCAAATTCTGAAATTAAAGGTTAAAAAGAATAAAAATTTCTGAATTCAAAAGTCAAGTTTCCCTTATTGGCACTAATTAATCTTCAACCAGGAACCTTAGCCAATCCGTTTGACCAAACCAAATCAAAACAAGTCAATTTGATTAAGCGACCATCATTAAGCTTCCAAACCAGACCATAACGTCATCCGTGTTCGACGAAGTGACCAACGCAAAGACGTATATAATTCGGAAGGTTTGGATTCTGTCTGTCAATCATGATTCGCAATATTCTGATTCTTCTAGTTGCCCTGGTAGCCGCTTCGTACGCTCAATACGGTAAATTTTGATTTTCCTGCAGTGCATTTACAACCTTAACGTTTCAGGCTACGGAGGTTATGGTGGATACCCATATGGTGGTGGGTACCATGGTGGGTACCATAGACACCACTATGGTGGCTATGGAGGAGGATATGGGTACCAGGAGGTTACGGTGGCTACCCAGGTGGTGGATATGGTGGATACCCATATGGCGGATACGGAGGCTATGGAGGTTATGGAATGTATCGGCCAGGACTCATCGGAATGCTTCTTGGAAAATAATTGTTCATTTTTTGATCTCTAGTCTTTTTGCAACATTTTTTGTCTGTACATATAGTTCGACTGTTCCATTTTTTTCGATTAACAATAATAAGCACTTTTTGATCCTCTTTACAATTCATCCCTCTCCAAAAACCAGTCATAATCGGTCTGCTAATGGAGGTACGTCCAAAAATGATGAAGAAAACTATTGTTTACCTCTCCATTTGTCCATTTTTTGATCGTTTCACTCGGCAACGAAACACGTTGGTTTCGCTGTCTGTCGTCTCTTCTTTTTTACCCAATCCCTCGATTATTTTCGAATAATGATGACAAATGGAATCGGTATAAAAGAGGAGAGTAGTAAATGGAAGGACAACCGATTTTGGCCAGAAAATGGGAGTTCCACAACTGTATTACTTTACGATTCGAGGTGAGTTATCCTTGCAGGAGAGGATGGAAAAATGTCTGGAGCTCTTGAATTCCAAAATTAAAAGAAATGTTCTTCTTATTATTATTCTAGAATATTCTTTCAGGATTCGGAGAGTACATTCGTCTTCTGTTCATCGATAACGGGATCAAGTTCGAGGACATCCGCTATGTCTACGGATCTCCAGAATGGGATGAGCACAAGAAATCCATGATTTTCGGACAAATGCCAACACTCAAGCACGATGGAAAAGAATACGCTCAAACTGGAGCCATCATGCGTCACTTGGCTAGAGTTCATGGTAAGTGTGTTCTAGGGTTGGCCACGGGGCTCCCGCTTTTACGCAGGAGCCCCGCCTGTGGAAAAAAGCAGTTCGTTGAATGAAGCAGTAACCAAAATTTTCAATTTTTTTAACGGTTCAGGGTACCCAATTAGGCTACCCTGAAAGTTTCAAGCCAATTGGTCCATTCAGTTACGCGCAATTACGCAAAGTATGCCGCCTCCCGGGGCGGGGGCGAATCCCCGCCCCGCTCTCTGGGGCGGGGGTGCGGGGCGGGGATCGCCCCTTTTTGCCCCCAAGCCAACCCTAGTGTGTTCTATTGAAAAACGTTAATGACAACAAATTCTGAATTTCCAGACCTAAACGGGTCCAGCGAGGACGACGCCACATTCCTCGACATGTTCTTCGAAGGTGTCCGTGACTCTCGTATGAAGTACGTCATGTACATCTACATGGACCAGGGAACTCGCGAGGAGTTGACCCAGAAGACCCTCCCAACCTGTCTTGCTAACTTTGAAAAGCTCTTCAAAATCCACCAAGGAAAATTCATCATTGGTGATAAGCCAAGCTACGCGGACTACATTCTGTTCGAGGAACTCGATGCTTACACTCATTTGGACGCCACGATTCTGGACAAGACCCCTTCGTTAAAGGCATTTTGGGAGATGATGTGGCAGAGACCAAACTTGAAGCCATATCTGGAGAAGCGCAAGGCTGATGGAGTCTGGATTAATGCTATCGAGAAGGGAATGAAATAATTTGGAATTTATTTTTATGATTTGCAGAAATAAAGCATTTTGTATTGTCATAACTGTTCAATGGTTTTTGGAAAAATCAAAAAATCGGTTCGCTCGAAAAATAACAATCACTACAAAGTTCAAACTGAAAGACACATTTATTATCTTATCGGAAAATGCTACAGTCGCTCGAAAAACTACGATCCAACGGTGAACTGAGACCATTAAAGAAAGGGGACATGAAAAAATAACTTTCTATGAATTTCAGAACACTAATCACTGTACACCGTCACGTCAAAATGCATACCGTAACAAAAAAATCAAAACTGTTTGTGTCCCCTCCTTCAAGACAGTTTATATACCTCGGGCATTTAGCAGAGATCACAAAACGGTCACAAAAAACCTTGTCACAATTTCAAAGCAAACCCCAGGCAAATTCAAATTGATCAGAAAATGATCACAAAAGAAAATGAAAAAAAAATTGCCATGGATCTATACCACAAAGTTTTTTAATGATTGAAAAATCTGTATATAAAGAACACACAATAGAAAAAATGCACATGTCTAAAAATGACTGTTCCACAACTTTATTATTTTGCCATTCGAGGTACGGTATAGCCCATAACATTTTTTTTTCAAATTTTTTGTTTCAGGTCTCGGCGAGTACATCCGTCTTCTTTTTACCGACAACGGAATCAACTTTGAGGACATCCGCTTTGTAAGCAGATCTCCAGAATGGAAAGAAGCCAAAATGTCAATGATTTTCGGACAGATGCCATGTCTCAAGCATGATGGAAAGGAGTACGCTCAAACTGGAACCATCATGCGCCACTTGGCCAGGGTTCATGGTATGCGCGCTCTATTGAAAACATTCTTGACAAATCGAGATATCTAACCAGTACACAGCATAACCCAAACAACAAACTGAATTTCCAGACCTCAATGGATCCACCGAGGATGATGCCACATTCCTTGACATGTTCTTTGAAGGCCTTCGTGACTGCCGTCAGAAGTACGTCCGCTACATCTACTTCGATGAAGGAACTCGTGAAGACTTGGTCCACAAAACTCTCCCAGATTGTCTTACAAACTTTGAAAAGCTCTTCAATATCCATCAAGGAAAATTCATCATTGGTGATAAACCAAGCTACGCTGACTACATTTTGTTTGAAGAGTTGGACGTCTACACCCATCTTGACGCCACGATTCTGGACAAGTTCCCATCTCTCAAGGCGTTCTGGGAGATGATGTGGCAGAGACCAAACCTGAAGGCGTATCTGGAAAAGCGCAAAGCTGATGGTGTCTGGATCAGTGTTGTCGAGAAAGGAATGCATTAATTTTTGTATATTTTCATATAAATCTTTGTTGCTCAATTTTCCTTATGATTATGACAAATTATCAATCTTGAAATGGCGCGACCCCGGGTTTTTCACATATGACAAATTTTTTGGAAGCCTGTTTTCAGGATTTCTTTTTGCAAAAGAATAGTTTAATGAAAATCCGCTCTCTGCGAGCTTTTTGCTTGGCAGAATTTTATTAACCGCGAAGTGTTTTGAAATAACGGTTTATGACCTGCTGTAATAAGTTATCTAGTGAAACGTCGCACTATCTTATCGTTCTCATAATCATATTGTTGGAATAAAAGTATAAAAGGAAAAGGACCAATCAACACTACGATAAAATACTACCATGACTGTTCCACAACTCTTCTACTTCGACCTTCGAGGTAACCTATCTTGCTATAAGATCAAAAAATAAATAGATTTTTTCAGGTTTTGGAGAATACATTCGTCTCCTTTTCCGTGATAACCAAATCGAGTTTGAGGATATTCGTTTGGATCATGAGCCTAAAGACAATCGTTTGGACCGTGGACTGGAATGGCAGGAACTCAAAAAATCCATGATATTCGGACAGATGCCATGCCTCAAGCATGACGGAAAAGAGTACGTTCAAACTGGAGCCATCATGCGCCACTTGGCCAGAATTCATGGTAAGTGCGCTCTATTGAGAAAATTTCTGACAACAAGATCTCAGACAACGAACTATATATTAATGAATTCCATAATATATTCCGAGTTTTCAGGCCTGAACGGATCCGATGAGGACGAGGCAACATTCTTGGACATGTTCTTCGAAGGTGTCAGAGACACTCGCAAGGAATACAGTCGTTTCATTTATTACGACTCTCCGAAGCGTGAAGAAATGCTCGAGTCGATTCTCCCAAGAGATCTTGCGGATTTCGAGAAACTCATGAAGGTTCACCCAGGAGAGTTCATCATTGGTGACAAGCCCAACTATGCCGACTACATCTTGTTCGAGGAATTGGACGTTTATACTCATCTGTACGCTACGATTCTCGACAAGTACCCGTCGTTGAAGGCATTCTGGGTGAAGATGTGGCAGAGACCAAACCTGAAGGCGTATTTGGAGAAGCGCAAAGCTGATCGAGTCTGGATTAATGCTATCGAGAAGGGATTAGATTAATTGGAATATAGGTTTTTTTCTAATTTGAAGAAATAGAGAATTATGTAGTGTAATTGATTTCAAAACTGCTCAATGGTTTTTGATAAAATCAAAAATCCGATCACTCAAAAAGTTACAATCCCTACAGGATTCACATTGATAACAACATTTCATTACTAATAACATTCACCAAATTCCGTATGTCCGGATGGATGTAGCGTGTCGGTTCACCCATTCAAAGATAACCGATTGAGCTGAAACCTAGACAGGCGAATCGAAAATTGTTATTAGTTTTTGCCCGACCCTTTCTATTTTCGAAGTTTTGATTTTGAAATCTTCTGGAGACGTTCCTTGGTTTCACCACAGTAAAGCGTGGTGTGCAGAGAGGGGGCGAGAGGAGGGAAAAGGGAGAGATGGTGAGGAAATTCACCACACACGTGTACGCCATCTCTATCAAGTTTCCTGTGGTGACCCGTGGTGTAGTGGCTAACGCACTACGTTTTTGTTCTTGCGACACGGGTTCGAGTCCGACAGGCGGCAACTCCTTTTTTTGATTTTTGAAAAGAGTTTAGATGTGAAAGAGAATATGTATAATGTTTTCTCTCATTGGTTCTATTGCGGGAAAGAGTTTTCACATTTTTCTGATTTGATCAGTAGTAGGAAGGAAAAGTTAGTTCTATTTTGAATTTTTTGAAAATATGATATAAGGCAAAGGTAACATAATTTATCGAATTTCTAAGATCCATATTTGCCTTTCTCAGAAATTTAAGATATTTAAAATTCGCGAATTTTTGATTTTTCAAATTTCCGGAACTCTAAATTTGAATTTTCTTATCTTCTCAATTTCCCAACTACTGAAATTCTTCTCTTGATTTCTGGGTCCCTATTCATGAAACTTCCAAATTTTTTAACTGTTTGAAATTCGAAATATATAAAATTTGGATCTTCTGAAATTAGTGACTTCAACAATTCGGAAACTAAAAATTATATTGGGAATTTAAAAGCTTTTAAAATTCACATTTTACTTACAGTTTACTTTTACAATTTCAGAGTTTTCGAATTGCTGAAATTTCGGCTCTGGATTTCCGAGTTCCGACTCTCTTAATCTTTTAACTCCCGAATTTCCGGAAAGCTGAAAATATGAATTTCTGAACACGAAAACTTCAAACAATTGGAATTTCGGAAGGTTGAAAAGTAGCAAACTCGAACTTCTGAATTTGATACATTGAATTTCCAAAAGTCAGAAAAATAACCCTCGAACTTCAAAATGTCTCATTTTTTGGATATCTGGATTTCCTTATTCCTGACTTTCCAAATTCTTAAAAAATTCGAATATCTTAATTTCAGAAACTTTTAAATGCACAACTACCAAAATTCTGAGTTTCTGAATAAAGAAATTTCAAAAAATTAGAATTTCGGAAATAGGAAATTCGGAAAATAAGGATTTTGAAAGTTCAAAAATCAATGAATTCTAGAAATCCGGGAATCCGAAATATAGAAAATTCAGGAAAAAACAAAAAACTCCTGAATGTCTATTCTGAAAAAATCCCCCCCCCCCCCCCCCCAAGTTTAAACTCAATTTCTCAATTTCCGAATATTTCGAATTCTAGCTTTTCAGAACGCGGAAAATCAGAATCATCAAAAACTAGAATTTCAGACACTCAGAATTACAGAAGAAATTTACAAAACTCTGAGTTTCTAAATTTCCTATTTTCCAAGTTCAGATAAAAAAAAATTCCCTCAATAAAAGTTTCGAGGCCTCTTTTTGAAGCCAAGATTACAGATACTGTAACCGAAGACCAGGAGTTTCAGCCCCGAAGGGGCGTAAACCGACTGGTATTATCTTATCAGAAACTGTCACATTCACTCAAAAAGCTACAATCCAACGCTCAGAAGTATGTTATAGATTACTGTTGAACGCTAAATCAGATTTTTTCTATTTTTTTTTTGAAACATATTACATTACCAAGAATGTTATAACCTCCGATCTTCGCTATCATCTTGTTGACCAACACGTTGCCCTGACTGTCTGTGTCTCTTCTTTCAGACTGATCTATAGTATCACTGATAACGTTAGCATCAATGTGATAAACATTTAGATTGGTCTTACACACTTGACACATAGAAACGGTCAAAAAACTACAGATATTCCAAGTACCCATTTGATAAAGTATAAACTGGGGAAATATCAAAAAACCAATATTTTATTTGCTAACCTGACAGGATATAACATTCTGATACACAGGAATACTAATCCATTTCCTCCTGTCTGTTACAAAAAAACAAGAAACTAGACTATCACAACAAAAACATTACTTGGTACGAAACGATATGATCAAACGGTATTTGCATGACCAGCAGGTAAAACAAAGATTAGGCTTGTGCTTTGGCTTTTCTGGAATATTGCGCAGCACCGTGTGTTTTTCAACTCTCTCCGGATATCGTTGTTTAACGAGAGGTATACAATAGGATTGGATGAGCAATTCAATATAACCATGAGCGTGAGAACAAAATACCACTCCTCATGACCGGGAGGTACAACAATAGCCATTGTCTCATAGAATACGAAAGCCAGGATGTAGAAAATCAGGATGAATACAAATTGGAGCAAGTACCTGGAACATTGTCTTCTACATATTCATAATGTCAGGCTTAGCACTGTCCGTGGTTGGGCCAGTATATTACTTTATATCTCGTTTCTGATTCTGCTTACTAATACTGCTGGACACAATCTTCGTGGTTTTTCGAATTGTATTAAGCACTAGAAAGTAGAAGAATGAAGCCATCGAAGCAGCACTGATGCTGTAGACCTTATTCATTAGATTGGAATATGAATACATATCGTCTACATCCACATACAGAACAACCATCATTTCTTGATCTACGATGAATTGGCAGCAGGGGAATAGAAATTGATTGGAAATAACGGAAAACACGGCGGCTGACACCAGGAAGAAGAATAAGGTAAAAGTGAATTTGTGTGTGAATACATGATGTTTGTTGAGAGTTATTATTGTGAATCTGAAGTTTTCAAAATATCAACGTGCTTTGATTTCCCTCTCCAACCGATTAGCCGACATCACGATCTGCAAAAAGCCTTCCATGTACCAAGCGCCAATGAAACAGCCTCCGACCAATAAGTTGGCCCAACCCATACGCTCATAAATTAAAAGATAGTGCTAAATTGGAAGTTTTGAAATATAGAATGGCATCTGAAAACCTACATCGGCTAACATCGAAATCGATAGATAAAACATCGCAAAAAGCTGAAGAAGATCGGAGAGCAGGTTGAAAAATGCAATCACATAGAAAGTGTTCTTCCGTTCTACAAACGCTAAGTGTATAATAGGAGGAGCAATTAGGAAGTTTAGAAAAATCGCCAATGAGGAGAAGGAAAAGGATACAAGCCCGAGATAAAGTTTTGGTGTCATTATTGTGATTTGTCGAGTGTGAGTTTCTTTGACTATGTGTAACTCTCTTGAGTTACATATAAAGGAAATGTATATAAAGGAAATTGACTGTCTACTGACTCTCTGATCAGAGTTTGTGCATATTGTCATAAAAAACCAATCATATGATCTGATATTGAAACATCTCATAACCGCAAACTTTAGGATATAGTTTTCTGTATATCCTGGCTTGTCCTTGGGTTTTTCCGGACTGTGAAAATTTGCGAAAAGCAAGCTATAAGGTGCAGAAGATTGCATTTCTCCTTGAGCTGGAATCCTGTGGAATTTTTCAGAGTGGAGTTATTGGACTCATTCAGTTCCCGATAATCAAAGTCTCACATTTCTGAAGATCGTTCTAAGTGAGATATGAGAACAAATCAATGCCAATCACCTCTGTGCAGTCGTGGACTTTTCTCCGAAGCCTCAGAATTCAAAAGTTTTGATTTCTTAAAAATTTTGGGCGTTTGAAATTAATTATTCCAAAATTTAAACACATTTTTTTCAAGTTTCAGAAAAGTTGTAGTAATTTTAATCGCTGAGATTATAGTCCAATATTCTCATCTAAAATTTGTTCTTTAGGTTTCATCTTTCATTGTTACCAGAATTTTTTTCTGCTTCAGTCCTTTTGCTCTATCAGTTTTTGATCTACACAGAACACGTTAGGTCGAAAATCACAAAGCATAAGAAGTCTCGTATTTTTTCCCACCAGATGTACTGGGAAAATATTTCAACGCGCCAAATTTTCACTAATTTTCAGAGAACTCTTTTCAAAAAAAAAAATGTATCTTTCCGCTGTTATTATCAACACGATTTCCATCTTTTTTCCATTTATATCAATGATTATTTACTCCAGATTATTGCTCATGATATTTTAGTAGGTTCTATTTTAAAAATTTAAATTTCAGAGAACATAAAAATTTTTAGCTTCAAAACGATACGAAAGATTTCTGATCTCTCATTATTCTATTGTAAATTTGTTTTAGATTTGCTGATTAGTATATTTAGTGAGTTTCAAAAATTCAAAGATTTCGATTTTTAAACAAAGACTTCAGGCCTTCTAAAGCTGATTCTATATGCTCTATCCATGACAAACCTTGTGGATTTTTTCATGAATCAGCATATTTTAACATTTTTCGTAATCTGGCCAGTGAATTCTATCAGTAGTCTTCGAGCTCTTCTTTTATGTTCATCGCACTGGACAGATCATTTGTAGGTTTTTTTTTAATTTGTGAAATCTGTAAAATTTTTTGTTTTAGGCTACCTACCTCCCTATCACATTTTTCAAGTACCGAAAATTCATACCAACTTATTTCATTATCACATTTGTACTTTCTTATCTCCTTGTAGATTTCTCGGTATTATTTTTGATGTGTGGAATTGACTTACTCACTCCAACTACCTGTGTGAATATTCAATGTGTCCTTGGCACTTGTTATCAAACATATTGGCTCAATTTCGAGAGAGTAGTGTATATTTTAATTGTGATTTTAACATTTGTATTAACTTTCAAACTTTTGATATGGAACATATATAAGAAGCAAAACATCAGCAAAGATCTTAAGAAGGTAAGGGAAAAATAAGAGCTTCAAAGTCTTCAAGTAAAACCCTTTTGTAGGCAAACCATCTGACCCTTATCGAATGTTGTATTCTCATAATTTCTGAACTGATACCTCCAACTACTCAATCTCTAGTTCCAGATGCTTTTACATATCTTGGTGCTATAATTTCAGCTTGTCAAACGTTGGGATTTGTGGTGGGGGTTTATTGATCACTGTGAATTTGAAGCAGAAATACAAGACAACGAGTGTGACGAGCACTGGAAAAATGGGGAATAAATCGACAGCTGGAAATACTACTAGTGAAGCGCAATAAATACTTTTTGAAGTTGTTCATAATAAACTTTATTGAAACAATTTTCTTTTAAATACATTTCTACCGAAAGTCTTTAAGCGATTTTTAATCACTTTATGGTAATCTTTAAAAAAAATTTTATTTCTCAAGAATTCTTTCAAATAAACCTCTCGAGGGAATGCGTACCGTAACTAAAAAATCTTGTATCTTCTTTAAAAAATTGCCGTAAACTCTTTAATAGAGTTACCCAATAATAATCAACTGTGAGCCAATTTATCTCGGTTTTTGTAAAAGATATCAAGAAACAGTCAACTGATAAAATATCTTTGAATTATAATCAACATTTTATCAGTTGGGAAATTTTTGTTATCTCTTACAGGAAATGATATTTGAGCTCAAAATCGACGCGTTTGGGATCATTCTGTCAGGGTGTTTGCAGTAGCTTCTTCCTCGAGAGCGAGGAGCGGAGCGACGAACCAGTAAAAATAAGTTCAATCGCGCCGAAGACGCACCAGCCGGCTGTTTGAAGCACCAGAGACGCGGCAAACAGGCTGGTTCAAAATGAACGTTGTTCTGAGTTCATGAAAGATTATACACCCAGCCCAAAAAGATGAACATGTCACATTCTAATTATATTTTATGACTTAATTCATAAGAAAAGAATCATCTGAATCAGAAAACTCATAGCACCGTAAAGAACATAGGCTCATACTCCAGTTCCAATATGAGTCAAGCTTAAAACCAAAATTTTCACACACACGAAAATCGAAAACAAAATTCGTGCATTTTCGTTTTCTGTCTCGTTTCTACCTGGAGCACATTCCCATTTTTTTAATTACCACTCCCAGAAAAAAAAAGAAAAAATCATGTATCTGTCAGCTGCTATAATCAATACCGTTGCAATCAGTTTTCCATTTATCTCAATGATAATTTACGCGAAATTATTGCTAATGATATTTTGGTAAGATTATCTTAAGGCTTTGTCAAATGACTGCCGACCGCGATTTCAGAAGTCGCTTTAGATTATTAAAATGAGATTTTCAAAATTTCTTAAGAATTTCAGGTTCAAAACCATCAAGCAGGCACCCGAACTTTCATTATTTTATTTCAAATTTGTATTCGACCTAGTTATCAGTGTTATCAGTCTCGTAAAAATGATAATTTATGCGTTAGCAATGCTACCAACCTTTTTGAATTTCTTCAATGCTAATCACTGGCTCACGTTTCTGGTTATCTGGCTGATATGTCTTATCAGTTCTCTTAGAGCAATTTTAGTCTTTTTCATAGCAATGGATAGAACTTGTGTAAATTTTTTTGTTTGATTGGAGCGCATTTATAACATTTTTCAGGCAACCTACCTTCCTATAACCTTCTTCAAGTACCGGAAGTTTATACCTACCATCTTGATAATTGGTCTAGCTACGTCCTATTCTCTAGTAGACATATCTGTAGCATTTTGGATATGTAAAGCGGACCTAAACACGCCTACAACATGTGTCAATGGCTTGTGTGTCCTGGGAGCTTGCTATCAAGACTACTGGTTGGAATTTCAAAAATACATATATGCTCTTATAATTGCCTTAACTTGTCTCTTATGTCTCAAACTATTTATTTGGAATAGAGTTAAGAAACATAATGTTAGCCAGGATCTTCGAAGAGTGAGATTTTGAATTTTTCTTTCTCGGAAAACCTATAAATTTTCAGGCTAACCGTCTAGCGCTTATTGATTGCACTATCCTCATTGTTTTTGATTTCTTACCTCCAATTCTTCATACAGTTTTTCCGGATTTTTTCGACTACGTTGGAGCTATCAATTCGGTATCTCAGACATTGGGATTTGTGGTGAAATCTTGTTTGGTAACGCTGAACTTGAAACAAAAGTATCAAGTGAAGAAAGTTGCGACGTCTGCCAAGACTATGTGGAGCACCAGTGAACAAAAACATTTATCTTGATTAGAAATTTTTAATTTTCGAAAAAAATTAATGTTGCAGTTTTGATGTCCTGTTGATTTTTCTCATTCTGACAGTCGGAGGTTTTTAGATTCAAAGATTCTGAGATTCTGCGATTCTTAGATTCTGAGATTCTGCGATTCTTAGATTCTGAGATCCTGAAATTCATTGAAAACACTTTAACATTTTTTAAAATCTCAAAAATCTCGAAATTTCAAAAATCTTCAAAATTTCACAGATGTAGTTAATACATTTTTAATATTGTTATTTGAATCAAGATTCTTCTTTTTTTTTCAATATTCATTTAATTTTTTCATCTGTGTGTTCTATGGATGCTTCAATGCTCCTACGTGTTATTCAATCATGTTCTGATCAACTTTTCAGAAAACGAACAACTAATAATTTTTCTTTCTCCGAACTATATTTCACCTGAAAAATAAAAATTTTAATACCATTTATTCTGACTACACTCTACTTCATTTTTTCTGTTATTTTGCTTTCATTTTTGTCCTCGATTTCAGGCAATAAAAATGTTTGTATCTGCTGTACTAATTAATTTCCACTTTTTTTGTTATTTTGCTTTCTTTTTTTCACACCGAGATTTCTAAAAATCACAAGAAGGAACTTACCCTAGACCCCTTTGTGTGGGAAAATGAGTCAGGATTACATAAGACGGCTTTCCTTATCCCTAAATCCCTTTTAACACAATACATGATCTTTTATTAACCCTTTGACATGTAAATTTATGATTAAGAGATGACAAAACTCTAAAGATATCCTAACATCATCTTCAGATCGCCCACAATTCATTACTTGTCTATTCACCAACTTCCCCGTCATAAGTTTTACTGCAAAAATTTTGACCAAACTTCACTTTACCCAAACTAAAAAATCCCAATCTTCGACCAAAAGTTTTCTATTTCTGGATTTACTTTGTTCTGATTTTTTCATAAGTTCAGCTATACGTGCGTCTTTTATGTATTGTGTATGATCTGACGATTTTTTCCCACGGAATCAATCAGAACAAGGGGGTACGAGAGAATTCAGAATTCATATCCAGCACATTTTCTTCCATTTTTGTTTTTCTACACGTTTTTCTGGATTCCACAAGCTCCCCAAATATGTACACATCCGCTATCGTTATCAATACAGTTGCTATCAGTTTCCCTTTCATTTCTATGATTGTTTACGGTAGATTATTGCTCATGATATTCTGGTGAGTCTTGCAAACTTCTTTAAAACATAAACTTTATTTATTCCCAGGTTCAAGACGATTCAAAAGTCTCCGGAACTCTATTTATTTTACTGCAAATTTGTGTTCGATTTGGTCATTAGTTTTATAAGTGAGCCCAAAATTTTTTAATACTGAATTTTTTATAAATCCAGTTTTCCAGGCTTTATAAAAATGATAATCTACGGGTTATCCATGACTAGTTGGGCTGATTTCTTTTTCGCAAATCATTGGCTCACTTTTATGTTCGTCTGGCCGGTGAGCTCTTTCAGCACTTTGAGAGCAATCCTTGTCTTGCTTATTGCGGTGGATAGGACTTGTGTAAGTTTAAAGGAGGGGCCCAAGGGATTCCCAGAAACGTTTAGGGGCTCTAAAACCCCAAAACTGGACTACTTCCAGCTTTGAATTTTCAGGCCACTTACATTCCTATCAAATTCTTCAAATACCGAAAATTAATCCCAACCTACTTCATCATTGGTCTAGTACTATCATATTCTATAATTGACACATCTGTGGCATTTTTAATTTGCCAAATCGATTTGAGCACACCTACGGATTGTGTAAGTGCCCAGTGTATAAATGGGGCATGCTATCAGAGGTACTGGTTGGTATTCTCTCAAATCTTGTATGCACTGATTATCGCGTTGACTTTGTTGCTGTGTCTGAAAATATTCTTCTGGAACAAGGCAAATCTCAGTGGAGATTTGAAGCGGGTGAGTTGTTTTTTTTGCAACAGATCTACAAATTCCAATTTTCCAGGCAAATCGTCTAGCCATGATCAACGCATTCATCCTGTTCATTTTCAATTTTCTACCTCCCATCGCCAATTCTGTCTTCTCAAATTATTTCGAATACGTGGGAGCGATGAACTCAGTCTGTCAGACGCTGGGATTCGTCGTGGAATCCTGGCTAACCAATGTGAGCATGCGTCAGAAGTATCGAGTCACCGTAGTGACGTCATCAGGAAAGGTTGTACAGAGATCTACAGTGGAGAAGTTTAGTGAATATAAGTGAATCTAGATTACATTATACTTTATTTTTGTTAATATTTGAATCAAACCTATTTTTTCAATATTTAAATGCAATTTGTGTGTTCTATGAATGCCCCCATGTTATTCCATCATGTTCCAATCAACTACCCAAAACAAAACAACTAATAATTTTCCTTTCTCCGAACTATATTTCACCTGAAAAATACAAATTTTAATACCATTTATTCTGACTACACTCTACTTCATTTTTTCTGTTATTTTGCTTTCATTTTTGTCCTCGATTTCAGGCAATAAAAATGTTTGTATCTGCTGTACTAATTAACATAATTGCAATCAGCTTCCCATTTATTTCTATAATTTTTTACACAAGATTGTTGTCGAATATTTTTCTGTGGGTCGTTTAGAAAATTGGGAGATTATGATTTTTAGAAAAGAGTCAATTAATTACAGAACAAGGAAAATAAAAATAGCGCCAGAGTTGAATTTTTTTACTGCAGATTTTTTTAAGATTTGCTGATTAGTGTCATTAGTAAGTTTCTAAATGTGGGACCTAAATATGAATGGTACGGTGTAGTAAACGGAAGGATGTGTTTTGTCCTAAGCCTTGTCAATTTCCTGTTTTAGTCCCCTAAAGGTACATGGTGACATATTGGGGGTCTCAATTGAGATGTTTTGAATTTACACCCGTTTTGATCTACTTGTAAGTTTATTTTTTTGGTGCTGGGCAGTTATACTGAACTGGGAGGTACTATTGATTTCTGAAGCTCCTGCATTTCGCCTTATCTAACGGCGGGTCTTGATCTAATGGTCGGTCATAAAACAAGGCCGTGGTTCTGGCCTGTTGCCGTAGATCAAAACAGTTTTTTTATATGCTCAGCCAAACAGAAACTAGGGATTCTAGGCCGCCAAATCCTGTCCAGCTAAGAAACGAACAACATTCAGGTTTTGGAAAAATGATCATCTATGGGCTGTCCTTGACTCAATTATACAACTTCTTGACGGCAAATCATTGGCTCACTTTTATGGTCGTCTGGCCTGTTAGCGCTTCGAGCAATGTGAGAGCAGTTTTGATCTTCATTATTGCCCTTGACAGGACTTGTGTGAGTTTTACACACCTAAACTTAGCAATCCATTACTTTTTCAGGCCGCCTACTGTCCTACAATCTTTTCCAAGTACCGTAAACTAATACCGACTGTTCATGTGATTTTCTTTGTTTCATCATTTCTTGTGATTGAAACATTGATAGCTTTTCACATTTGCAAAATTGACCTAAACATCCCAACAGACTGTATAGAGGCGCAGTTTATCAATGGAGCCTGTTATCACAATTATTGGATAACGTTTTCGAAAATCCTTTACACTCTTATCATAGCCCTGACATTTATGCTCTGCTTGAAAATCTTCTTTTGGGATAGATACAAGAAGCAACATGTGAATGAAAATTTGAGAAGGATGGGCTGAGCAATAAAAAACAATATTTAACATATGAAGTTTATTTCAGGCTAATCGTTTAGCATTAATTGAAACATTTATCATAAAAATGTTCGATTTAATATCTCCAATTATAAATTGTTTTTATCCGGATTATTTTGAATTTGTCGGTGCTATGAATACAGTATGCCAGACGTTGGGATTCGTTGTGGAATCTTGGCTAACTATTATAAATATGCAACAGAAGTATCGAATCGACAGTGTGAAGCCGTCTGCAAAATCTATGTATCCATCAGAAATTAATTGAATTTTAGCAAAACAGTCTTTTGATCTCATGTTATTCCATGCTCCAGACAAATGCTCAGCAAACAAATGACATTAAACAAATTTTATTTTTCAAAACTAATTCATCCTGGAAAAGTGTTTATGACACATTCATTCTGACCACCCAACACCCACCATTTCCTTTTTTGCTATTCTACAGATTTTCATTTCTCTCAAGTCCCTTTTAACAATGTTTGTATCCGCTATGCTAATTAACATAATTGCAATTAGCTTCCCATTCATTTCTATGATGTTTTATTCAAGATTGTTGCTAAATATATTTCTGTAAGTAATTATACAGAAAACTTGAAAAGATTTTTTAAAACAATAAATTGCAGAACAAGAAAAATCAAAATCGCGCCAGAGTTGTATTTGTTTTACTGCAGATTTGTTCTAGACTTGCTGATTAGTTTTATCAGTAAGTTGGGACCGTTTGAAGCTTGAAAAAAGATCCTGCTCATTTAGGTTTTGTTAAAATGGTTGTCTATGCGCTGTCCATGACCCCATTGTACGATTTTCTTGTGACAAATCATTGGCTAACTTTCATAGTCGTTTGGCCTGTGAGCGTTTTGAGTAGTATGAGAGCAGTTCTTGTTTTAATTATTGCTTTCGACAGGACTTTTGTGAGTTTCACATTCCCAAACTCATAAATCCATCTTTTTTTCAGGCCGCCTACTTCCCCGTTTTCTTCTTCAATTATCGTAAACTAATCCCGACGCTTCTTATAATTGCCTTTGTCTCATCGTACTTTGTGTTCGAAGTCCTCGTAGCTTTCCAAGTATGCAAAATCAACCTGAAAATCCAAACAACTTGTATAAGTGCCCAGTGTATCAATGGGGCTTGTTATCACAACTATTGGATAACATTTTCAAAAATTCTCTATGCTCTTATCATAGCCCTTACTCTTATGCTTTGTTTGAAAATATTCTTTTGGGATAGATACAAAAAGCAGAATGTGAATAAAGACTTGAGACGGGTGAGCACTGCTAGCTGAAAAATTTAAAAATAATGTTCAATTAATTTCAGGCCAATCGTCTGGCATTAATTGAAACATTTATAATAATTGTGTTCAATTTAATACCACCAACTATAAATTCATTCTACCCGAATTATTTCGAATATGTCGGAGCTATGAATACAGTATGCCAGACGTTGGGATTCGTTGTGGAATCTTGGCTGACTACAATAAATATGCAACAGAAATATCGAATCGATGGTGGTCGAAAACCATCTGGAAAATCCATGTATCCATCTGAAATTAGTGGAAATAAATATTGAATAACAAAACATTTGTATTCTTCGAGTTGAATATTTTTAAAAATAGGTGTGAATTCGTACTAAAAGGAGAAGTGTTCTTTAAAGATACGCGCTAGATTTTGAAAAGGCGCTCGCGTGTATAAATCATACTTGTGGAAAGATGGCCGGCCCGCGGGCCGGGCCGGGCTGAGATTTTTCTGAAAGCGGGCCGGCCCGCTTTTTGAAAATTTTGAAATTTTAGAGCAAATCATCTTTTTTCAAAATGGCCTTTCTCCTTAATAAATAAAAATCCACACTAGAGGACGATTCTGTCGAAAAAAACTGTTTTGAGGTAGTTTTTAGAAAAAATTTCATCCTTGCCAAGTTTGATTTTTTTGCTAAAAATTCAATTAAATTGACTTTTTCGGATGGTTGTATGCATTTGGATTAATGTTTGTGCTATTAAAAATATATTGGCACATTTGAAAAGTAACATTTTCGAAAAGTTGTCCTAGGCGGGCCGAGGGTTTTGAGGCAAGCGGGCCGGCCCGGCCCGGACGTCCACATGTATGGTATAAATCTGACATCTTCAGATTCTACGTAACAACATTGTCTAGACCAGGTAATGAAAATAAGACGAAGTAGGAAAAAAATATGATTTGCAAAAATATGTCTTGTTACCGAAATAGGTATTCCTACTTTCAGGTGCTGATTTTAACCTTTTCAGAAATGGGAAAGTTGCTGAAAAACTGAGATTATTCGAATATTTCTGTGAATGCGAAGGTTTTAAAATAGGCCTGTTTTACGCCTTTCAGAAATTTCTAGAGATCGGAAACTTGACAGCCGAGCTTCATACTTCTGAAAATGGTCAAATACCCGGAAATCAACTGAAAAATACGCTTTAGTCCCTTACTGACCGGTACTGTATATATGAGTGATTAACCCACAAACCATTTCTCACTTTTTTTTGCCTTTCGCCTTCTTTAAATCCCAGTAATAACCAAAAACGTATAAAAACAAAACCAATTTCTGACACTTGTTCTAGAAATTCGTATTCTTCGAAATTCAGTATTCGAAATTCGTATACCAAAACGTATAAAAACAAAACCAATTTCTCAAGCTTGTTCTAGAAATTCGTATTCTTTGAACAGAACGCCTTTCCTTTTTTTTCGGAGTTCGAATTACAAAATATTGACAAAGACAAGTCAGAAAGTTAGCCATTCTACAATATTATATTACCACTAACAAATATAATCAAAAATCGGAAGGAGGTCCAAAGACGTCAATTTCTAGTGCGATTCATTAAACTCCTATTCATGAACTTCCGTCATATCGAGAACCTGACGAGAGAAGCTTAAATCAAACTTTATATTCAAGGTTCTGAGAAGAAAATCAAAAACACAAACTTTGTTTTTTTTTTGGGCCCTTCCTACTCTAACATAATTATTTTTACTGATTAAGTTAACGCTATTGCATTAATCGGAACGCAATACTCGGTAGACACCAGTTGCTCAGACTTCTCCGCTATGTACCTGTCAGCAAAAATCATCAATACCATTGCGATAAGTTTCCCATTAATATCTGGAATAATCTATGGAAGATTGCTGATAATGATTTTTTGGTAATCACAGAAATCATTCGGTTTCCAAAAAAAATATCCTGATTTCAGGTACAAAACTATCAAAAAAGCACCGGAACTGTATTTGTTCTACTGTAGATTTGTTTTTGATTTGGTGATCAGTGTTATCAGTAAGACGAAGTTTGAAACTCAGCCATACTCAGCTAGTAACATTTTCAGGTTTCATAAAAATGATAATTTATGGGTTGTCTTCTATGACGAGTCTAGGAGATTTTTTCGCTGTGAATCACTGGCTCACATTCATGTTCGTCTGGCCTGTGAGCTCTTTTAGCTCCTTGAGAGCTATCTTGCTTTTCTTTATTGCATTGGATAGAACATGTGTAAGTGTTTCTTGAACCTTTAAAATTCATACAATACAGACCAAAGCTGAAAATAACAAACTTTAGAAGTTCAATGAATATGGGAGAGTCTATCGGTGAGGCCTGAAAAATCTTAGAGTTGCTAAACAAAAAAAAAGAGTTTCAATTTCGTAGTTGACCTTTTTTGGTACGAATTCATCCGAATGAGATATACCGCTTGAAAATGTTCCATCTCTTATTACAGTTTTAACTCTGGAAGTTTTAGAATTCGGTCAGTTTCAAGCAGTATATCTCATTTCAATGAATTCGCACAAAAAGTTGTCAATTATAAAATTAAAGACCTATTGTTCGATGTTAGTCGGTCAATTAAAGTTTTGGCAAACAGAAGGATCTGAACAATCGAAATTTGCTTCTGCTTTTGTTGGCTGAGTATCAAACGTATAACGTTACGTTAAATAACCATTTGATATATGCTTTCGGCCAACGCTTGCAACCGTGTAACTTGACCCATAGCAGCGCTGCACCTTTAATAAGTTTAACTCCTCGAAATACTTACATATGTGAACAAAATAACGAAACGGATGTTTTCGACATGTCCTCACATCTTTGATGTATGCGAGTCAAAGATGAGTAAGAGCTTATTCTTTATGCACCTAGTTAGTAGTAGATATTTCTGCCATCCTCAAAACACAATCTTACAGGCCACCTACGTCCCAATTACATTTTTCAAATACCGAAAACTCATTCCAACACCTCTCATCATCGCTATCGTATTATCCGACATCATAATCGAAGCATTCGTAGCCTTCATAATTTGTGAAGTTGATTTAAACACCCCAACGAATTGCACAAGTGCATCGTGCATTTCCGGGACTTGTTATCAGAAATATTGGCTTATATTCTCCCAAGTGTTCTATGCTATGATCATTGCCCTAACGCTAATGTTATGCATAAAAATATTTTTCTGGAACCGCATCAAAAAGCAGACTATCAGTGGCGACTTGAGAAGAGTAATTGTTTTTTTTTTGAACCAGGAACTGTGTTTTCATTGTTCAGGCCAATCGTCTAGCGCTGATTGAAGCCATCATTGTGATAATTTTCGATTTCACCCCTCCCATTGCCAATACAGTATACTCCAATTATTTTGAATATGTTGGAGCAATGAACTCAGTGTGCCAGACGTTGGGATTCGTTGTGGAATCCTATCTGACCACTCTCAGCTTGCAGCAAAAGTATCGAGTGGTCAAAGTGACGTCATCCGGAAAATCTATGTACCGAACTACAGTAGCGGATTTAAGTGAATTTAAAACGGCTTTTTGAATAAAGATATTTTTATGCGTCACCTACTAGACATACTTGCACAATTTCCACTGCTAGGTAGGCAACTCGTGTAATCGAATTTTCTAAAACCACGTGTATCCTTCTATTCTTTTTCTTCCGCCCCATAATCCTTAGTCATCGTTGAAACACTCAATCAAGAGGCATTCAACAAAAAAGTCCACCATATATAGCAACAATTTTTCATGAACTATATGTCCTCCTACGTTATGCTCTATTGTTAATCTAAGATTCCAAAAAACTTGCCATAAATTTCTCAGAACTTTGATGAAAGAAAAACACTGGTTCTGACAAAAACACCTTTATATTTGTTGGATTTTCTTACCCTACCTACACAAAACATGTACCTCTCCGCTAAGATAATCAATTTGGTCGCAATTAGCTTTCCATTTATTTCAATGATTGTGTACTCCAGATTGTTGCTATTGATATTTTGGTGAGGGTTAAAATTTTGTGATAAAAATTAACAAAGGTTTCAGGTACAAAACGATCAAAAAGTCGCCCGAGTTGTATTTGTTCTATTGTAGATTTGTGTTCGATTTGGTTATTTGTGTAATCAGTAAGTCGTGAAAAATCATAGCAATCTAAACTTCAAAGTATTCACATTCACCTTTAAACTAGTAAACTTTCCATTTATTTCTCTTAAAACCAAAGTTTCTAAATTTAAAGTTCTATCTAAATGTTATATTCCAGGTTTAGTGAAAATGATTATCTATGGGCTCTCCTTGACAAGCCTGTACGATTTTTTCCTCAACAATCATTGGCTCACATTTATGTTCGTCTGGCCTGTGAGCTCTTTTAGCTCCCTGAGAGCCATTCTTGTTTTATTCATTGCATTGGATAGAGTATGTGTGAGTTTCTGTAACATCTTTGTTGTTATTCATTGGAGCGAACTTTCCTCCTAGAATTTCAAACCCACAAAATTTCAGGCAACCTACCTCCCAATAACTTTTTTCAAATATCGGAAACTCATCCCAACATTCGCCATCGTTGGTGTAGTCCTATCCTATTCTATAATCGACACGTCTGTAGTCTTCATCATATGCAAAGTGGACCTGAACACTCCAACGGATTGTATAAATGCACTGTGTATTTTTGGTCCGTGTTATCAACAATACTGGTTGGTGTTCTCTAAACTCTTCTATGCCATGATTGTTATTCTAACTCTTATGCTATGTGCAAAACTTTTTATATGGAACAAGTTGAAGAAACATAATGTTAATGGAGAGTTGAGGAGGGTGAGTTTTTTGGTCCAATATCTGAGCATAGGAGAGCAAAAATTTAGTTCTGAAGGTATATGGCATCTTGGGGTAAATTTGAAAAAACGTGGTTTTCAGTCGATTTTGACCATTTTCGATTGAAAATTTTGGAGAGAGTAAAACAGACCATTTACAGAATTTTTTGAGAATTCTTAGTTTTCAACTATTGGCCGATTTCTGGAATACACTTTTTTATCGGGGTTTGTATTAAAAGCAGGTGTCCTTCGAAAATCGGCGATTAGCTGATAAACTAGGAACTTTGAATAAATTCTACGAATGCGAAGTTTTTAATCAAGCTCTATTTTACACCCTCCGAAATTTTCAAAGTAATCGGAAACTTGACAGCCGAGCTCCATACTTCTGCGAATTGGCCAAAATGGCCGAAAATTAACTGAAAAAATACGTTTTTGTATATCTTTTTGACCGGTACTGTGCATAGAATTTTGGGGTACATTTGAAAACATTGTTCGGTTTGCCTCCTGTACCACCGTCAGATGTATCCTAGGGTGCTAAGTACCCTTTGAACCAAAGTATCTTTGATTTACCCGTGATTTATCCGTTACCGGTGTATGTTTTAGGCCAACCGTCTAGCCCTAATCGACGCATTCATCACAATTGTCTTCGACTTTGCCCCTCCGATTATTCATTCAACATATCCCAATTTTTTCGACTATGTTGGAGCTATCAACTCGGTGTCACAAACACTAGGATTTGTTGTGGAGTCCTGGTTAACCACATTAAATCTGGAGAAGAGATATCAGGTCAAAAAAGTGACTGCGTCTGGAAAAGTAGTGTTCCGACAATCCACAGCGGATATGAGTGAGCTGAGAGGATGAATGATTCATCAAATTCGCAATTTTAGTCAGATTATTTTTCTGTGAAATATAATAACACGAAAATTCTCCCTAACGAGGCGATCCTTGGAGAATAGATGTATGTTTTCGTGATTTTCGGTTTCCTCGATTCTTCTCAAAGCAATTCATATACATTCTTGTTCTGTTTTTCTATACTAAAAATGATCGATTTTCACTTTATAAAATATTTCTCTCAAGTCATCGCTGTAACATTTTCACTTCTTATAAACTTCATTTTAACTGTTCTGGTTGTTAACAAATCGCCGAAAAAAATTGGAAACTATAAATGGTTGATGTGCTATTTTTGTACGATGTCTATGGTTTACGCATGTTTAGATTTTATTGTGCAACCGGTATGTTTGACGGGGAATATACCATAAAAAAGAGGGAATTTTGAGTATCTTCACGAGTATGGGCCATCGTTTTCTATGATAATGGATTTGAGGAATAGCTGGTTTTCGGAGCATAGGACCATTGCATTTTTCCTGACAGGTAAGGTTATTGTGAGAATGTCTGGAATGTGATTCGAAATGTGAAATTGGTGCAAGTATCACAGTCGTGTACAGTACTTGCCAATAGTTTATTAATTTCTAATTTTCAGCTTCCCTAGCTGCTTGCTTCGGTCTCAGCATCTACGCAATCGCTGTAAATTTTATATATAGATTTTTTCGCTCTTCAAAGGTATGAAATAAGTCCCTAGCCGACTCTTTAAATTTCAAATTTTCAGACAAGGTCGTTTAAAATATTTTGCTGGGTACCGCCTATTCCTATGGATGGCAATTCCAACATTTGCAGGTCTTTTTTGGCTTGCCGCCGGGTGGTTTTGGATAAATTACGATAAAGATATGGCAGAATTTATAGGGTAGGAGATTTTAAAGTCTGATATTGGACCACCAAGAGAATCCCAATTTTTTCTAGTGATAGCATAAATAACACTTATGGACTTGACTGGAAATAAATCACATTTACCGGAGGTATGTATTATACATATGCGGTTCCAGATGAGTTGGTACTTTTTGAGTTTTGTGGTTTTCCGCAAGACACTCCCTTGAATTGTATGAGTATTCGTTGTACTCTAGGACAGTGTTATACAGGATACTGGCTCCGATTTGAACAAGTAGGTGAATGAAGTAAAATTAACGAATCGTAAAATTTTTCAGATTGTTTACCCTTTGATAATGATGTTTTCATCTTTGTTACTCATCAGATTGTACATATGGAAAAACAAAAAGAATCAGAATAAGTCTGCAGATTTTTCCAAGGTCAGAAAATGTTTTTTTTTTGACAAGAATGTTGCGAAAATTGAACTTTCTTTTCAAAATTTCGGATTATTTCTAAATGTATTGAAAATTTGAAATACTTAGAAATCCAGATACATACCGTTCAATTCCGTTCATCCCAACCAACATATATGTACAGAACAAATTTCCAGGCTAACCGACTGGCACTAATTGACACTGGATTCTTGGTATGCTTCTTTTTGGTGCCTCCTATCATCCATGCAAGCTTTCCCGGAGCTTATGACGATCTGGGTCCAGTGAATTTGACTTTTAAAACTACTGGATTTGCAATCGAATCATTTTTTGTTTATTCTAACTTTCGACAACAGATTACAACAACTACTAGAGTTAAGTCATGGTCAGATACTTGAGTTTTGAAATAAAGAATTTTTTGAAGGTTTTTGATTTTTTTTAAAGTCTTAACGGACATTTACCTATTTTATCGATTTCTGCCGACGACATTTCTAGGAAAGCAAAACGTCCAAAGGAAAAATTAATTTCAAGACTGGAATTTTGAAAAAACAAGACTTGTGTTTTCAATCTAAAAATCCTGAGATATTCTGACTCATTCAAACAACCCGAATTCCTTCTTCTTGGTGTTCCAATTCCTCGATTTTCCCAAAAATGATGCCTCCAATGTATCTATCCGGAAAACTATTCACGCTCGCTACAATTTTATTTTCCTTGATTTCAGTTTTAATTTATTCCAGCATTTTGCTATCTATTTTTTGGCTGAAAACCATCGAAAAAGTTCCAGAACTTTCTTTATTTTATTGCTTTTTTATTTATGACATATTGTGCAGTTTTGCAAGTGAACTAATACGAAAAAGAACTAATTGGAAAAAAGTTATTTCAGTGTTTCTAAATGTCCTAATTATGTTTCTCTCCACAACTGATGCTGTTCAATTTTTCATTGATAACCGAAATTTTGCATTTTACATTGTTTATCCGGTTTATTTATTGGGCTCCATGAGAGCTCTTCTGCTGCTGATTATCGAGTTGGATAGGACATTTGCTGTTTATTTTCCACTATCTTTTTTCAAATATCGAAACTTTATACCAACAACTTTTTTAGTGGGGATAACAATAATTTATGCATTTTTCGACATCTCTGCAATGTTCATATATTGTGGAGATTCCATTGATGTGCCACCTGGTTGTATTAGTATCATGTGTGCTTTGAGCATCTGCTATAGAAATTACTGGCTCAGTTATGAGAAAGTCACTTACGCGTTGAACATTGCGTTATCTGGTTTGCTATCAGTCAAACTATTCGTGATGAGACATAAACAAGACAGGAATGAAGAGTTGAAAAAAGTAAGTCTACTCGTTCGTCAACTTGTATCTTCTGGTGAGTTTCTGTACTAAATTTTGGCCAAAAATGCGCATTTTTCGAGAAAAAATTTTAAACTTCTCAAATATTGCTCGAAATTAACTGAAACCTATAGAAATCGGTTCAAATCTTGCATGTGATCGATTTAACAGTACCCCATCTCAAAAAGAGCAACATCGAGCAATTTTCAGAGGTTGAAGTTTTCGTTTCTTAACTATAGGATGCTGTAAGGACCGATCGAAAAGATCATTATTTAATTTTTCATCAAGTTCTCATAAAATACTTTTTTTTACTTTGAAAACCATTGAAATTCATCAAAAAGAATCATGAAGTGTCTATACGGCCGAACTGGAAATCAAAAAATGGTTTCAAAAAACCCAAAAAAAAGTTTTACCACAGTGGGGGTCGAACCAGTATAGTCACTCCTGATGAGCCACCCTTCTGCCACAACACCACACAGCCCTCTACCACAACACCACAGCCGACATTTTCCTCTCACGCGGAGGGCGTATAGGAGAGAGTGGAAAGCCACGCCGAAATGGGGCTCAAATTTTCAGACGAAGATTTTCAGCTTTCTAGTGGGAATGGGAACTAGATTTTTTTGTCATCGTGTAGAGAAGGTGTCAAACTATAAGTACTGAAATTTTTAGAAAATTCCCAAAGCCCTTTTTAAAAACGTTCCCTTGTTAGATTTTCAAACTGACCTCCTTTCAGGCCAATCGTCTCGTATTAATCGACTTTTGCATACTGATTATTTTCGATATCACCCCGCCACTGATAGTGTCTTATTTTCCCGGATTCTATCCTTACATGGGTCCCGTAAATGCGTTTTTCAAAACTGTTGGATTCGTAATCGAAGGATGTCTTGTCTACATTAACTTGAATAAACGATCGGAGAAACCCAAAACTGTGAACGTAGTTCCTTTATCGACGACAAGTGTTTATAAATAAATCCGTATTACTTTTTCCATGTTTCAAGATTTTGTGTTACTTCAATCATCTCGCTCTCATTGACATTTTTTCACATTTTCATATGGAAGAGTGAATGTTTGAAAAAATATAGTAAATTTCGTGATTAAGGTACAATGCAAACGGATATACATAGTTACCTATTTTACCGATTTCTTACTTCTGGATTTTTCTTATTTCCTGGAAAACTAAACTTCCGAAAAAAAACTAATTAAAAACTGAAAACTGCAAACAAACAAGTTTTGTGTTCTGAATTTGAAAACCAAAAGATTTTCTGACTCATTCAGACAACAACAATTTCTGTTTTCTGGCGTTTCATTTGCTATCAATAATGGCGAATTCCCTAAAAATAATGCCTCCAATGTATCTATCGAGAATACTATTCACACTCGCTACAATTTTACTTTCCTTGATTTCAGTCTTAATATATTCCGGCCTTATTCTATCTATTTTTTGGCTGAAATCTATCAAAAGAGTTTCCGAACTTTCTCTATTTTATTGTTTTTTTGTTTACAACATATTGTGCAGTTTCCCAAGTGAGATATTGAAAACGAATAATAATAACCAATTTTTCAGTGTTTCTTATGGCAGTATTTGGTATTTCTCTCTACAACTGCTGCTGTTCAATTTTTCATTGATAACCAAAACTTTGTATTTTACATTATTTATTCCGTATACGTATTGAGCGCCATGAAGCTCTTGTAATGCTCATCATTGAATTAGGTAGGACATTCGCCGTCTATTTCCCACTATTTTTTTTTCAAATATCGAAACTTATTAACAACTTATTTTTTAGTAGGTATCCCTTTTATTTATGCGCTTTTCGACCTCTCTGTAATGTTCATATTCTGTGGAGATTTCATTGATGTACCACCCGGATGTGTGAGCGTTATGTGTGCGTTTAGCCTCTGTTATAAAAGCTACTGGCTCACTTTTGAGAAAACGCTTTATGCTATGAACATTGCGTTATCAGGTTTGCTATCTGTCAAATTGTTCGTGATGAGGCATAAAAAAGACGAGAATGAAGAATCGAAAAAAGTAAGCCGAAGCTTTCGCCCCCATCCATTTTAAGTGATCCCTCCCAGGCCAATCGTCTCGTATTAATCGACTTTTGCATATTGATTATTTTCGATATCACCCCGACCCTGGTAGTGTCTTATTTTTCTGGATTCTGACCTTATATTGGTCCTATAAATGCGCTTTTCAAATCTACGGGATTCGTAATCGAAGGATGTCTCGTCTACATTAACTTAAAGAAACGATCGGAAAAACCAAAAAAAAGTCAAGTTACAAAAATTGTTTCTAAATAAAGACTTGGCATTTTTTGATTGTTACAAGATTTTTCAGAATTAACATTTTATCTCTAAAGACGAACTGTTGTCCAATTGTTCTTCAGACTTGCAACCCAAATTATTGTGGATCAAATTCTCGGAGACTTTTCCGCCGAGAAAACGGAATAAAATACAGAACAGAGACACCTATCAGTTTATTGATTATAAGAATGATAAGAATGATGATACAATTATAAATAGCTGAATTTGGATGTTTTAAAAATATGATTGATTTTGATGCACAAGTAAAACGCGAACGGGTCCTCTAGATTTTCCGTAATGTGTTTTTCGTGAATTTTCATTCGCGAACGGATATAATACTGAGTTCGCGTGCGGACCGAATCCGGAATAATGTGTTATGTTTCTCTGAAAAGGATTTGCGTACGAATTTCATGCGGTTCCTATGTACTTCAAGTTCCGAGTCGTGGTTCCAAGTCCAGCGGTTCATCTCATAAATTTATACAAAAAATTGTCAATCATACAACATTGTTTTCTTGATTTTTCATTATCTTTCCTGGTCAGCTAAACTTCCCAAAATGAAGACTGATTAAAAACCAGACATTGAAAAAACAATTTTTGTGTTTTTTATCAGAAAATCCTAAAAATAATGCCTCCAATGTATCTATCAGGAATACTATTCACACTCGCTACAATTTTACTTTCCCTGATTTCAGTCGTAACATATTCCGGCCTCATTCTAACTATTTTTTTGGCTGAAATCTATCAAAAGAGTTCCCGAACTCTCTCTATTTTATTGCTCGTTTGTTTATACCATATTTGGCAGTTTTACAAGTGAGCTTGCTAATACAGAGTTTAATAACAAATTGCAAAACAATTGTTTCAGTGTTTCTAAATTTCCTAGTTATTTTTCTCTCCACAACTGATGCTGTTTAATTTTTCATTGATAACCGGAACTTTGCATTCTACATTATTTATCCGGTATACATATTAAGCAACATGAGAGCTCTTCTAATGCTCATTATCGAGTTGGATAGAACATTTGCCACCTATTTTCCCATCTATTTTTCCATTTTCGAAACTTGATACCAACATATTTTTTAGTGGGGATCACTCTAACTTATGCTCTTTTTGACCTGTCAACAATGTTCATAATCTGTGGAGATTCCATTGATGTACCACCTGGTTGTATAAGTATCCTGTGTGCTATGAGTACAAGTTACATAACTTACTTTATGACTTATGAGAAAGTGACTTACGCTTTGAACATTGCGCTGACAGGTTTTCTATCAATCAAACTATTTGTGATGAGACATAAACAAGACAAAAATGCAGAGTTGAAAAGAGTAAGTCTTAGTTTTTTCGTATTCCATTGGTTAAACTCATCCCTGTCAGGTCAATCGTCTCGTATTAATCGATTTTTGCATAATTATCATGTTTGATATCAGCCTGCCACTGATATTTTTATGGTATCCCGGATACTGGCCCTATACGGGTTCTGTTAAGGCGTTTTTTAAAACTACTGGATTCGTAATCAAAGGATGTCTTGTTTATCTTAACTTAAAACAAATGTCGGAAAAGTCCAAGAAGTCAATTTCGGTCAGCGTCGTTCCTTTATCAAAGATAAGCGTTAGTAAATCATCATCATTCTTATAATAAACCAATGAAGTTATGAAAAATAGACTGAATTGGGCCGAAGGCCCACCAGCCAATTGCTGTTTGAAGCGTCAAAAACGCTGAAACAGGCTGGTAAAGCCTTATGGTTTCAACTTGTTTCCCGATTTTTCCAAAGAATGGAAGGCAATACATTTTTCTGGGTACTTCGAAGCGGCAGTGTGCATTCTGATGTAACGGTGTACAGTGATCGGTGATCACACAGTGCGGGGGTTATTATTTGATAATTTTTCCCTTTATTCCCATTTCCATTAAATTAAACCAGTTTGTTCTAATTGACATTTGTTCGCATTTCCATACGCTTAAATGTCTTCAAAGTGGCTAACTTTGAACGCAAAGTTATATATTGAAAAAGCGCCAAAACTCCATCGATTAAATTTGAGTGGGTGAAAAGATGCGCGATATATGTACATCCGGACATACAGGATTCTGTGTTTGTTATTCGGAATGATGTTATGCGTAATGATTTGCCGCCTTCAATGTAAACTTCCAGGAAAAATTGCATGTCCAAAGCTGCAATTTTTCAGGGTTCCCAGACATGAAACATTGCATTCAGTCGTTGATAGGTTTGTTATTTCTTCGAGATCCCTTCAAGGCCAAAAAAGAAAGTTTTATGTTGATTTATCGGATCTTAAAAAAATAACACAGCTGACAACGAAAGAAACTAAAGTTTTGTGTCTGGATAAATTGAAAGACATGGCAGCTGACAGGTAAAGTGTCCTGGAAGTTTAGTTACCTATCTCATCGATTTCGGACATTTGGATGTTTCTATTTCCAGGGAGCTAGATCTGCAAATAGAGGCCAATAAAAATCTAAATTGAACGTACAGGTTTATTTTTCCTCTCAGATATTCATGGAATCTTTTCACTCATTCGAAAATCTTGAATTTTTTCCTGCTGTTCTAAAAATGGCAAATCCCTTAAAAGTCATGCCTCCAATGTATACATCCGGAAAAATTTTCACGCTCGTTACAATTGTGTTTTCCCTGATTTCAGTCTCCATTTATTCCGGCTTTATTTTATCTATTTTTTGGCTGAAATCCATCAAAAAAGTTCCCGAGCTTTCCCTATTTTACTGCTACTTTGTTTATAACATATTTTGCAGTTTCACAAGTGAGCAAGAACGAACATGAACCATAAATTCAAAAAAAGTTAAATTTCAGTGTTTTTAAACGTCATACTGATGTTTCTCGCAACAACTGATGCTATTCAGTTTTTCGTTGATAACCGAAACTTTGCATTTTACATTATTTATCCGGTATACATATTAAGCAACATGAGAGCTCTTCTAATGCTCATTATCGAGTTGGATAGAACATTTGCCACCTATTTTCCCATCTATTTTTTCAAATATCGAAACTTATTACCAACATATTCTTTAGTAGGGATCACTCTAACTTATGCACTTTTCGACATGTCTGCGATGTTCATAATCTGTGGAGATTCTATTGACATTCCACCTGGTTGCATTAGTATCCTGTGCGGTATGAGCACATGTTACATAAATTACTGGCTCAGTTATGAAAAGGTGACCTACGCGTTGAACGTTGCGTTATCAGGTTTGCTATCTGTCAAACTATTTGTAATGAGACATAAACAGGACACGAATGAAGAGTTGAAACGAGTAAGTCATAGTTTTTTACCCCGTTTCATTAGTTAAACTGACTTCTGTTCAGGCTAATCGCTTGTACTGATCGACGTTTGCATAATAATAATTTTCGATATCACCCCGGGACAAATAGTCTCGTATTTTCCTGGGTTCTATCCTTACATAGGTCCTGTAAATCCGTTTTTCAAAACTACTGGATTCATAATCGAAGGATGTCTTGTGTATATCAACTTAAAAAAGCAATCGGAAAAGAAAAATAAGTCAATTTCAGTCAGCGTCGTTCCTTTATCAAAGATAAGCGTTTGTAAATAAAGCTTCAACATTTGTCATTGTCTCAAGCTTTTTTTTTCAAATTGAAGGAGGGGAGAGAAGAGGTTTTCAGACATCTACTATTTTCGTGTTTTGTTAGGTGAACCGAATTCAACAAAAAGTTTTCACACGATCGAAGGATTTCGTGTTTTTCCAATTACAAGGAACCAAAACACCTCGTCACCTCAAATTTTGATGAAAATTTCAAAATATTTCAAGGAAAGCCTATCTAGACACCCCTGAAAATTTTAAAAAACACGCTCGCCAGTTTCAGCCGAGATATTTCAATCCAAAGTTAGTGGATTTGCATGCTTTACCACACGTTCCCTCTCCAAATTCCCTGCGAAAGAAGCTTAGAGAGGACCTAACATCTTACCGCCTTTCGAATCAACTGGAAATGTCGGCAGCGTGGTGTCGGGGATGTGGTGTGCGCCAGTGATTACAAAGTTGTGGGTTCGCACCTCATGTGATTTTTTCTTTTTTTTTCAATTTTTTTGACTTTGTAGGATTCTTCTAGTATATGCTCCAAGTTTTTATTGACTCCGAGATTAGATTTATTCAAACTTAAACAAAAAATTCCAAAAATTTCAAAAAAAATTTTTGAATTCCAAAAAAAATTTTGATTACCACTGGAAAGTAGCAATTTTGAAGCGTTGTTTTGCTGTCTATAGGGACCATAACTTAATGATGAAAAGAATTTTCTCAAGAAATAGGTTATCTATCAGTTTTATCATGATGTTTTTGAATAATAATCCCCACTTTTTCAAAGAAATTTTCACAAAAGAAAAAATCTTGGACAAAATTCTCAAAGTTTTTGAAATTTTCTGTTTGAGAAAACGTCAAAATTATGAAATTTCATGGAACTCTAAGCATAACTCAAAAAATTTCATGCTCTGAAACGTCCTAGAAATCGAGAAGATCGTCTTTGAAAAACGCCATTTTTGCACTGATTTTTTGTACTGAAACTGTCATAACTCGTGTTCTAAAATTTTTAGAGATGTCTAGATAGGCTATCCTTTACCTATCGTGAGCTTTTCATCAAATTCTGAGGTGACGAAGTGTTGTGGTTCTCTTGTTAGTCATATTTTGTGTTCTCCGTAGCCGAGACTTCTGTCTAGTTTTCTATCCGTACATAATGAAAGAAATGTCACATTTTCAGAGGAAGTTTATATACTCATCAATGTGTTTTTTGTGAACAGACTGACCCTATCAGTGGTAACTTACTTTGCTGCAAAAAAAGGAAGCGCTCTTTTTTTTTCAGATAATCTTTCTGTAAGCATCTCCGAAAAATGGCAATCGAAACATCCTATCTACACATGAGGATGCCACCGTTATTTGTGACTGGAATCTTGATAAACATAAGTGCATTACTCTTCTCGGCAATCTCAACTATCATTTTTTCATATTTTCTTTTATCCATATTTTGTTTCAAAACTGTCAAGAAAGTTGAGTCACTTGATCTTTTCTACTGTCATTTTTTCTACGATGCGTTATTTAGTTTTACAAGTAAGTTTTCAAGCAGAGATTGAAGGCTCATTCTGTTTAGGCCTGACCGTCCGGGCTGTCGTATGGCCGGCCGCGGTCCCTTTGACCGCATTTTTTTTTGAAAAGCTTGGAAGTTAAGTATAAATTGACGTGACCTATTGAGAAAGAGTGATTAACAAAGCGACGAGTAAGTAAATATTAGGTTAAGAAGCGCAGAAGACGCACCATCCAACTGTTTAAAGCGCCAGAAAAATAGGCTGGTATGAACAAAATTTCGATAAATATCCTTTTTCATCTCCAAAATTGTTTTGCAGCTCTTCTAAACATGATCATCATGCTGTTGTCCCAAACTGAAGCTGTTCAATTTTTCATTGATAATCGGAATTTTGCTTTCGTCATTGTCTATCCGGTATACCTTACCGGATCCATGCGAGCTATAATAGTGCTTCTAGTGGAAGTCGACAGAGCTGTTGTGAGTTCTTTAATAGGATGCAATCTTGTACTTTCAATCAACTATCTCGATTTCTATAAGAGATATCAAAAGTATGTCAATTGATAAAATATTAGTGATATTATGATTAGGCACCACAACAAAATTTTCAAAATAGACTTTTTCTCATTTTTATGGTTGGATTGTCTTCTCCTCCCTTATAGAAGTCTATTCCCAAATTTTCAGCGAAAAATGTTCTCCCATTCTCGAGATACAGACCCTTTTGTACCAGACCTCGATGTACTGAATTTCTCCTCATCTTTTTGCGGTGCGCAGAAATTTGGGCGGGGCTTATCTTTTGCAACCTTGCGGCACGGAAAGTTTGTGAAGGAAATTTAAGAAAAAGCTAATAGACCCACAAAGGACTCGAACCTCCTTCACCCTCAGATCGTTGCACGCGCCCACCATCCAGTCGGTCACGGCTGCACTCTGAGTGTGGGCATTAGATGGGAGACATGAAAGGGCGGCTTTTCGTTGCCTGCCGCTTCCTTCCGGTGGTGCCTCATCCCTATTTTTTTAAATGAATTGCTCTGTGATAGACGAGAAAACAGATGTTTTACATATGACCACCACAGTAGGATTTTCTATTTAGGACTGTATTTGGTGGCAAATTTTGCGCTTTATCTTATGGTGGAAAGAAAATCGGAGGCACTCACCTGTGCCACCCTCAAAATTTCCAAAAACCGAAAATTTTGAAAGTTTGGACTTTTCGGATGAATATTAAAACTACTTTAAGATAACCAACCTTTCTGAAACTTGTCACAGGTGTACACAAGGCTTAGTTTTACCATAATATAAGAAAAAATTTGGGGTCATTGCTGAAATTTGTTATGTATTTTGTCTGGAACTTTGGTTGGAAATTGCGCCACAACCGTCACAGTAGAAATTTGATTTTACTTTGAAATCCAATCCCCCATTTCATGAACTATTAGAATCCATCAAAAAATTTGGAGGCACTAACTTCCATCCAATACTTTTAGTCCACTTTGTCAGTGTGATTCCTGTTTTTCGAAGTTTTCGAATCAAAATAAGAAAATTATCGAAAAACTGATAATTCCATTCGATTTATCGCAGTCGATTACATAGGGACAATGTCTAACTTTAAAAATAATGAGTTTCTAACGCCCGGTACAAGCCTTCAAAAATGGGATTGTGCCGAGGGGAGAAAAATTTGGTCGCCCCGCCCCCTTTCATTGCGGCGCCTAATTATGATGTATAATTCATTAATTGAAAACTTATTCGTATCTTTTTAAGTAACCGAGATACTTGAACTCAAAGTGCACGTGTTGGGTGGGCTATTAAAGCAAAAACGGTAATCTACTGGTCCGCAGAAAAATCAAATTTGTTCTAGTTTAGAGAAACCTTTTTAAATAGTATTTTTATTGATTTCACGGCCCACGTTTGCAGGCTACATGCTTCCCAATTTTATTCTACAACTACCGAACGTTGATCCCTTCTATCTTATTAATTGCTCTCACATTAGCATACGCTCTTGTAGATTTATACGCCATGTTCATATACTGTGGGGATTCTATTGATGTACCACCTGGCTGTATTAGTATCATGTGTGCTTTGAGCATTTGTTATAGAACTTATTGGTTGACTTATGAGAAATTTACCTATGCATTAACAATGTTTTTTTCCTTGGTGCTGTGTTCGAGACTATTTTTCATGAATCAAAGGAATGATAACCCAAGTGACGATCTTAAACGAGTTATTATAATCTTTAAAGTCTCGAAAAAAATAATTAGTTTTCAGGCCAATCGTCTCGCTCTAATTGACATTTTTGTCATTGTTGTTTTCGATATAAACCCTTCATTCGTCATGTCATTTTATCCAAACTTTTGGGAACCTATGGGTCCAATTAACTCATTTTTCAAAACTATGGGATTGACGGTTGAGGCATTTTTGATCCGGAGAAATTTGAAGCGGCAGAACAGTAAACAGATCTCGAACTCGGTTGTTCAGGTTGCATGAATTTTGTCCGGAATTACAAAATATTAATCAATCTCGGCGGTGACTCTTTTTTCCCAAGGTTCCTTGTTTCTCTAATTTTTTTTCAATTCTCCGAACTTCCTTCTGCTCCTAACCCAATACATAAATCATGGCAGAAATGTTAATATCGGCTAAAATAATCACGATTACAACTATTCTGTTCTCTTCCATTTCTATATCTATTTACACCTATTTTCTTCTATCAATTTTTTGTTTTAGAAAATTCAAAAAAGTTCCAGAACTTTCATTGTTTTATTGTCATTTTGTGTATGATATTTGCTACAATTTGGCGAGTAAGACCTAAATAAAAGTATATTTTTTTCATCATGAAAATTTTTCCAGTTTTCTCGAATGTTCTTATTGTTATTTTATCCACAACAGACTATCAGTTTTTTATCGACAATCGAAACTTTGCGTTTTTCATCATCTACCCAGTATTTTTAGTTGGTTCGATGAGAGAACTTTTGATATTCTTCATAGAACTGGATAGAACATTTGTGAGATCTGAAATCTTATAAATGTACTCTTTTAATTATTTCAGGCCACATATTTTCCTATAATCCACTTCAAGCATCGTAAATCCATACCAACTTCACTTATTGTCTCTTTTACTGTATTTTACGCATTTTTCGATATTTCAGTTATGTTCATCTACTGTGGGGATCGTATAGATGTACCACCTGGCTGCACGAATATTGTATGTGGGTTGAGTACATGCTACAGAAGTTATTGGGTGAATTATGAGAAAGTTATTAATATGGCTATCATTATTACATCTCTGCTTTTATTTTTCAAGTTGTTCGTGATGAATTATAAAAAAGTTCATATAAATAATGATCTGAAAAAGGTAGGGTTCCAAAACTTCCTCCGCGTAGCCTAGCTGGTAACATTGGAAGACCCCTAGGCTTCTTTTCAAATATGAAGTTTTAAAAAAATTCTCTAAATTTTGTTCATTTGCGCCCCTCGAGGATTTGAACTACTTGTCCACCGTTGGAGGTTCCACGTTACTACCAGCTTAACTACAATGGCAAAAGTTGCAAAGCGATAGCCATGCGCTTAGACGAGATACAGCCATTTGAAAAATAAAAAGAAACGCAGAGAAGTTAGAGCGCTCTCGTTTCTCTGCGCCTCTTCTGCAAACTTTAAAGACGCATAACTCGATTCAACGGTAACCAAACTCAATGAAAATTATATCGTTTTGAAGGAACTTTTGAAGGCTTTTGGATGATACAAAAACTTTTTCAGATCAATCAGCTGGCTCTAATTTTCACTGGCATCATTGTAGTTTTCTCTATGACACCTTCAAACGTAATGACTTTTATTCTCGACTTTTACACATATCTTGGTCCTGTAACGGCTTTTTTCAAATCGATGGGAATGATAGTGGAAGGATATTTTATATCAAAAAATTTGAGCAAACGAAGGACCAAAAAACCAAGTCAAGTGGTGACAGCAATGAAAGCATTCAAAATCAGCTCGAGTGGTTTTTAATTGTAATAAAGGCTATTACACTTTGACACAGTTTAGAAAACCCCAATCTGATAGAATGTTCCCAACCTGTCAACTTTAATTCGGTTCTTGTGAAAGCTATCAAAAAGTGGTTAACTATAAAAATGATAATCATGATATAAAAAACAACTTGTCAGTTGACCACTTTTTGATATCTTTTACAAGTGTCGAGATAAATTGGGTCGAAGTTTGAAGTTCCGTGTATTGATGTGTTATGTTCCCATCATTTCTTGATAATGCACTTCTAATGTTTTCAGTACATTATGTTCCGTGTTTCGAAACATCATTAAACCAAATTTTCCTCTTTTTTGAACAACAAAAAATCAAAAGTTGAAAAAACGTACATGCCCACTCAACCAGACTTTCTCAAGACCTTGTTACCCACGTTTTTCACTTTTTCCCCTTTTTTTCGAAAAACTAATGACTCACACTTTTTCATGAGAAAAGAATTTGACGACTACATTTTCAAAATCAGACGCTCTTAATAATCAAAATTCACATGCTACAAATGTTACTATCCGCTAAAATTATTACTTGTATTACTATTATATTCTCGCTAATTTCAACATCAATTTACACATATTTTTTATTATCAATATTTTGGTTTAAGAAGTTTAAAAAAATCCCAGAATTCTCATTGTTCTATTTCCATTTCGTTTATGATGTATTCTATAGTTTTACAAGTATGTTATAGAAGTTTTTATTGTACCAAATAATAATAATTTTCAGTGTTTTTAAATTCGAGCATAGTGATCTTATCAACAACGGATGTTGTCCAATTTTTCATTGACTACCATAACTTTTCATTTTACATTATCTACCCGGTATTCTTGGTTGGAGCGATGAGAGCACTATTGGTACTTTTCATTGAGATTGAGAGAACTTTTGTAAGTGAAATGCGTTTAATAGAAGAGTCTTAGCTTTGGATGGGTCCCGTCAACTTTGAGCCTATATATCAAGGTTCCTGTGAAAGACATTGAAACATTGTCAACTAACAAAATGTGTATAATAACATCAAAAATATTTGACCAGTTGGCATTTTTTTGATACCTCTTACATGAGCCGAGAAAAATTGGGTGAAAGTTGAAAGTGTGTTTTACAGTACACCAAAAAGTTTCAGTTTAATTATCTTGGTTCCTATAAAGTATATCAATAGTTTATCAACTGATAAAATATTAATAATGTTATGAAAAGTATTTTATCAACTGGCAGAATTTTAAAATCATTTATAAGAACCGAGAAAATTGTGATCAAAATGCATTTCCAAATTTATCTATTCCAGGCCACATACTTTCCCATAATCTACTTCAACTATCGTAAATCCATTCCAACTTTGTTAATTGTGTCTTTCACTATATTCTACGCATGTTTCGACATATCCATGATGTTATATATCTGCGAAGACCCTATAGATGTGCCACCTGGTTGTGTCAGTATGATGTGTGTATTGCCATCGTGCTATAGAAGATATTGGGTCAATTTCGAAAAAGTTATCCACATTTCGATTATCATTTTATCACTGCTTTTATGTTTAAAACTAGCTATACTGAAATACAGAAAGAAGTGTATTCATAGTGATTTGAAAAGGGTAAAAAACTGCTTTGAATTTTAATTTTATTCTAATTTTAAGTCAATTTCAGGCTAATCGACTAGCTATCACTGACACCTGCATCATTATTTTGTTTTTCATGACACCGTCAAGTGTGGTTTCGTTTTTCCCCAATTTTTACATTTATGTTGGTCCGGTGGTACCATTTTTCAAAACAATGGGAATGATAGTGGAGGGATTTGTTATTTCGAAAAACTTGAGCAGACGAAGGACCAAGAAGCCAAGGATAGTAACCGAGGCAAAAACTGCGTTCAAATCTAGCTCCACTGGTTTTTAATTTTTTGTTGTTGTCTTCTTTTTGTGCTTCAAACTTAGATAATAATAGACTATAGTCATTTTTAAAGAAATATGTCAACTAGAATATTCATTGAATCGAGAAACAAATTAATTAACGGATGACTCTATTTTACATGAATTTTTGGTTCTTTTTTTTCGAAAACAATGAATCATTGTCTCCTAAAAAAACTTTCATATTGTTTAAAAATGGGGGCGACATGGAAAAAATATATTTCTCGAAATTTCGTTCATATGAGCCCCACCTACTGTGCCGGAAGTTGACAGACGTCATTACGGCACAATAGCCATCCGTTGTGTGAACACCGACAGCTAATCGCTTTGAAAGTTAAAAAACGTTTAGAAACGTTCATTTTCAAAATAGGTATCAAAATCAAATTGCTTTCAATGGGTCTCACGATTCGTCCTGGAATTTTCTGCCGTAGTAGTAAGACGACAAAATGAAAAGATTTGGTTACGAAAAGTCGGAAGGCACAAAGTGATAGCAACTGGATCGACAAAAGCAAAGACGCCCAGAACAATGACTTCTACGTAGTCGAAACCTCTATAATCAAATTTCAAACTTCAAGTTCACAAGATTTTCAAAAGTCACCTAGCCAACTGAATTCCAAACATCGGACTATACCAGCAAATAAGACACGGAGAGAAGCTGATAAAAATTGGAATGACAGTTTGGACAACAAGAGCTCGGAGCAGGTCGACTTGCAATTTGGAGATCTTTTTGCTCGCGTTCCTCGTCATTTTTTTCAATTTCGTCACTGTCTACAGAAATTTCTTGTAAAGGAGACTTCATTTTATAATGCAACTTACAGTAATCGCCAATACCATAAACATTATGATGGATATGGTAGAGATACTTGTCGTTAGCAAGACAGCCAACCAAGATCGGAATCTAGTTTCATCGGAACCCTCACTATAAAGAGCACCGAGCATGTTAAAGTTCATGGAGTCGTTTCCATAAGTCTTTTGAAACTCCTCACGAATGTAATCTCGTGTTTCCATATTTGCTTTTCCCAAAAAGTAACAGATCTGAATTTGCAACTTTGGAGTTGCTCCAAAGAACTTCAAACACTTACAGAATGCCAAACACCAAAATATACAACACAAATAGAAATAGAGAATAGCATGTACCAATGAAACTTGCTGCGTGTGAGACTGGAATTATGAATGACAAGATAGCGATAAATGAAGTGAACAAGGAGAACGGCGTAGCTTGCGCCAACTAAAGAACAACGGGCAGTCATCATGTGGAAATTAAAATTGGAGTGTTCCACGAACCATCCATTTCGAGTGATTGAAAAGAAACAGTAGCGGTAACTATGAATGTCCTGAAAATGGCTGGAAGTATAGGGAAAAAAGACAGGCTGATAGAAATTTAGAGGAGACTCACCAATGGCACCAACACATTAGCCACAGAGTAGATTAAATCAAAAATTGCAAAGAATAACAAAAGGAATCGATAATTTCCAATCATCGAAGATTTTTCAGAAAATACAAGAAAAATGAATATGGGATTTACAACGAATGCAAAAACGCAAAAAGCGATTGGCAGTTGTTGATAGATCCTGTAGATTTCCATGAAGAAAGAAGTTCAATGAAGATGCTCTCGTTCCAAGACTGAGAGATATATAATTTTGTGTGTGTGTGGTGTTATTATTGATAACGAAAAAATCCCATGACGGCTGCACACAGACACAATTCGATTATAAAAACAAATGTTTGTTTTTATGTTTTCCCTTAACCCAATATCAAAGGGTAAATCGACTTCTTAGAATACATTGATGTTAAAGTGTGTTTTAGCCTCACATGGGAAGCTTTCCATATGTTACCCGGGGATCTGATGAAACCTATGCTAGATAGTAGTAAACACAAAATTATAGCAGCCAATTTCCCAATATCGAAGGGTATATCGAGTTCGTAGAATACGTTGATACAGAGAGTGTGTTTTAGCCTAAGGGTAGAGTGTGTAAGCCTATCATTTTGAACCGAAAAACCAATTGTCCCATAACCAAATGATGAAATACTAAGATTCGGAATAGGTAATCATTTTACAAATTGTGTGGAAACCATAGCGAAAAAACTTTTGATCTCAAAAAGTTCGAAATCAAGGTATACTACTGTTTTTTTTTGTGATTTATGATACTTTTCAATTATTCCCACTTCAAATAAATAAAACTTCCTGCCCCACGCCACAAATTAATTAATTCGGATGACAAAAACTATGAGAAAAGGAGCAAATGGAAAATACGGAATCGCTAGAATCCCTAGAACCATTCATTGAAAAATGGCTGAAACCATGTATTTCACTAGAAAAATCATCACCGCATGCTCCATGTTCTTCTCTTCTCTATCTGTCATAATTTATCTGAAATTGATATTAGCGATATTCTGGTCTGATTTTTATTAATAGGAAATTTAAAATGTTGTGTATTTTCAGGTTCAAAACGATTCGAAAAGCTCCTGAATTATCATTATTCTACTGGCATTTAAGGTTCGATATAGTTTGCAGTCAGTGAGTTCTTAGTTTGGTTGTGTTCCTGTTCAGGGTTAACGTTTGAGGGGTTTAGGAGACCCATAAAAAGTAAAGGGTCCCTTAAATTTGAAATCAAAGGCACCTTAAAAAATAATGAGGAACCCAAAAGGGAGCCTGGACAGTTGAGATGACCTATGGGAAATTAAGGGTCCCCTTTTTTTCGACTTTGAAATTTTTGGCACACTAAAACTAATGGGAGACTCAACGTTAAAATGACTAGACACATTTTAGGGTTTATGGGAAGTTGAACTTGTGGGTGATATGACAGTAGTCACAAAATGTTCATTTCCCCTATTACTTTGAAAAATGATTTTCAGCACTCACCCAAAACATGATGATTTTTATATTTGTGATTACTATCCAATTTGAATGGTTTTATTTCGATCATCCCAATTTCGCCTTTTATGTGTTTCGGCCGGTCTACTTGCTCGGAAATATGAGAGCTTTACTTCTTTTTATAATTGCACTGGATAGAACCGTGGTATTGGCCTATCCTATAATCTAAGCATCGATTTAAAACAATTTAGGCCACTTACTTCCCGATAAAGTTTTTCAAGTACCGAAAACTGATCCCAACTATGGCAATTGTGGCTGTTGTAGTTATATATGGGGTATTTGACGTCTTTGTTCTTTTTGGAATTTGTGGAGAAGTTATTAATGTCCCTGTGGGATGTGTAATGATTTTATGTGGGATTAGACCCTGTTATGTGAACTATTGGCTCATTTATGAAAAGGTAATAATTTTGTTCTGGAACAATGTAAACTAATTTTCAGACAGTCTATGCACTAGTCATAGCTCTTTGCTCTTTTCTATCTTTCAAACTATTCGTCTGGAATAAATGCCAACATTTGGAAATCAGCAAGGAACTGAAACGAGCCAACCGTTTGGCGTTAATCGATACTTTCATAATTATATTTTTCGATTTACTTCCTCCGGTTGTTGTTTCATATGTACCAAATGTGTTTTACTATTTGGGAGTTATCAATACGTTTTTCAAAACTCTAGGATATGTCGTGGAGAGATGCTTGATTGCTGGAAATTTGAATAGAAAATATAAAAATAACAAAAAATCTAGTGCTGGGCCTCTCACTAAAACTATTGTGATGAATTAATGTATTGATATTTGAATGAAACTTGGTTACTTGGCTTTTGTCTCGTATCTTGAAAGAGGGGAGCCGGAGTTTTTTGCGGGTTTTTTCTTTTGGAGTTACCGTATGCATTCTGACGTGACGGTGTACAATGATAAGTGTACACACAGCGCGTGGCTATCGTTCGTTTTTTTTTATATCACACCGTTCGATCGTCTCAGCTTGTGCCACCCTACCTTACAAGGGAAGTGTTTTCAGAGGGGCGTTGAGAATTTTCTAAAAATTTCAGTACTGATAGTTTGAGATATCAGCAACACGATGACGAAAAAATCTAGGTCATAGTATCATCAACAAGCTGAAAATCTTCGTCTGAAAATTTTTGGTATTTCGCCCTCTCCCTCACTCCACTACGCCCCTCTCTCCATATTGTCTATTCAATAAAACGCGTGAGAAGAGGGAAAAGGGAACGCGTTCCAAAAAGGGGCGTGTCACTTTGCAACCTGCGGCGCGCCCACGTTTCATTGAATAGACAATACGCCCTCCGCGCCAGGGAAAACATCGGCTGTGTGGTGTTGTGGTAAGAGGAAGACTCATTAGGAGTGACTATGGTGGTTCGAACCCCGCTGTGGAAAATCTTTTTTTTTTTTTGTTATTTTCGAGACGAATTTTCGATATCCATTTTGGTCCCCTGAATAACAAATTATACTTATTTTATGAATTCCCAACGTTTTCAAAGTGAAAAAGAAGGCTTTTGAAATTTTGAAGAAATTTTGAAATATTGTTTTTTTCGACTTGTCCTATCGCCCAAAAGCAAAACTTTCGACTCTCGGAATTGCTCCGTCTTGCTCTTTTTTGAGTGGAACACCACCAAATCTATCACCCAAATGATCTTCACATATTTCTGTGTATTCCGTGCGATTTTGAGCAATATTTGAGAAGTTACAGTTTTTCAAATTTCTTGCTATTGTCAGAAATTGTACAAAAATACTTCAGATGATAGAGAAATGATCAAAAAAGAGTTTCCCGCTTGAAAAAATCCTGGAAAAAGAGTTTCAAAGCTCGAAAAATGCACGTTTTTGGTAAAAATTTAGTACTGAAAACAATTTGAGAGCCCATATTTTTGTTCCTATTAGGGTTATGACCGAGATATTACTGAAATCGTATTCAGCATGTTCGAAAGTACATTTGTACAAATTTTGAGCTAATTATCAACGCCCCTCTGAAAACACTTCCCTTGTTAGCTGGTAGCGGCGCGGCACCTTCAGCGTTAAGTTCATAAGTTCAACTCCTCGAGTAAATGATTTCTTCGTTATATATAAAACGCTACACGCGTCTCTCCGTCCCGGTGTCCGGCTGTCAACTTTTGAATAAATTGAAAAATAACTACAGATTTACGTGACCCTTCAAGAAAAAGTGAAGCGCAAAGCTACGAACCAGTAAAAAACTAGAGTGAATCGCGCCGAAAGCGCACCAGCTTGCAGGTATAATAAATATATAAACGGAATTTTGAGAAAGTTAATATCTTTGTGTTCCCTCACCTTTCATGTCCCCTCACCTTCATGTGCTCTTTGAGAATTCTAGTTTGCTTTTATAACGAACGTAAATCCAATTATGTTACACGCCTTAACGGTTCCCAGATTATTGTCCTCATTAGCGCCCTATGCCGATATTTCCATAAATTCCCTGCATGTGGTGTTCGTTTTGACGAAATGCGAGAGAAACAACTTTTTTCATAGAAAAATATTCTTTTGATTTTTTGATTCGTTCTTCAAATCAGGCTGTTCAAAACTTTCGTCACTGAAAAACAAATCAGCTGTCCGAAATATGAACAGTTTTGCTTTTTTCAGGTGTCACAACAGTTTTTAAATTGTTTAATTGCGTCACACTGACTAGGACTTCGTAAATTTAGAAATTCAAAAATTCTGAAATTCGGGTTGTTTGTGTTTTTTGAGTTTCTGAAAGTTTCGTGATCATTGTGAAATCTGAAGGTTTCTATTTTTTTTATAACTTTTTTTTTGTTTGAGAAACAAAAAGCCCCAATCTCTGATATTGAAAAAGGTGTCGCCCCCTAATCACATTTTTCCTGCTCTCTACCAAACAAAATTTTCTAAATCTCTCCATTTTTTGAAATCTCTCGCTTTTTCATTTCCTCTTTTTCTTCTCTCAAATGTCATGATGGTCACTATGGCAATGCTTGCGAAACTAGCAATTTGACAAGAGGCATATGATTTAAAAAAAAAACTTTTTCTCGAATCCCCTAACAAGCTTCACTTTTTTGTTTGTTTGCTTCCCTCCTATTCATTCATTTCTTACCTGTTCAGCGATTTTTCAGCCTACACTATCCATGTGGAGTCTTACTGACCAACTGATAATTCTTTATGGAATATTCGGCACCCCATTCTTCATCACCTCCTCCTTTTTCATTCTCATCGGCTACACGGTTTTATGGTTTCGTAAACGACAAAGCCTCACAAATGCAATCTCAATTTTCGAGGTTCCTCTAATCGTGTCCTGTGTAGCAGTTTTATTTTCGATCTCTCATTGGGGACTGCATATGCTCAGTCGATCGATTGATGTGAATCCCGGAGAGGGACCAATGTTCTATGTGTTGACTGGAATATTCTTTATTAGCACTGCAATGCTGACCGTGGCAAACAATTTGCTCCTGCCTCTACTGTTCATCTATGCTATCTCGTTTTACATCAAGAATACCAGATTGTGAGTTTTGGGGACTTCTAGAAGGATGTAAATCTGTAGTTTGATCTAAGGGTGATATGAAACCATTAGGAATGACGCCTAGAAAACATTTTTACGATAGCGTAGCTCAGCCAATTGCTCATCTATATTTCCGCACACGACGTCAACTAGTTTGTTGAAGCTGTTGAAGATTTGTTTTGCGTAGTAAATCTTCTTGAATAGTTAAAGATGTGTCACTGCCGGTGGAGCTACGCAGACGCAAATTTGGTTTAACAAGCCATTTGAAAAATGTAAAGCATACCAAGATTGGAAACTTTGGATTTATAGAGTTTTTGAATTTTCCTAGTTTCAGCTATNAAGCTTAAGGAACTATTTGGGCTGTAAACTTTAAACCGATATCTAGGTATTTAAGCATGTCATGATGACACCTTCTCCAACCCATCAACATCTTCTGAACCACCATGCAATCTT